AAGAAAGCTAGGGACTCTAAAAGGAGTGAGAGGGGATCTCTAAGCACTTTAGAAACAAGTCCCTGGGGGGTCTGGGGAATGGGCTGCCTATTTCTCCTCTTGGATGGTAAGGACTAGAAGAGGTGAAAAGGGCTGGGACAGGTAAGAAGGGAAATGGAACTATGTGTTTCACCTTCCTCAATGACTCAATCATATGTAAACCCCAGAATTCTGGAAGGTTCTGACTCAGATTTAGAGCTGGAAAAGACCCGAGAGGGAATCTAGTTCAAGACCTTTATTTTACAAGTGAGAAAACTGTGACCCAAGAGGTGAGGCAAGACAAGTCAAATCAGCAAATATTTATTAATATCCTAAATTGGCAAAGTTTAAAAAAAAAGGAAAATGACAAATTCTAGAGGGGCTGTGTGTGTGTGTAGGCACACATTTTACTCAAATTGGCTAACAATAGCTGATGGTTAAATTTTCAGGGTGAGCATTTATACTTTAGAAACTGCCATATGCCACAAATTAGGTCTTGTTTTTTTTTTTATTTTGCTGACAATGTAGACTAAGAAAGTGATGGAGAAAATGTAGACTCACCTGTCATGTTGAAATTGAACCATTAACAACTACTCTTGAAGTTCATTCATCCAATCAGCTCTCCATGTTGTAGGTGTCTAATTAATACCTCCCCATCCTTTCTCCAGTAATACCATAAAATACATTGTCAAAAGCTTTGATAAAAGCTTTTGTGAAGCTTTAAACTCTAGGATAGCATTCCCTCTCATCCGGTTCAGTAATCTTGTCAAAAAAGGAACCAAGGTTGACCTGTTATGGAGGAAGCTGTGCTGACTCTGTAATCGTGGCCTCCATGAAGTGGTGTGCTGTTTGTTAACCAAACCTTTAAAAATGCAGTCTGGATTTTTTCAGGAATCAGAGTCAAGCTCCTTGGCCTTTTGAAGACTCTGTTTTCTTCCCTTTCTGGGAAATGAAGGCAAAGTTTATTCTTCTCCAATCTTGTAGGACCTGTCCCATTTTCCAGGATTTTTAAGTTATCCCAGAAAGTGGTCCAGCAATCAATCCCAGCTGCCTGTTGTTTGTTTTCCCCAGCAAGGTATAATACTGTTATCTGGCCCAGGTGACTTCATTTCATTAAGGACAGCTATCACCTTATTTATCTGAGCTATCAACTTCCATCCTTTTCAATGCAAAGGTCATTCTCCCTTACAGAGAAACCAGAAGCAAAATAAAAATGTAGCCCTGTCCCTTCTTGGATCCTCATTTTCTTCCCAATGTCCCCCCACCTTTTATTGTGCCTAACTTTTCTGAACAGCCTCATTATGACCTTCTGAGCTCCTGGCCTTAATTTTGACTGGACAGTGCCACAGCTGAAGTTGGGCCTTCACTGCAAGGCAATTCCAAATTTCTTCCCTCCAGAAACTATTCCAAATCTTTCCTTCTCATCTCAAATCTTTCCCCCCCACTTTCTCAGCTTAGCACCTAGGCTCTTGAGTGAGACAATTGAGGTCATTTTATCCATTTTATCCATCTTCTTCAAAATATTTTGACTTCATTCCCCACCATCTCCTCCTTTTCTCTAATCTTTAACAATTTGGTGACCCTTCTCCTTGCTGGGGCCAACCCCTATAAGTGTCCCCCTCATCCCACTCTCTCCTGTCTTCTCCATCAGTTTACAGTCTCCATTTTTTCCAACTCCTCCACCCCCATCTTCAACCTTTCCCATCTACTGGTTCCATCCTTACCAGCTTCAAACCCTATCTTTAAAAACTTTCTCTAGACCCTACCATCCTCTCAAGTTACCATTCTATGGATCTTCTTTCCTTAGCCAAACTCCAAGAAAAAAAAAAGTCTATTCCTGCCATTTCCACTTCTCTTTTCAGTTACTCCTCAACTCTCTCCAACCTAGGATCCAACCTCCTCCCTGGCCCTCAGTTTCCCTCTTTGTACAGTGATCGGATTGCACTGCATGAGGATCTCCAAGGCTCCTTTTCAGCTCTCACATATATAATAACCCCTCCACCGCCCCTTCTATCTTGCCCCAGGATCATGTTTCCTCCTAAAAGGCTTTGAACAACCTCAAAATGCTAAGAATGATCTCAAAGCACCAAATCTTGAAGCCAAAACACCAGATTTAATCGCACACTCCCTTTTACTACCTCCACACCTACCCCTGAGGCTTAGAAGTTCGGGAGAAAAGACTTCTTAGATATTGTGAATTCAAAGTTAGTTGGGTGGGTAGGTGTGACTTGATACCTTTATTCAGGAAGACTGGAGTTCAAATCTGACCTCAGATACAAGCTGTGTGATCCTGGGCAAGTCACTTAACCTGCTTTCTTCAATTTCCTCATCTTCTAAAATGAACAGGAAAAGAAAACGACAAACCACTCCAGCCTCCCTGCCAAGAAAACTCCAAATGGAGTCAGAGAGAGTCAGTCATGATGGAACATGAGCAACTGGAATTTCCTCCACTTTAAAATAAGGCGAGAGGTGGGAGGTGGGAGGGATTAAATTGACTTGAACACAATTCAAGCCAGTAATTTCAATTCTAGGCAGTGCTAGGACCAGAAAGTCCTCGCCCTCTGGGGGCTTCCATTCATTGTATCAGGAGGTCCACGTTGACACAAATGCATAAATACTGGGTATACACAGAGTGCTAACCGTGGAATTTCCTGGGAGGACTGGAAAATGGAGGCGTAGGAAACTGGGGAGCCTGGCAGGAGGGGAGGAGGGCAAGTGCATCATAGGAAGATGCTTCCTGCAGAAGCTAAACCTCGAGCTAAATTTTGAAGAACTGGATTCTGGGAGCCAAAGGTTGACCTTTGCAGACTTCTTACACTTTAGTACCCAACACGTACTCGTTGGTCCAGTAACACCTGGCTGTTCCAAGAACAAGACTCTCCATCTCTTGGCTCCTGGCATTGTCTCTGGCTGTCCTCCCATGCCTGGAATGCCCACCTTCCTCCACTCCAACTACCCACCTCCCTGGCTTCCTTTAAGTTCCAACTGAAATCCTACCTTCTACAGAAAGTCTTCCCCAACCCCTCTTCATTCCCGTGCCTTCTCTCTATTAATTATTTCCTACTTTTCCTGTGTATAGCTTGTTTGTATATGTTTGTTTGCACATTGTCTCCATTTGATGGTATCTCCTTGAGGGCTGGGGCTGCTTTTTCCTCTTTTTTATATTCCCAGCTTTTACTGAATTGAATTGAGGTTATTAAAGGTCACTCTGAGTATGGGTGGTAGTCTTTGCAAAGCCTGGAGTTGGAGTTTCCTCTTCGGGGAACAGCAAATAAGCTAGTGCATGGAGGAGAGTAAGGAACACAAAAGAAGCCTGGAAACAGAAATTAGAACCAGACTGTGAAGAGCTCTAAGGTCTTGCCCAATTCTGGACAAATTATTTTATGTTCTTCCCCACACCTTCAACACCCTCACACCACCATCCACTCTCAAGTACCAGTCATTCAACAAACATTTATTAAGCACCTACTGAGTGCTAGAGATACCAAAAAAAAAAAAGGCGCAAAAGACAGTCCCTCTCCTCAAGTAGCTATGCAGGTGATCTCAAAGCACTGGTGGGGGTGTTCCAAACTACACTATTACCCCGAACACCCTCAAAGGGCCTCAGGATGATAATGGGGGGCTTTCCTACTTCTTCCTACCTCCTATTTCTATCCCAGGCCCTAATCTCCCTTCTATTCCAAGAAAGGATTTTCCAATTAAGAAGCAACCCTTCCCTCTTCAGCCAGGCATGCTCTGTCCTAGCCTATTCCCCACCCCCTCATCTCCAGCTAATGAGGTTCAGTTCCCTCAGGGCTGGGGCTGCCTGCCCCTAATCCCCAGATGCACAGCCTATATCTAGGCGAGGCTGGTGAAGTGGGAGGGAGGCTGGAGAGCCCCTAAAGTCTTGGCTGGCTTTTTAGAAAAGGCACAGATTTGTGTTTAGAGGACCTGTCTCAAACCTCAGTTCTGTTACTTACCAATGCCTGGTGGGACTTTGGACAAATGACCACTCCGAGCATTTACTTCTGTCCAGTCCAGGGACTGGGTTAGATACGATCTTTAAAGACCCTTTAAAGATAAATCAATTAAGTCTCTGATATGGACATACCAGGTGCTGGAGATATAAAGACAGAAATGACAGTCCCAGCTCCCAAGGAGCTTGCGTAGTAGGGGCTGAGAGGCATAAACATGGGACGTACACAAAATAATGACCAAGGAATGAGGAGGAGTCACTAAAAAGCGGGCGGGGATGTGAAGGGCTCTTAAAAGAGGGGGTGGGCCAGCTGAAGCTAGAAAAGAATTCCAAGAGGTGTAGGTAAGGATTGGGAACTTTATAGGCACAAGGGAATAGCCAGCTGGGAAGGAGCTCAGGAGAGGGGAAGAGAGAGTGATGGGAACTCGGCAAGCAGGCCAGAAAACGTGAAGTAATGAGCAGTCATTACATCACAAGTAACAGAGAAGGTGAATTACTGTGCCATTTGGGCAACGAGGTGGCATGGTGTATGGAGTGCTGGACCCAAAGTCTGGATCACTTGAGATCGAATCCTGCCTCAGTCACTGACTTGGTGACCCGTGATCCTGGCCAAGTAACTTAAATCTTTCTCAGCCTCCATTTCCTCACCTGTAAAATGCAGACCATCATAGCGCCAATCTCTCCAAGTTGTATTGAGGATCAAATGAGATTATGTGAAGCGCTTTGCAAACATTAAAAGAGGCTCTAGAATTGCTAGTTATTATTCAGCCTGGAAAGATAAGAGTTTGTATTTTAGTCTGGAGCGACTAGGGAAGGGGAGGTCAGACCTTTCAGGTATACCAATTTGACGGCTGCATTGAGGCTGAGCTAGAGTCTGCTGAATGCGGAGAAGCCCAGAGACCTAGATCAAGTCTGTAGAACCTCTAGAACCAAGAGCCTGAGACTTAAGAAAGAATATAGAGATAAATACCGAAAAAGAGATGTACAATGACAGAGAGAGAAAGGCAAGCTGACCAGCATTTATTAAGCACTTATTGTTATGGGTTTCATACAGGCTTTTTTCCCCAAGAAGAATGAGAAACCAAGGAGACCAGAGGTATGGCAGACAAGTGGGCTGGTTGGGGTTGGGGCGGAGGGGGAAGGAGTGGAAGATCCCACAGAGAAAGCTTGAGACAAGGGGGGCTTCTGTCAGAACCTAGGCTGCCCTTCCTGGTGAAGACTGGGGGCTGGATACAATGGCCCCATCCCCCAGTCCTCCCTCCCCTCCATCAGCCCTGATTGCCAGGTCAATATGGGGGGAAGGGAAGGGATTAGGGACCGGCTGGTTTCTCCACCCCCTCCCCCCTTCCCAATGTCACCTCCTGGTGCCAGGGAGAGGGAGAGGCAGCCTTCCCCAGGATTAGGGCCCAGGATCCAGGCCAGGCTGGGGTGACATCACTCAGAGACCAGGCTTAAAATCCCCAGGGCCTGGGTGGCCACAGCTTTCAGCAGTCCAGCTGACTGTCGGAGCTGGTCCCTTGCCCCTGCCTTAGGAGCCCTTGATCCTAGTCTGACCAGTGAACAGGTGAGCAACCAGCTAATGGGTGAGGGTGGAGGCTGAGACAGGGGGACCCTGGAGAGGTTAAACAGGAGAAAAACCCACAGTGGGCTGGGGAAGGGAGAGACAATGGGAGAGAAATAGAGACTTAAGAGCTAGATCCAGGGAGAGGATGGGGAAGGGAGACATGGAGGTGGGGAGACAGACTGAAAAGGAGAGGAGGAGAGACACAGCGAGAGACAAAGCAGAGATGGGCAGTCAGGAGAGACACAGAGACTGAGGGATAGCAGAGTTAGACATAAAAGGGTCACCCATAGGCTAAAAAGGGAGTGAGAAGTGGGTGAATGGGTCTTCAGAGATCAGCAGAGACAAAGGGAGATAATAGAAAGAACAGAAATGGGGAGTCAGAAAGAGTCACAGATGAGCTGACAGCTAGAGTGTGGGAAAGACCGAGAGGTAGAGAAATAATCGGATGGAAAGACAGAGAGGCACATGGACATGTAAACAGTTGTAGGCAAGAAGAGTTGTTACAGGAGAGGCAGAGATGGAGAATTTAACGTCAGTAGAATATAAGCTTCTTGAGGGCAGACAGTGTTGAATTCTGTCCTATCCTTGCCACCAGTGAGGTAGTTAGGGTTATATGTCTGTTAGATAGTTTTGAATGGAGACAGAAGAGAGACAAACTGAGAGAGAAGAGAGAGACTGGGGCAGATGGTTCCTTTCCCTCCTTGCCCTTGGGCCAAACCTGGGTGGGGCCCCTGGGGTCCTTGGTTCTGCCCCAGCCCTCAGTGATTGTATTTAAATCTTCCATCTTTCTGCAAACAAGTACTCTACCCCTAGCCTGGAGAACTCCTATTTTCTTTGAGGGAGTCTGACTCTCCCTCTATATCTCTGAATTTCTCTCCTTGTGTCTTATCTCTTCCAGAGGGTTTCTCGTTCTATTCTGGATCATCCCATCCCAATTTCTACTCATGTCTCTGACTCACTCTCGGCCTCTGAATGTCTTTTCCTTTGTATGTAGCTTCCTAGACCCCTCTCCCTCCTCTTCCTCCCTGGGTCTCTGCATCTTTGTGAGTGCTAGGTGCTTTCCAACCCCCAGACCTTTTTCCTGAGGGAGGGGCTCTATTGTCTTCCCCCTCCTCTTCTGCTTTCTTCTCCTTCCTGATTGCTTGGAAGTGGGTGATTTACAGCAGCCCTGACTGGCCACTCCCACCATCCCTTCAGCCTGGACCCCTGGGTCCCCGGTCCTGGGAGCATGATGTCCTCTTACCTCAAGGCACCCCCACCCCATTACTCGGTCAATGCACTGGCCTTGGCGGCACCTGCCTTGGAGATTCTGCATGGTACCACCACAGCCGGCTACTCAGGTGAGTGTCTGTGTCGGGTATACCCTGGGAGGAGAGGGAATTGGTAACGGATGGGTTAAATTATAGTCCTTCCAAACTGTGAATGGGAAGGGGGCTTCCACAGGCCCATTCTGCCTTCTGAATAGGTTAAGTTTTGCTGCCCCATTACACTGAGAGAACAGACTGAGGCTTAGGTAGGAGACACAAAAGCTTTGGGCTATGCCCAACTCTGAGGGAAGGGGAAGGAGAGAGGAGGTGGAGAAAAAGAGACTGTAGAAGGGGGCTGAGGGAAAAGAAAAGGAGAAGAGAATAAGGCAGAGAAAGAAAAGAAGAGCCAAGGGGGCATGGTGAGAAAAGGAGAGAGGAGAGGCTGGGGAAGAAAGAGGAGCAAGTCTGGGATAAGGTCCCATTGAGGAAAAGAAGAGACAGAAAAGTATGTACAGAGAGAGGACATGGTGAAAAAGTAATCACAGCTAACACGTGGCCTAACTCTCTCCTTGAATTCTCACTATCGCTCTGTGAGGTAGGAGCTATTTGTATTTTTCAGATGGGAAACTGAACCTTGCCTAGGGTCACACAGGGTTTCGGGCTACATTATTATCCTCCTTTTATAGGTAGAGAAACAGGAAGCTGCCTCTGGATTCCCCAAGAGGTTTCTCATTCTTCTTGGGGGGACAAAAGCCTGTATGAAACCCATAACAATAAGTGCTTAATAAATGCTGGTCAGCTTGCCTTTATCTCTTTGGATAGAGGCAATCCTCTATCCATTATGCCATTTGACTATTAAAGGAACCTCGAAGGACAAAGGGAAAATGGAAGGGGAGACAGGAGAAGGGAGCAAAGAGGAAAGAGCAGAGGTGCGATTTTTTTTGTCAATTCATATTTCTATTGCGAGACAAATAGTCCAAGCTTTTAACCTGGGAGCGCAGGAGAATGACACAGCTAGTTTGCCTATATTTGAACAAAATATTTGACAGATTCTAGTGTTTGTGTGTGTGTGTGTGTGTGTGTGTGTGTGTGTGTGTGTGTGTGTGTGTGTGTGAAAAGGTGGAGAAATATGATAGACAGATCCGTAGGACAGACAGATGGAGAAATATGAGCAGACAGACCCAACGTGTAACTATTGATGAATTGATATCATCATGGGAGAAAGTCTTCAGTGGAGTTTTAAAGTGATCTGTGCTTAGCCTTGCCCAGTGTTAGTTAACAAGCATTTATTGAGCTCCTACTGTGAGCAAAACAAGCCTGGGGGTGCAAAAGAAAGTCAAAAGGCAATCTGTTCTCATGGTGCTCGAAGTCTAATCAGGGGAGAAAACAAGCAGACAACTATGTACAAAGAAGACATAGGGTAAATTCGGAATAATCCACAGAGGAAAGGCACTAGCATTACGGGAACTCTGAAAAATCTTATTGTAGAAGGTGGGATTTTAGCTGGCACTTGAAGGAAGAGATGAGAAGGGAGATATGAGGGACAGCCAGTGAAAATGCCCAGTGTCTAAAGATGGAGTGCCTCTTTGATCAGCACAGTGTCACTGAATCAGAGTACTTGGGGGTGGGGAGGTAAGGTGCAGAAAGACCGGAAAGGCAGGGGGGAGACCAGGTTATGAAGGGCCTTGAACACCAAACATCCGATTTCATATGGATTGGAAGCCATTGGAGTACAGCAGTTAAAGTGGTCAGACTCAGCCTGGCAACGTGGTGCTACCTCAACGTATTTATAATAAACTCCTTTTAATTCTCTTCGTCCTGAGTTTTTCCTTGTTACTCAGGCAGAAAAGCCCAAATGAAGAATTTTTCTTTCAACAGATCAGAGTGAAGAGGCATTTGAAACAGCAAGCTATTGCAACAGTCCAGGTGGGAGATAAGGGTCTACACCAGAGCAGAAGTGTCAGAAGAGAGAAGGGGATGCATACCAAAGATGTTACAAAGACAACATCTAGACTTGGCAACAGATTGGATATGGGGGATGAGACAGTGAGGGGTAAAGGATTACAAATGCCTGGGTTTTGAAGTTGTTAGCCTTAAGTGACTGGGAAGATGAGGGTACCTCAGATCCGAATTTAGAAGGTAGGATCACCGCCAGCAAAGAAAGGCTACTGGAGGCTTGGGGACTGAGAAAAGGCCATCAGATTTGGCAAAAGAGAAAATGTTAGTGACTTAGGGGAGTGTGTGTTTGCTGAATGATTGGGTCCGGAAGCCCTGACTTTACCCATTAAAAGTTAAGAAAAGAGCAATTGTTATGGAAGATTTTAGGTCTGCTTATCAGATTTGTAAGTGACTCTGATTTGCCTCAGAATAGTAGATAAAGATGATCACATCTGGAATCCAAAAGATCTCACCCTAGAAAAATCTTTGCTGATTGTAAAAGGCTTTGGAAAATCACCTTCCCAAATGCAAAGTGTGGGAGGCTTGGCCAGACCAAAGTTTGCCCAGAAAGGGGTCTGGGTGGGTAGCAGGAACTGTCGTTGAGTTGTGTTCAGTCATGTCCAACTCTCTGTGACCCCATTTGGGGTTTTCTTGGCAAAGATAATGGAGCATTTTGCCATTTCCTTCTCCAGCTCATTTGACAGGGTTTAAGTGACTTGCCCAGAGTCACACAAATAATAGGGGTCTGAGGTTGGATTTGAACTCAGGAAGATGAGTCTTCCTGACTCCAGGTCTGGCACTCTGTGCTGTGCCACCTAACTTCAGGGACTACAATCTCATTACGAGTCCCCTGTCCCCTGTGGCTGTCCAGAAAGCCAACTTAGGTTAGTATTAGCTCCAGTAGGAGGGTAGGGAAAGGTCTGGCTTCAAGTCCATCACACCTATCTCTTTTGATGTATTGAATAGGCCACATTAAGAGGGATTTACTGACTGAACACACTTCAAGGAGTAGAATCTGGAGTCAGGAAGACCTGAGTTCAAATATGACCTTTGACACTAGCTGTGTGACCCTGGGCAATTTACTTAAAGTCTGTATGCCTCAGTTTCCCCAACTGTAAAACAGAGATGATAACAGCACCTCCCTCCCAGGGCTATTTATTGTGAATTTCAAATATTTGGGAAGTGCTTACCACTATGCTTTGCATGTAATAGGCATTATATAAAAGCTTATTCCTTTCCCTCCTGGAACCATCACCCCTAGCACCCTTCAAAGCTTCCTGATTTCCCCCACCTGCTATTGATCCCATCCTAAACCACTCTGTATTTATTTTTTGACTGTCCTGTATTTACTTAGCAGTGAGAAAGTTCTGTCTACTCTGAGGAGGGGACTGTCAGCATCCCCAGCGCCTAGCACAATGACTGGGACTACTAGACACTTAGGCACTTATTGACCGACTGTGCTGTGTTAGGGACATCTTCTTCCTGATAGCTGGCCACATTTGGAATATTGTCCAGTTATACACATTATGAGAAGGGCTTTGATGAGTTGGGAGAACTTCCAGACCAATATAGTGAATGAAGTTCTAAATTATGCCATATGAGCAAACTGGAGGCAGGGAAGGCTTAGTTATGACCGAGTTACACTAGCTCCCTGAAGATCGAGGGAGAGAGCACGGGGTAATGTTAGGCTTAAACATCCAAAATCTGAAGATGAGAGCTCTCCAAAAGTGGAGGATTCAGCTACATTAAAGAGTATATTCTCTTTGAGTTAAGAGTTAGATTAATTTGTTGTTTGCCTCCCTTCCAACTCTCAAGATTCTGTAGGTACCCATTTTACAAAGAAAAGAAATCGAGGTTCAGAGAGGAGACTGAGATTTCCTGAAAGTTATAGGAACTTCTTTCTCATGGAGAAAGGTCTTCTGGCTCCTAAGTCTAGACTTCTCCCAGAGCACCTTCACTGTCTTTTTTGAGCCTTCTTTGAGAACCTGGTGCTATCGCCATTTTACAGATGAGCGAACTGATTACACTCATTACAAGAAAAAGACCTGCCCAAGATTACATCAAATCAAGGGGACCAGAAACCAGGTCTTCAGACTCTCAGGTCCAAACCTCTTTCCCCCATACCTCATGGCTTCTATGGGGAGGGGGAAAAGGTAGAGGGGAGATGGAAGAGAAAAAGATGAAAGAGTAGAAAGGGACAAAAGAAGCAGGGAAGAAGGAAGACAGCTAGTAGTGTGAAGAGTGCAGAATTTGAACTCAGGAGATGCGTGTTCAAATGCTGACTCTTCTATTTAATCCCTGTGTGATCTCAGATACCCATGCCTCAGTTTCCTCACTGTAAAATGTTGAGGTAATGTTAACCTTTAGGAACTGGGCATACTAATCTGGATAAGACAAGACTCTTTTCCATGATCCCTAGCCTTCAAGGATTGGAATGGCCATTGTTTGGAAGAAAGATTAGCTTTGTTTGTTTGGCTGCTAGAGGGCAAACCCAGCTTCTGGGTGGAAGCTACCTAGAGTCCCATCTAGGCTTGATGCCAGGGAAAACTCACAATTTCAGCTGTCAAAATGTGGATGGGCTGGCTTTGAGGTAGGTGGGTTTCTCCTCCCTGGGGGTCTATTAGCCAAAGTTGGGCAACAGGCTCTGAGCTATCAACTCCATCAGGAGGGATGCCTCTCCTGTATGGTTTGGACCAGGAAGGCTGTTGAGATGCCCCTTCCAGCTCTCAGGTCCTGTAACTGGAGAAAGGCGAGGAAGGAGAAAAAGCAAAGAAGAGAAAAGGTTTTTTAAAAAGTGGGAGGTGGGGAGGGAGAAAAGTATAAGGAGAAAGAAAGGAAAAGGAGGGATGAGGGAGGGGGAAAGGAAAGAAGATGAGAAAGAAAAAGAGGTAGAAAACAAGAGAAGTAGAAGATGAGAGAGAGGAGAGGTCACAGAGGAGGAAAACAGAAAGATGGGACAGAAAAAGGATGAGGGAAGGTCAGGGCAAGGGCAGCACTGGCCTGGCCCCCCAACCTTAGTTTCCTCAGCTGGCTTCTGACTGGGGTCATCTTCCTCTCCTACCCAGGCACACCAAGGAAGCAGCGCCGAGAGCGGACCACGTTCACTAGGGCTCAGCTCGACATCCTGGAAGGCCTTTTTGCCAAGACCCGATATCCAGATATCTTCATGCGAGAGGATGTAGCCAGCAAAATCAACCTACCAGAATCCAGAGTCCAGGTCTAGACTTCTTTTGCCCCCCACCCCTTTCCCCCTCAGAGCTCCTGGCCCTCGAGCCTGAAGTCTGCCTTTCACACTGACGTGTCCACCATCTCATTGGAAATAGTCTCACAGATGCCCTGTGAGTTACCTAACCACAGCTGGCATTATCCACATTAAATGGCTGGCCCAGAGGTGGGGATTCGAACCTAGGTCCATCCTGACTCCTGGTCTTCCCACTCTGAATCCTATGCTCCTGTTTTCCTTCCCCCAGGTATGGTTTAAGAACCGCCGTGCAAAGTGTCGACAGCAGCAACAGCAGCAGCAGCAGCCAGCAGGTGGGGGGACAACCAAGGCCAGACCCGCCAAGAAGAAGGGCATCTCCCCACCCCGAGGTGGAGCAGAGCCCGGGCCAGACCCACCAGGCCCCTACAGCCCAGTGCCAGCCCCCTCAGCCACTCCTCCTTCTGCATCAGTATCCATCTGGAGCCCTGCCCTCTCTCCACTCCCGGACCCCCTGGCCGCAATGGGGGCTGCAGGGGGCTCATCCGTCTGCACTCAACGTGGGCCTGGGGCTTCTGTGGCTGCCTCCTCTTCCTATGCTCTGACCTATGCTCCAGCCCCAGCAGCCTTCAGTGCCTCTTCGTCGCCCTATGGGAGTTCCAGCTCCTTTTTTGGGGGTCTAGACTGCAGCCCTTACCTCTCACCCATGGGGTCCCAGTTGGGCGGACCTGGTTCTTCTCTCAGCCCCCTCCCTGCTCCTGGCATGGGGCCCCACTTGGGCCAGTCTCCAGCCTCCCTGTCTGGTCAGAGTTTTGGGGCTGGGGGGCTGGGCTTCAGCCCTGTTGACTGCCTGGATTACAAAGACCCCAGCAGTACCTGGAAACTCAACTTTAGCACAACAGCTGATTGTCTGGATTACAAGGATCAGGGCTCATGGAAATTCCAGGTGTTGTAGATGAGGAGAGCTAGGTCCTTCCCATCTCCAAGCTGAACCTTCTTTCTGAGCCAGGAGACAGGTGGAAAGAAAGTCTCTCAATTTGGATGCAGGATCCTGGTTGCCCATTTGACACCTCTGTAACCTTAAGCGATTCTCTTTCCTTTCTGGGCCTCCAATTCCCCTGTAATTTTGGGGGTGCAGCTAGATGATCCCCAAGGTCATTACTAGCAACTTACAATGGAAGGAAAAGGTCCGTCTGGTTTTGGCTGGAGACAAGGAAGGATCATCCCGGCTCATTGTGACCTTGGATATCCTACCATGCTACGATTTAGAAGAATAAAAGTTCAAAAATAATGGGGTCTACCCCCTAAGCCTTCCCTCTGCCCAAGTAGGAAAGGACTTGATTTTCACAGAACATCGGGCAATTTGCCTCTCCTTGGAATATCGGGTTTGGGAGCCAGCACCCTGTCTGAATCCAGACTCTACCATTTACAGCACGTGTGACCTTGGGCAGTCACTTCCTGCTCTCTCAAAGACTCTGGTTTCAAAGAAATCTTCCCAACCTGAAAAAAAAAGCCCACAAAATCTCACTACAAACTTCAAAGGGCCAAGCTCCGCTGTAGGCAGGCCCATCAGGAAAACCTCACCCACCCTGACCTCCAACAGGAACTAACTGCACATACTCCAAGAACTGGCATGTGCATGGGGTGGTGGTGGTGGGGCAGATTTCAGGCCAGTTCGGTCAAACAGCTCTCCCAACATCAGCTGGGTCACACAGACCCTTGAGACAAACAGTCAGGAAACATCAAGAAGTCCAGCACTGGTTGCTTACCTTTTTTTGGAGGCAGTCATCTGTTAAGCACTTAACCATGTACCAGCTAGGTGGCCCAGTGGATAGAGTACCAGTCCTGCAGTCAGAAAGACTCATCTTTTTGACTTCAAAGCTGGCCTCAGACATGTATGTCCTAGCTGTGTGCCCCTGGGCAAGCCACTTTACCCTGTTTGCCTGAGTTTCCTCATCTGTAAAATGAGCTGGAGAAGCCAATGGCAAACCACTCCAGTATCTTTGCCAAGAAAATCCAAATGGGGTTATGGAGAGTTGGACATGACTGAAAAATGACTTGACTTGTGCCAGGCCCTGTACTAACAGCTAAGGACACGAAGAAAGGTAAAAAAATAGGCCTGCCCTCACACTCTAACTGGGGAGACAATGTGGAAATCACTAGCTACAAACCAACGCTAGAGAGGATAAATAGGGACTGGTCAGCATTGGGAAGGCACTAGAAATAAGGATTGAGAAAGGGCTTCTTGTAGAACTTGGGATCTTAGCTAGGTCTCGAAGGAAGCCACCAAGTTGTGAGGAAGAGATGGGAGTATGGATCTTCTTTTTTTGGTTTTGTTTTGGGCAAGGCAACTGGGGGTAAGTGACTTGCCCAGGGTCACCTAGCTAGTAAATGTCAAGTGTCTGGTCTGAGACTGGATTTGAACTCGGGTCCTCCTGACTCCAGAGTTGGTGCTCTATCCTAGATGCCCCTTGGGAGTATGGATCTTCAAGGAAGCACCAAACAAGGCCATTGAAAGTCAATGGACATGGTTTCAGAATCTCACCTGATGCTTGGGACCTTTGGGTCATTTCACCTCTGAAGCCTCAGTTTACTCATCTGCAGAATGGATTGTTAGCTGACCTCAAAGGTCCCTTCCAGTTTATGTCCCCAGGAGTGTATACTGGAAGTATCTTTATGTTTGGTGTGGTTTGTTTCCAGTTACTTGGGAAAGTCAACAGGGTCCCCCTCTTTCTAAGTTAGCCCTTCTCATATACCCTTTTTTTCCTCAAGGCATTTTCATCATCCAAGGATCTTGGGGAGTCCTGACCTGAGATCATGCCCTCACCTACTCCTTCCCAGAGCCTCATTGCCCCCAACCCCACATACACCCCAATCTCTCCACCTAGATAATTTTGAGTCAGCATAGAGTAAGAGAGCATTTCCTCCCCCGAATTTTATCCATTTCAATAAAAACAAACCCAAAAAAATGGCCCTTGGAATTCTCATTTCTTGGGAAGGTAATAGGGATTGTCCTATTTCTGTGCATGTCTGGCTTCTGTGGTCTTTGATCATCCATTCCTATCTGTCTCAATTTCTCCTCCATCTTAATCTCTTTCCAACTGTCAGACTCCCCACCACCCACCCCTTTTTTCCTTTGGCGCCTCGTTTCTGTGTTTCTTTCTCAGACATCTTCCTTGGTGCTGCCTCCTTAATATGTGCAGCTGGGCCGGTCTGGGCCACAAACCAGCCCAGACTCCCTCCCTCCTTCCCTCCCCACCATGATCTAATTTTGCAAACACCAGCTCCAATCCTCTTAGCTTGGCCTGTCCCTGGGGCCTTCTCAGCAGGTTAGAGGGGATTTGGGGGAGGGAAGGGTGGCTGAGCCTGATGGGAAATGGGGACACCAAGTCCCCATCCTGTTGAAACAACATTTGTAGGCTGACCCAGTCATAACCGGGAACTCAGCCGGAAAACCACACCAGCAGGGCTGTCTTAAGAGAAATCCCCTCCATGGTCAGTGAGGCACCTGGGGTGCCAGGTCTTCTCAGCTAACTGGGCTTTCCAAGGAAGCCTGCTCAGAGACTTAGCACAAGTCAAAGAACAGAGACTAGTCATCAGAAGCTTCTTACCTGCACGACTTCTGGCGTTTCTGTACCTGTGAAATGATGGGCTTGGAGCAGAGGTCCCTTCCATCTCTAGATTTACGATTCTGGGACTTAATTAAGTTTCCCTGTGCACCCTGTAATGTACAAATGAAAGTTTGGTTGATTTGAGAGTTGGCCAAGACCTGGGGTTGAATTTTGGCCCAGATATTTAATAAGTGATTAAGTCACCTGGCCTTTTGGTAGGGTCCACCTATCTGGATGGGGGGGCACTAGAAGGGGCCTTAGAAGCCACCCATGCCAACCTCATCATTTTACATATGGGGAAACTGAGGTGCAGAGAGTTTAAGATACTTGGCCAAGGTCACAAAAGTATATTAAGTGGCATGGCCTCAATGCCCAAGACTAGTATTATTTCTGCTCCACCAGGAAAGCCTATTTCCTGCAGGGTTGTGGACGTGGGTTGAGTCCCAGAGACCAGTCTTGGGTCATAGAGGACGCTCCCCCCCCTTTATGAGGAGGGAGGGAGTAGATTAATTGAGGCCTTAATCCACCTAATCCCTGGGACAGATGGAGGAGGGAGAGCAGGGGGCAATGCTGGCCAGGCGGAGGGCCTTCCCCCTCCCCTCGCTGGGCCAGGCTCCCTCTGAAAACACTGGGCTGCCCAGGAGGATTCTGGGTTACAGGGAAGATTTGGGGACATGCTCTGTCCCTTACTCCTTTCTGGAAGGCTCCTAGCTCCATTTTCTATGGGTGGCAAGCCAGGGCAGATGTCCATGGCCCCCAAACCAGGGATAGGTAATCTTTACCTGGGAAATCTTGTTCTCCCCCAGAACGCAGGGCCATGGCCCACACCTGGGGAGCTGAGGGACAGATAGAAGATTTGGGGACAGAAGGGAAAGGTTAAGGGACCTCTACAGAGAGGAAGCCGGAGGACAGAAACAGACAGAGAAAGGAGGGCTGAAGGACAGCAAGGGGTTCAGGCCCTCAATCTCTAGGTTTTTTCAACAGCTTTTAAATTTGTCTCCAAGCTTCGGGTCTCCTCAGCCCCATCGCCCTCCACGCAGCTGCCCAAGAACAGTTCTGCCCATGTCCCACACTCTACTCAGACTCTGGTAGCACCCCATTGTCTGGAGGATCCTTTCTAAAGCTCTTCACCACATGGTTCCATCCTATCTTTCCATCCTTATTCCTCCTCTCACTCTGATCCAGCCATACTGATCTGATGCCTTTGCACTGGCCATCCCTCATGCCAGGACTGCCCTCCCTCCTCACTACGAACCCACGGTTTCCTTCCAGATTCCACTCAGGTGCCATCTTCTACATGACCTGGCTTGGAATCTTGGCTCTGCCACTATCACGTAACCTTTCTGAGTCTCAGTTTCCTCTTTTGTAAAATGGGGAGATGGGCAAGTAGGTGGCAGCAGTGGATAGAACTCTGGCTTTGGAGTCAGGAGGAGCTGAGTTCAAATCCAGCCTCAGACACTTGAAACTTACTTAGCTGTGTGACCCCGGGCAAGTCACTTAACTCAGATTGCCTTAACAAAAACAAAAATAAAATGGGGAGGAAGACAGCTTCTAAAATCTTTTTCAGCTATGATTCTATGGTCCTAGTACTGAGAGAGAATTTGGAGGGAGAAAAGGAGCCTGGGGGGTGGGGCAGTCAGAGACTAAGAGATAGCAACAGAAAGGAGAGCCTGCATTTGGGGGAGTAACCTGAGAAAGGGATGCTGAGTCTGTAGATGTCAAGACAGGTATCTCCTAGGCTTTAAGGCGTCCCTGGTGAGCTTGGGCTGTTTCTAAAGACGCTTGTCCAAGCAAAGGAGGGGCTGGTCAGAAGCCAGCAGGGGCATATTATAAGGCATGCCCAGGGGGAGTGCCCAGACGCCTGGATCTCCTGCTCTCCATGGTATCTGGGCCATGGCTCCTGCTGCTGTCCTGCTGGGTCTCTCTGCATCCCTTTGGGGGGTCTCCACTGCAAGTGTGTGTCTCTAGCTAGTTGTTTGACCTTGGGGCCTGGGGACTGCAGAGGCCCCTGGATCTCCCAGGTTAAGCCTCTGCTTTCCTTCTCACTCTTTTCCAGGGTCCCTCTTGAGCCAGCTTGGGGACCGGATCTGACAAGTGCAGGCTGGGTTGGGCCAGAAGCTGGGGGAGCCGAGCCTAGTGACGGAGGGCTGGCTCTGGCAGCCCCTGGATCCTTTCAACAGCTCTGACCAGCGCTCCTTCCTCCAGGTCAGCCTCATCCCTAGTAGCCTCTCTCTCCCACAGACCACCCTCCTAGCCCCACCTCAAGGACCTTCCCTCAACCTTACCGGGACCTGATGTCTCAGAATGCCCCTCCCCCCACTAGAATCCAACTTCTCTCCCCAAAAAGGCCCTGTAGCTTCGCTCCACGCCTGAAACCAAATGCTCTTCTGGGGCAAAAATCCCAGAAAAACAGCTCAGCCCCCCACTTCTCTCCACACATATCTCCCTGGACCCCATCTTCTCCACTTAAATAAGCCTCTGAGGCCGAAAGTTTTCTTCTTGGCCTCAAAGACCCCATCCCCTCCCCAAAGTTTTTCCCAACCTTATTCAGGGGGAGTCTGACTTCTCTTCCCCTACCCCAGCCCCACTCAGGGCCAGTCCCCAACTTTTTCCCCAATAAAATATGCTAAGGATCAAATTGTCTTACCCACTCACCCTCCTCCAGGACGGATTTCTCTTCTGCCAACAGTCCAGACACCATATCTGCTGTCCAGTCCCCTGGGATTGCCAACCCCATGGTGACAGATAGGAGTCTGGGACACAGACCTGCTAGGGAATTCCCTGGACCTCTAATCCCACCATCACCCTGGGGGAATAGAAGCATTGAAGGCCAGGACCAACAGAGAAGCAAGATGGTTGGGGTTTAGGGTTAATGCTCAGAAAGGCAGGTAGTTTTAGGAGGAGTGATGCCCCTGAAGTCATTGGAAAGTTGGTGTGAGGGTGGAATGAGTTACTCCACTTCTCTCCTAGCCCACTTTCCTGGTCCATAAGATAGATTTCAGACTGGGAGCTTCCTTCCTCACTGGGTGCTTGTGAAGAAAGTAACTTGCAAAACCTTCAGGGGCCAAAGAAATGAGGGCTGTTGTCTGTCCATGGGTGCTGAATGTGACTGCTTCCTCCTACCCTGCTCAGCGCTACTGGGTGAATGCCAGACACTGGAGGTCCCCAGATGGCCCTGTTTTCCTGCATGTTGGGGGTGAAGGCAGCCTTGGGCCAAGCTCTGTGCTTAAAGGTATAGAAGGCTGCAGATAGGAACCTTTGGGTCCTAAGAAGAGGGTACCAGGCTTGGAGAGGGATGCTCTGAGGCTTTGGGAGGTAGTAAGCTCCCCATCACTGGAGTTACTGGCTGAGGCCAGATGGTGTGGAGAGGATTCCCATATTGGTTGGACTACATGCCTGTGAATGGGTATTGGGCGTGGGATAGGGAGTGGTCAATGGGCCACTTCCATCATCTTCTTCCCTCAGGTCACCCTGGGACCCTGGCCCCATACTGGGGGGCTCTGGTGGTATCCCTGGAACACCGATTTTATGGACAGAGTATCCCCCCAGGAGGACTAGACATAGCTCAGCTCCGCTTCCTGTCTAGCCGCCATGCGTGAGTAGGTGTTGGGGAGGGAGAACAAAGGAGACTGAGGAGGACCTCTATCCATTTCCCCCAGCTCTGAAGGGTCCAGTTGGGGTTTCCCCCAACACCCTGAAGGCCTTCAGGTCTAATCTGGCTCTTTTCCCACCAGGGTGAGATTCTCCACCTTCCTAGGGTGTGAGCTGCCCATTTACCTTGGATTTTCTTCTGGCTGGGAGGGTGCTCTGGGCTGGGCATATGGGAATCTTGTCCTGTGGAGGCCTGAGCTGCCCCAGCTGAACTCCCAGGTCTGTCTGGGTTTACCTAAGGAGTGTACAAGGGTTTGGGATTTACCAACTGTATGTTTTGCTTCTGATGTCTCTATATCACCACCTTCCTCTTCAACCGTCTCTCTTTCTGTGTGTGTGTGTGTGTGTGTGTGTGTGTGTGTGTGTGTGTTTCTGTCTCTGTCTTTCTTCTAGGGACCACAGGATGACAAGATCATGTCTTGAGCAGGAAGGGAACTTAGAGCCCGTTCAGTCCAACCACTTCATTTTATAGAGGAGGAAAGTGAAGTGAGTTGACTTACCCAAGGTCAAACAGCTAGCAAGTGGCAGAACCAGGATGTGAACCCAGGTGTTTCTTGTGACTCCAGATCAGGTGTTTGTCCACTGTATCACGCTCTCTCTGTTTCTATCTCTTCTCCACCTTTCTTCTTGCTCTGTCTTCTACCTGTAGCCTGGCTGATGTTGCCTCTGCCTGCATCCATCTCTCTCGGATCTACAACATCTCAGCCTCCAGTCCCTGGATTGGCTTTGGAGGTTCCTACGCTGGCTCCCTGGCTGCCTGGGCCCAGCTAAAGGTTCAAGATCCTTTCTCTCCAGTTCATGGTGGGGGTGGAGGGAGGGTGGTTGAGTGCAGGAAGGGACTGAGGCTAGGATAGAGAAATCAGCCAGGATTCAAACAATGGCCTCCTCAGGAGACTCAAGTTTGGGATCCATGACATAGGCCTAGGTAGGTGAGTTATCCATCCTCGGGGAGGGGAGAGGGACATCCCTAGGACTCATGATCCATTCTTTGCCCCCCATCCTCCTAGTTCCCCCACCTCATCTGGGCAGCTGTGGCCTCCTCAGCTCCTGTGCAAGCCCAGCTAGACTTCTCCAGTTACAATCAGGTAACTACAGAAATCAATCTTCAGAGTGGGCTGGATTGGGAAAGGTGTGTGGAAGGGTTGATGCTGGAATTGGGGAGGGGCTGTAGAGGGGACTTGGGAAAATGTGCTATGGGGGCTGAGGTTGGGATTGTGAAGGAAACATAGAGGGAGCAGGGATTGGGGAAGGGGGGGCAAGGCCAGATGTAGGATGCACTGCTCTGCTTTCCACCCCCAGGTGGTATCCAGAAGCCTGGCAGACCCGGCAGTGGGTGGTTCCCCTAAGGTATTCTCCAGGGGCCAAGTGGACATGGTGGGCAGGGACTTTTAGAATGTAAATTCCTTGGGAGTAGGAATTATTTCATAGAACTGGCATTTGGCCGGCATTTACTACAAGCTCCCTGGGTGAGCCAGAGGAAAGGAAAGGAATGAATTGAAAACATCTTCAGGTGATGCCTTGGGGACCCAAAGACAAAAGTGAGACAGTCCCTGCCTGAAGGAAAACCATTTACATTCTAATAGGGTAAACTACATATTTGGGGGAGGGGTGGCCTGAGAAGGGAGGTTTGTTTAGGGAGTGCTGGGCATGGAAAGTGGACCATCTACTTCCATAAGGACTGCTTATGTCCAAGTTCTAGTCTGTTCCTATATGACCATGAGAATTTCCCTTATCTGGGCCTCAGTTTCCTAATGCAGAAAGTTAAGGGATTAGCCAAATGATTTCTAGGCTTCCTGAATGTACAATTCAAATAAGGACTTTGCCATTTATGACCTGTGTGACCTTGACCAAAGTATTTCACTTCCTGGGCCCCAGTTTCTTTCTCTGTAGAATTGGGGGGTGGGGCAGAGAGACCAGAGAGCCTCTTTAGGTCCTGTCTGGTCCTAGACATATGGTCCTGCGATGATCTGGTGTCTGGTTCCTGGTAATGGAGGACAGAGACAACCCAGGTATCCATAGCTGCAGGCAGCTGGAGGGGAAAGGGAGACAGACCTTGGTGTTTGGGCACAGGAAGGAAGGAGGAAGGACTTCTGACTGAGTTCTATCCTGGTAGTGCCAGAGGGCTGTGGCCCAGGCCTTCTCTGAGCTAGACCATGGCCTGTCTGATAGAAAGGAGACTCAGGCTGCATTGCAATCAGAGGTAAGGGCATGTGAGCCCCTGGAGGCCTGTAAGGACCAGGCCAAGCTCCTGGAGCAGTTGGAAGGGTTGGTGGGGGCAGCTGTGCAGTACGACCAGCAGGCCGGAGTTCCCCTGGACGTGAGAGGCCTCTGCCACCTCGTCTTGGCCAAGCAGAGCAGAGGGCCCCTTTCAGGGCTCCAGGATGCCATCCAGGTAAGGGTCCAGCCCTGCCGCCAGGGACCCTGAGTCTCTGAGGACCCAGCTTCCTTCCTGAGACTCGGGTATCCTTCCCATAGCTTGTGCTGAAGACTCTGGGCGTCCCATGCCTTCCCAGCTCAAAGGCAGCTGCCGTGGCTGAACTGAAGGACAGCAGACCACAGGCTGTGGGCCTGGGCTCCAGGCAGTGGTTCTATCAAACACGTATAGTTTGGGTACTGTGAGTGACCGTCTCTCCACCAGCCTTGAAAAGCCCAAAGGGCTCAGACAAGACACAATACCATCTGTCTTTGTCTTGGGCTTGCCAGTCCGCTCACATGTGTGCATCAAGGATCTGCCTTCAAGAGCTCAGGGGACTCATGCCACCCATATCTATGCTTGGGGTCAATAGACAATACCTCTCTGTATATGCCAGGGGGTCCAATTGCAGAATCACAGTTTCCTAGTTGGACAGGACCTCAGCCACCATATAGTGCAACCCATATAAGAAAGGCATCTCCCACAAGTGGTCCTCCTGTCTCTCCTTGAAGACCCTCCAGGGAAAGGGAGTCTCCCCCCTTTCTCTCCCCCCACCTCACCTCCCAAGGCAGCTCATTCCACTCCTGGGTAGCTGTAATATTCAGGAAGTCTTTCCTGACATTCAGTCTAAATCTGCATCTTTGTAACTTTCATTCAGTCAGTATACCTGGCTGTCCAAGCAGAACACGCCCAATACCTGATAGTACTCCACACGTGTGTCCCAGCCCTCTACCAAAACTCACATACATCATATATCTAGGAACCTCCCACACAATGCACCCAAGTGTGCACCGGAGTGTACCTCTCACCCTAACCTACCATCCATGGACATTTGCTAGGTGGCCCTGTAATTTCTCCCCATAGTCTCCTTCCTCTGTCCCAGCAGACATCACCTGCAAGGACTCCAGCTGCCCCTTCTCCAGGCGCAAGACGCTGTCAGCCCAGCTTCAGCTTTGTGCACAGGTGTTTGGGCTCTCCCCGGCCTCTGTGGCTGAAGCTGTGACCCGGACCAATGCCTACTATGGTGGTCGGAGCCCAGGCGCTACCCGGGTGTTGTCAATGGTAAGGGATCCATTGGGGTATCCAGAGACCCTCACTCTTAGAGTCACCTTTACTTGTTCTCTCTCTTAGTATCTCCCTTCTTCTTCCTGCTCCCAGGTGATATTGATCCTTGGCATGTGCTGGGTGTGCTCCAGGCCCTTGGACCTTCGGAGCCAGCCATGCTCCTGAGGGGTACATCCCACTGCTCAGACATGGCCACACCCCAGCCCTCAGACCCCCCCAGCCTACACCTTGGACGCCAGGTTAGCAAGGACTGATTTGGGGTGGGCAAACATTTTCAAGGCCATGCCTCTCACCCTTTCCTACCTCTAAATCATAGGGGAAATAATGGTGGTGGTGGTGGTGGGGTGTCTGGGGACTCAATTCTAACTCTATCCTTCCTCCTCAATAGAAGATTACTCAGCAGCTCAAGGTCTGGCTCCAGGAGGCAAAAGTAGATCTGGGCAGTCCCTGAGCCTTGGCAGGAATGCCCAAACCACCAGCTGATCAATGAACATCTCGAATACCCTGACACTTACCCTTCGCCAAGCCTGAACTGCCTCCTCTTTCCCTGAGCTGGGGGACCACAAGGGAGTCTTATTCAACTCATCTTCTCCCTCAGTTCTTACACTTCTAGGCATCTCACCTGCAAACAGACAGATCTACAAACCCCGACATCTTTTTAGCAAACATGCGGCATCTCAGCCACAAAGAGTTCAGATGTGCTGTCAACATCTGTCCCTTCGAAACAAATGAGGCTCCTCATTAAGACAAGGTCAGCGTTTTCTCTGCTGACGTCCACATTGCCTCAGTAAACAGCCATCTTTCCCCTGAAACACCTGCTTTGCTGTCATAGCTCATGAGCAAACATTTATCACTCCTTTCTGGAGGGTCTCTAGGCCGGACAGCTCAATGGGCAGAGCACTGGATCTAGAGGGAGGTTATTTCTGATAATCCCAACTCTCAGGGTGACCTTGGCCAAGTTACTTTGCTTCTCAAGACTCAGTTTTCTTGTCTGTAAACTGAGGGGTCAGACTAGATCATATACAAAGTCTCTTTAAGCACCATAATCTAAGACCTCAATCTTTGAACATTTGGATTTCATTTATTAATATCTGCATACAATCAGCAAGCATCTATGCCTCACCAGCAGACGTCTAAACCAACAAAAATCTGGTTTTCCCCAGGAAATTGCCATACTATCATCATTACTAATTATAACATTCTCTCATCTGCAAACTCATTCATTTGCGAACAATGGTATCTCTGTCCCCTACAGGGCAAAAAGGTCTATAGCTTTCCATGAGGATAAATATTTGCTTTCATCTAAAAATGTTTGCTCTGTCTTCTTGTATCCCATTGGGGGTTTGGACACTCTGAGGAGGGCAGGGGGAGGTCCTTTCCACTAGCTTCCCAGGTTCTTAGATAGTGATTTCAAAGTCTGGGATGAGCCAATCTGTTGGAGAGGCCCCCAGCCCCTCTCCTTCCTCATCCAGGTCGACCCCTGTCTCTTCTCGAAGCGCCTGGATCTCTAGGCCCAGGATACACAGCTGGTTAAACAGTTGTAGGTCCATCCTTCGCAGGCTCCACTGTTGGGGATGAAGAACACTTGTGAGGGGAATGGGCAGACAGACCTTAGAAGGGGAGCCAGGCACTCCTCCTCGGCCCCCCTACTATACTGCTAGTATGTATATGTATATATATATATAAACCTGGCAGGTATAGCATGCCCCACCCCTGTCCCCTGTTCCTGACTTTGGGAACCGGCTTTCCCAATCCTCTCCTCACCACTTGGCATGGCTCTTGCTGGCCCAGTCTCTGTCTCCCTCTCTCCCATCTCTCTCTCTCTCTCCTCCCTCTATGACCGTCTCTGTTCCTAGCTCTGTCTCAGTCCATGCAGTCTCTCAAAGACAATGTCAGGCAGAAAGACTGGGGTTGGGGGTAGTGTTAAGAGTCACTCCCCACGCCAGGGGCAAGGCACCTCCTTTCCTACTTCCCCCCCCTCACCACCTGCTTCTGTGTCTGTCTTTTCCTTTCTCCATCTCCATTCTGGTTCTCTAACTGCCTCTGTGCCTGTCTCTCCCCCTCTGTCTGTATCTAGGTCCCCAGAGCTGTGTTAGTTTCCTTCTCTGTCCTCCTCCAGTCTCCCTCTGCTGGTCTATCCCCCATTCCTGTCTCGCCAGCTCAGTGTCTTTGTGTCATCCACACCTCTCTTTCTCTATCTCTCTTCCTGCCTCTGTCTCTCTGTGTCTCTTTGTCTGTCTCTGATTCTTTAGCCCTGCACCTGTGCCTGTGTCCATCTGTGCAGTGATGCCCATGGTTCTCTAGCTCTGTCTCTACCTCAGCATCTCTGTGATTTGGTGTCTCTATTTCAGCATGTCTCTGTCTTTGTTTTCGTGTCTCTGTGTGACTGTCTCTCTCTATCTCAATGTCTCTCTCCGTGTCTGTCTCATCTTTCTCTCTCTCTGCCTCCTTTGCTCACTGTCCATCTCTCTCTTTCCCCCCTCACCGGCTCTGCCTCCCTTTCTGTCTCTCTCTCCACCTCTCTGTCTCCCCATCTCTCTCTCCACATCTCTCTATCTCTACCTCTCTTTCCATCTCTCACTCCCTGTCTCTTTCTCTCCCATCTCTCTATCTCTGCCTCCCTGTCTCTCTCTCCATCTCTCTCGCTTCCCCATCTGTCTCTCTCCCTTTATCTCTCTGTCTCTGCCTCTCCCTGTCTCTTTCTCTCCATCTCTTTATCCCTCTTCCCCCTGTTTCTGTCTCTGCCTCCCTTTCTCTCTCTCCCTACATCTCTCTCTTCCCCCCACTTTTGTCTGTCTCCATCTCTCTCCTCCCACACCTCTGTCTCTCTCTTCCCCATCTCTTCTCTGCCTCTCTTTCTCTGCCTCTCTCTCCATCTCTCTCTCCTTGCCTTTCTTTCTCTCCCCCTATCTCTCCCCCCACATCTCTATCTCCATCTCTCTCACCATCTCTGTCTCTCTCTCCATCTCCCTCTGTCTCCCCATCTCTCTCCCTCCCCTCATCTCTGTCTCTGCCTGTCTCCATCTCTGTCTGTCTTCCCATTTCTGGTCTCTCTCCCCATGTCTCTCCCCACCCTTGCATCTCTGTCTCTCCCCCTCATCTCTGTCTTTCTCCCTGAATCTCTGTCTCTCTCCCCCAACTGTCTCTCTCTCCGCATCTGTCTCTCTCCCCCCATCTGTGTCTCTCTCTGCATCTGTCTCTCTCCCGCAACGGTCTCTCCCTGCATCTGTCTCTCTATCTCTCCCCCCATCTCTCTCTGCATCTCTGTCTCTCTCTCCCTGCATGTCTATCTCTCTCCGCATCTGTCTCTCTCTCTCTCCCCCATTTCTTTCTCCACATTTCTGTGTCTCTCTCCCTCCTCCCATCTGTGTCTCTCTCCCTCCATCTCTCTCTCTCCTTCCATCTCTGTCTCTCTCTCTCCCCTGCATCTTTGTCTCTCCCCCATCTCTGTCTCTCTCTCCCTGCATCTCTGTCTCTGTCTCCCCCCCATCTGTCTTTCTCTCCACATCTGTCTCTCTCCCCCCATCTCTGTCTCTGTCCACCTCTCTCACCAGCTGCTCCCAGACCCAGACCATGCCATCGTTGGCACGGGGGGCCCCGGCTGCAGCCCCAGGAGAGCTCCAGGCCCCGCTAGGGTCTCTCAAGGCGCGAGGAGGGGCGCCCAGCTCCGGCGGGGCCAGCCCGGCCCTGGCCAGCCGCCCCCAGGCCTCCATCCTGAGCTATCAGGGACACGCGGACACCCAGGGCCAAAGTCCGCACTGCCCAGGTTCCTGCTGCCTACCCACAATCCCTCCTGCTGCTGGGGGCGTTCGAGGGGCCGCGGCTGCCGCTCCCCCCAGCAGCAGGAGGGATGGAGGGCAGATTCTAGGAAGGACTCATGGCAGGGCTGGTGGGGAAGACAGCGCAGGACTCCAGAAAGATGCTGAATTAGGAGGCACTGCGCCTTTAAGAAGGGGCCGGGCCTAAGAAGGGAAGGAACCAATGAGTGACATGAAGGTGGGGCTTCAAGAGGGTGTTGGCTAGTCTATTACCTAGAGGCGGAGCCTCAAGAAAGGAGCCAGTGTAAGATCGCAAGGGTTGACATTGGGGAGGGAGGATCCAATAAATGTCGTTTGAGGGCGGGACCTCAAGAAGGAAAAGCCAATGATTGAGCGGTTGCGAGGGAGAAGCCGGCAGACTCTGGTCAGAGGACAGAACCAAGATGGCGGCTCCCAAGGCGGTAAGTTCCCAGACTGATCCAGAGTTTCTGCCGAAGGGAGGCGACTCCTGGGACTGGGTTCTTCATACGCTCTCCTCGAAAATGCCTAGGGCGGGGTACTCGATCTCAGAAAGTCAATGAGCCTCCGGGGAGGGGGGTTTCGAGCGCCGGGCTAATAAGGGATACGGGAAGGTCGGACTTTGGGGCAGGCCAATAGCCAGAGGTACTGGATGGGATAGCCAATAAGAATAGGAAAGAACAAACTGAAGGACCAATGGGAGCATAAATGGAGCTGGCCGAACAGCCAATGGGGAATGAAGTGTGCTGAAGTGCAGAGGGAAACAGGGGCGGGCGAGTTGACAAGCCAATGGGGGGGAAGGGGAGAGATGACAAGCCAATGAGAACACGTGGAATAGTTTCTCCACCCAAGAGGCGGGGTTTAGGGGAAGGCGGAGGAGGGCAAAGCCCTGGACAGGGCCTTCAGGGGAGGAGCAACCAGAGCAGGCAAGCCAAGGGGCGGAGCTTGTGTGGAGAGGCATACCCTGGGGGGCGGAGCTTGCTGGGGGAGGAGCGGCAAGGAGGCGCCCCGAGGATGCACCTAGAGGGTGCATCTGGGATGAGGAGCGGGACACACCCAGGGGCGGAGCCTCACAGAGAAACGGGAGGGGGGGCGACGGGGCAACGGGGGCCGTCCGACGGAATTGGGCGGGAGGATTTGGGGGTTCGTATCTGGGTTAGGGGGAGTTTCAAGGGAAAATTCGGGTGTCGACAATGTGGGGTTTGCGAATCGGTTTGAAATTTGAGAATCTGGAAATTCAGAAGCAGAATTTGGGAATTTAAGTGGTTCAAGAAAAATTGGAGAAAGAATATGAGGGTCCCTTAGGGAATTCAGGGGTGGTGAACATCGTGGTCCCCTGGCCCGGCCTGCCCGTCACCAGTCCTCTTCTCTCCCTCACTTTCTCTCTCTCTGTTTTGTCCGTCTCTCTCTCTCTGCCTCTCCCTCTATCTTCTTTCTCTCCTTTTTCTCTCTGCCTCTCCCTCTATCTTCTTTCTCTCTGCCTCTCCCTCTATCCTTTCTTTCTCTCCTTTTTCTCTCTGCCTCTCCCTCTATCTTCTTTCTCTTCTTTTTCTCTCTGCCTCTCCCTCTATCCTTTCTTTCTCTCCTTTTCCTCTCTGCCTCTCCGTCTATCCTTTCTTTCTCTCCTTATTCTCTCTGCCTCTCCGTCTGTCCTTTCTCTTCTTTCTGCCTCTCACTCTATCCTTTCTCTTTTTCTCTTTCTGCCTCTCCCTCTATCCTTTCTCTCTCTTCTTTTTCTCTCTGCCTCTCTCTCCCCTTTTCCCTTTCTTTCTCTCTCTCTCTAGCTTCTTCGAGCTGGACACCCCACGTGGTGGGGGGGAGGGACCCTCAGGACCCTGAGCAGCCAGAGTAACTTTGGCCAAGGCCTGAACCCCAGCTATGACCTGGATCCGAATCCTGGCCGTAACCCGCAGCAGGGGCTGATGGGCAGCATGGCTTCTCGATTCTATGACTTGGAGCAATTTCGGGAGTGGATTTCCCGTTTCTGGAGCTGGAACCTATATAGGAAAAACAAGTGAGCACTCGGTGAAGGTCTCTGAGGGACAACTTGGGCAGTGAGTCACTTGATCCTAGAATGTCAGAGCTAGAAAGGTCTTTAGGGGCCCCGTGTTCAGAGAGGGGAACGAGACCACCCAGGATCACATTGAGTCATGGACCTAGAGTCACAGGCAGTCATCTGGGGAAAGATGAGCCCATTTCCTGTATACCTTCAAGGGTGGCCCACTGGAGCCCAGCTGCCCCCGGGCCAGCCACCTCAAGGGTCCTATCCCACTTCTGGAATCAAGGGCTATGCTGGAGGATGGTGTGATACCCAGGCAATCGTCTTGCCAAATCTGACCCAAGTACAAGAGTTTATGTAGAGGGGGGGAAACTGAGGCCAGAGTGTTGGAGCCTGTTATTTAGAACCAGGTGTCCTAATTTCCTGATTAGGTGTGGGAGGGACTCCCTTCTCCCCATTTCCCAGCCACCCCTTCCCCACTCTGAATGAGTATCCCATCCCTTCAAACCAGAGTCTTCAGCTACACATTGAAACATTATGGCCCCAGTGTGGCAGCTGCTCACTTTGTCCTGACCCATGGGGGAGCTGTCAGGTAAGGAACCCAAGGCTTTCGAAGGGAAGGGTTTCATGGGGACTCTGAAAGGTAGATTTGGAGAGATTTGGGATATCTAGGGAACCGGATAGGGGTCCTTTGGATAACTGGGGGGATTTGGATTTGGGGACCCCAAGAGAGGCTCAGGGAGACTTGGGTTGGAAGCGAGGGAGGGAAGAAGCGTTTATATGGCACCTGCTATGTGCCAGGTTTTACAAATATTATCTCACTTAATATAGGACTTAGGAAGTGGGATCTTAGGAGGACTTCAGTGATTTGGGACCTAGGAAGCTGGATTTGGAGAGACTTGGGGGGGTGGTAATAGTGCTGGAAGCAGGGACAGAATATGCTACTAACTTCCCTGCCTTGGCCCCTTAGGTTCCAGGACCAGGAGTGGCTCTTCCCCCAAGATAAGAACCAGTTCCTTTGGAATAATCATCACTTCCAGAAGCTGCCCCTGGAGGAGGTGGACGCCAGTGGCTGTGTCATCAACTACTACGGGCTGGAGAACTTGGGTGAGGGGCTGGCTGGGTGGCTGGGGCGGGGCCCCTCTTTGGAGAAGCTGGAGGCTGGGAGTCACCTGTCTGTCCCTCCCCTCTGGCCAGTGTTCCTGCCCAGCCTGCGGTCTCTGAGGCTGTGTGGCTGCCCCTACGTGGATGACTGGTGCCTGGGCCGCCTGCATTCTCTGGGCAGCAGCCTGCAGGAGCTCTCTCTGGCTGGCTGTCCCAAGGTCACTGAGCGAGGCCTTGCCTGCCTCCACCATCTCCGGTGAGAGATCCCTGCCCTCCTCCCCTCTCGACCCTTCCCCTCCCCCGGGTGCCCCCCGGCCTCCTCAAAAGGTGTCCTCAGGCCCTTCAGGGGCAGAGTGGGATGGGATGATGTGGCCCTCAGGTTGGGTTTCTCTAGTGTCATCCCCCATCCCCACCCCTTCTACCACCCAAAACTTGTTACTGCAGGAGCCTCCGGCGTCTGGATATCTCCAACCTTCCAGCCGTGTCCGACAAAGGCCTGACCCAGATTCTGGTAGAGGAGATGCTGCCCAATTGTGAGGTGGTTGGGATAGACTACGCCGACAGGCTGAAGCTCCTCTCTGAGGACCAGAGAAGGGTGGAAGAGAAGGCGGCAGCGGCCGTCCCTGGTGCCCCTGGAGGTCTGATGCCTACTTAGGTGCTCCGGGAGCCCCTCTCCCTCACCTCCCCAGGCACCCCAGCCCCAGGGTTCTGAGGATCCCCCATCTCCCTTCTACCTCCAGGGCAGAGAACACTGTAGAACAGAGGGGCATCATCGGGCATGTTGCCCAGAAGTCCCTTTCCTTGTCTCCCCCACCATGGGCTTATATATGCACCAGAAGTAAGGAGTCACCCCAAGGATGCTGGGGGGAAAGGGGATGGGGACGTTTGGCCTGTTTCCCCAACCTCTTTCTCTTAGCTTCTCTGCACCCCTGAATAAATGGAGGGTAGAGAGGCCCCTAACAGCCCCCCTCATGCAGTTGTCCCCAGAATCCCCCCATTTCCTCTTTGTCCTGGGATGGGGAGGGGCCTGGTAATTGGAGTGATGGACAGGACAGGAGAAACAAGGGATGAACCAAGGGGATAATCAAGGGGGGGGGCTGGGAAGCCCTGGCAGCACCCCCTTGGGTGGTTGCCTCGGAAACCAGGGTGATGGACACCCCAGGAGATGCTGATGGCCCATCCCTTCTCCCTCCCAGCCTCCCCTAGGATGTGGTGTCTGAGTGCAGACCGGAGTCCATTAACTCCTGGCTGCACTGCTCCCTCCTCATGGGCTTCATTAGTCTGAGGGAGGGAGGGGGGCCGGGGCTCAGTCACTCCCCGAGGTCCCTCCCTTCCTTCACACAGATAATAAACATTGCTGGAAGCCAGTCTGGAGTCGGGAGGCTCCCTTGGGTGGGGTGGGGAGGGTGTTGGGGAATGATGGTGGTGGTGGTGATGGAGAGGGGCAGCTTTCAGCTTCATAAAACACTTCACACACATTTCATTTATCCTCACCACAGGGGGCCAGGGCAGGGCAGGTGTTATTATCTGTCTCCATTTTACAGATGAGGAAACTGGAGCTCAGGGGTGAAGTGATTTACAGTTCAGCTGGTAGACAATGGAAGACAGGATTGGGATGGGAACCCCAGGCCGGCAGAGGCCTTTGCTCTCACCCTTCCCCCTTGACAAAGACGAGTTGATAGATTACTTGCCTTCTCCGTGGGAAGGAGTGGGAGAATTGGGAGCTCAGAATTTAAAAAGACGAATGTTAAATAAATAAAAGATAACCGGTGGGAAGCCCACGGGTGGGGGCAGGGCGTCCCCTGGGTCCCACGGGGTGGGGCGGTAATCAGGGACCAGAGGGCCTGGGTGTGCCTGGAGGCAGCTAGAATTGGCCTGGCCCCTGACCCCTCGCTTCCCGCTCTGCCTCTACAAGACATTCCTTCCTCCTCAGCAGCCAGTGAGCAGTAGGAAAGCGTCTGTTGACAGTTAAGAGACAAGCCAGGGTACACGCACCACCGCAGGGGCCCCTGTGGACGTATTCTGATGCAAACACTTTGTTTCCCAAGGGGGCCGGAAATTCGTTAGTCACCACAGGGAGAAGGTGAAGGGTGGGGTGTAGAGAGGTGTGGAGACCAGCCCGGGCCCGTCTAGCCTCCAGGTATCTGATGGGGCTACCTGTCGGGGAAGAGGGAGGAGGTGACTGGGGAATCTGATGGGGGCGGGGAGAAAGCCCCAATCCATTCCCCAATTGGGAGCTTTTCCGAAGACAGGGGAAAGAGATGGGAGGGGTAGAGCTCCTTCCCTTCTCTGCCGCCATCTCCCAGCTTCCCTGAGCCCCCTCATCTGCCTTTATCGCCTCCTCTTCTCTCTCTTACCGTTGACCAGATCTCCCTTCCTTTCTTGACTCTCCCCATCAGGCCCCTGTTCCCTGGAGCCCAGTCTCCTTTTCCCTGGGAGTCTTCTGCAGTCTCCCAGCATCTGGCTGGCTGGCTGTGACTCTCTCTCTTTTGAATTTCCAGTTCCCTCTGTCCCAACACCTCTCCCAAGGTTCCCCATTTCTCTGTCTCTGTCTCTCTTCCCTCTTCTCTGGCCGGAGAACCAGCCTGTACACGCCCTCTCTCCTCCCTCCTCTCAGTCGGTATCTCTCAAGGTCTCCTCCCCAGCCCCGCCCCTGACGCTCCCTGGCCCCTGGGGGCTCCCCTGCTCCCCTCCCCTCCAGACTGACTCAGTCTGGGAGGGAGGCAGCAGCCGGAGGAGCCTGACCTGACCAAAGCTGGCGGGCTTGGGCCACGGCCCTGGCCCACAAGTGAGTGCCAGGGGACCTAGATGCCTGGGTCCCCAAGCCCAGTATCTGGGAGGGAGGGAAGGGGGCACCAGGGCTCCAGGCTCCTGATGCAGGAACTGGGAATTGGGGGCCCCTGGGTCCTGGGGGTGAGGGATAGAGCAGAGATTGTCCCTGGGGGACTTGACCGAGGACCTGGGGGGTCTGGGCCCTCTGCCTCCTGGGATGGACCTGGGGGTCTGGCCTCACCCCTCCTTGACTGGACATTCCCCTAGCTAAGCGGCCCTGCGTTTACCTTGCAGCTCCCGGGGACCCCCCCCCTAGCCCTGGGGGTCCCCTGCCATGCGCTGCTCCAAGTGTATGCTTTGTCTCCTGGCTCTCCTCACCCTGCTGGCTCTCAAGGTTTACATCGAATGGAGTTCAGACCCTCTGCGGCCCAAGAGATACCAGGAGGGGCGCGAGTCGGAGACCCTAGCCAACCCCAGCGCCTTCACGTTCGAGCCGTCCCTTCCTGCCAACCTTTCTGGGCGCCTGGGCCAGCTGGGAGCCCCAGCTACAGCTTATTGGAACAGGCAGCAGCAGCTGTCCCAAGCCCTGCCTGGGGTGGGTGGCTCTGCGGCAGGGGACTGCCAGGCTTGGGGGAAGGCAGCGGCAGCCAAGATCCCCGACTTCGTCTCCTACCCTGAGGCTCACCGGCGCTTCCTCCTCTCGGCAGCTTGCCGAGATTATCCCTGGTGGGTGCCGGGCTCTGTGGTTCCCAGCTGCCTGGGTTCTGATGCCCCCTACCTGCTGCTGGCCGTGAAGTCATCAGCAGGCAGATTCGGGGAGCGCCAGGCCGTTCGAGAGACGTGGGGTGGGCCCGAGCATGGAGTCCGCCTTCTTTTCCTCCTGGGCTCCCCTCGGGGAGAGCCAGGCCCTGACCTGGGTCCCCTGGTGGAGTGGGAGAGTCGTCGATACAGGGACCTGCTGCTCTGGGACTTCCTGGATGTCCCCTTTAACCGCAGCCTCAAGGATGTGCTGTTCCTCCGGTGGCTGGCCCACCACTGCCCCCAGGTGACCTTTGTCCTCAGGGCCGAGGACAATAGCTTTGTTAACATCAAGGCCCTGCTGAAGCTGCTCCGGGGGCTGCCCCTGGCCTCAGCCCGAGGCCTCTACCTGGGCCACGTCTTTGACCAGGCCTCACCCATCCGGACCCCCAAAGGGCCCTACTACGTGCCTGAGTCCTTCTATGCCGGGGCCTACCCAGCCTACGCCAGTGGGGGCGGCTACGTGTTTGCTGGGCAGCTTGCCCCATGGTTGCTCCGGGCTGCTGACAGGGTGGTTCCCTTCCCCATTGATGATGTCTATTCTGGCCTCTGCTTCCAGGCATTGGGCCTGGCCCCCCAGAATCACCCCGGCTTCCTCACCAACTGGCCAGCCAAAGGCAAGCAGGATAATCCCTGCATCCACCAGAGCCTCGTGCTGGTTCAGCCCCGAGACCCCCAGGAGACCATTCGCCTTTGGAAGCTTATGCAAAACGGGCAGGTCCATTGCTGAGGCCTTGGCAGTAGATAGGGGGTGGGGTGGCCCTCCTCTGCTCCGGCCCCGCCCTCTCTTCCCATCACAGGCCCATTCCCTGGAACCTCTGCCTCCAGGATCACAGCTTGTGAGGGAGGGAGGCTGAGGGCCTGCTTGTAGACAGCCAGGACCAAGGGCCCGGCAGGGGAGGCCTTAGGAACCAGACTGTCTCCACCCCGGCAGTCATGCCCTCGAGCTTGGCTGAGAGAGGACAAGGCTGTATGCGGCTTCTATTTATTTAAAACACCCCCCTTCCTGAATCAGCCTCCGGAGTAATTTCTGTTTCTCACCAGGGTAGGGGGTCAGAATCCTCCTCCACTCCACCCTGGGGAGCACAAAGCAATGGCTGGCACTCCCTACTACACCCCCCTGGGGAAAGTCTTGCCCTTGGCACCTGGGCAAGGCCCAGCCAGGGGAAGATGGTGAAAAAACACTCTTGGTCATCAGAGAGGGCCTGGCCCAGCCTACCTAGCATGAGGAAAGGCTTTGCTAGGGAAGGCCCACTTGAACTGGGAGGTGCTTTCTGGAAAGGACCCTGGAGCATGAGTCAGGAAAAGGGGACTCCAGCCCTGCCCTGCCTCTTCCCAGGGGGTTTTGGCTTGGGCCTGTGCCCTATGGGCTCTCAGTCTTGGGATGCCCTTCAAGGGATGTCCCAGCTTCAACAGTCTGGGCAGCTATGAGCTATGGCCTTCATGCCCAGATTGAAGCCATGTCCAAGAGGTGATTTTTCAACTGAAAGGTCTCTTTCCTGCCCCGCCCCCATCATGTCCCCCCTTTCCTCTCTCCTACTCACCACCAGCTCCCCAAACAAAAGGTGGGCCTGGCCTGAGCCAAATGCAAAGAAATCTTTATTTGACTCCCAGCTACCCAAGTGCACCATTTCTGACCCCTCCCATCCCCGACACATGGTAGTCCAAATCTATCTGTGTTCTGGCCTTCCCTGAGGAGCCCTGACTGCCTCTTGGCTGGGGCTTGAGGGACCAGCAGCCTGAGCTTCCCCAAAAGGCCTGGAGAGAAGGCACTGTCACAGACAGGAGGTGCTGGAGACCGGCGTTCTGTCCCCCTCCTGCCCCGACCTTCCCAGGTGCGCCGACCGCTGGGGAAGAGGGAAGGGTTTCTAGGTTGGGGGACGCTGGTCTGTGACAGACATGGGATGGCCTTGGCTCTGCCCCCCGCACCTCTGCCCCCCATCAAAGTCTCTGGGAGGACTTTACTTATGGCAGGAGGGAGGGAGGGGGGGGCCCAGCCTGGGCGGACACACCTCACCCCTCAGCACATGGCTGGCTCTGGCCCTGGTCCTCTCCCTGCTCACTCTCACTGCTCGAAATGGTCCAGTGGGTAGTGCTCGCCGTAGGCCTGCAGGTGGCGGCTCAGGGCTTCCTGCTGTTTCTGGAGCCGGGCCGGCATCTCTTGGTACACATCAGAGAAGAGGAGGCCAACCGGGGGCTTCAGCTTTCTTTCTGCCTCTTCGAAGGCCTCCATCACCTTCTCAGCATCGGGGGAGGAGAGAGGGAAGGGACAACAGTTTACTAAACACCTACTGTGTGTAAAGTTCCACTTGGGGTAGAGTATGCCCCGTGCCCTGAGGGAGATGCTGTCTGGGAGTGGCTGGCATTCACAGCAAAGGGGCTCCAGCTAGGAGGGTATCAGGGGAGACTTGAAGTAGAGTTGAGGGGGCCCTTTCAGGAAGCCCCCAGGGCCAAGGCACAGGACATATGAAGGCCCTGAATGCCAGGATCAGCAGTGAGGCCTTTATTTGTTACACATACATGGGAGGGCTGGCTTCCCTACAGAAAGGGCCACAGGTGCTCAACGGTCAACAGTACAGGACAGAGACAGCCATCTGCATCACAGGGTCACATTCAGAGCTGGAAGGGATGGTAGAGCCAAACCCCCTAGAGCCCTGAGCTCTCCATTTGGCTCTCATCAGCACCCTCTCTGGGCCTCAGTTAACCCATGTGGACAATGAGGGGTTTGGGCCCTAGCGGCTAACATCTAAAAGCCAGGACACCGGGATGCTCAGAGATGGCTAACCCTGTACTTGCAGGCCTGGCCGGGATGCCCAATGGAGCCCGCATTAATTTGAGGCAGCAACAATGGAAGGGGGGGCTGAGCTCAGGTTGGGGCAGCCTCCCATCATCCAGCTTCCCTCTGACCCATTTTCTGGAGGAGCAGCTTGTGCTGGTCATGGGACTACTAGTAAGTCCTGGGTAGACCCTGACTAAGTCCACCAGGTTTTGCCTACATTGCACTGCCCAAATCAGTCACAAAAGGCAAGCTTGGAGCTGGCCAGGACTGCAGGAATGGAGGGTGAAGTCAGGTGGCACAGGCCAGGCCCTGGCCTCCCTGAACCTTGCTTTCTTCTGTAAAATGGGGCCAGTAATCACTGTAGGCCCCCCCTGCCCCCTGCTGGAAGGCCCAAAGGAGAGGGCACAGGGAGATCCCCGAGGGCGTGCCTGACTGGGCAGCTACAGTTATGTTCTGGCGCCCACACTGGGTTCTCGGGCCCTCCTCACTCCACAGGCTCTCCTCCAAGGTTCCCTTCCATGTCCCTGGCGTCCCTCGGGGGCTCCGGGCTCCCACCTTCTTCCTAGACTGCTTCCGCCAGCCCTTCTCCTGCTCCTCATCCCACCATCCACGGCTCAGCATGTAATGGCGCAGCCGGGAGATGGGGTGGTCTTGCTTGTCCCAGTAATTGACCTCGTCCACGGAGCGATAGGCCGAACTGTCATCACTGGTGCTATGGTGCCCGATCCTGTGGGAGGGACAAAGCTGGAGAAGTGAGGCAGGGGAGGGCAGGGACTGGGAAAGGGGCCGTTCAGGAGGTGCCCAGCTACAGAGGGGCCTGGGAGAGGGAGCCCCACCACACCTGTAGGTCATGGCCTCAATGAGGAAGGGCTGGTTCTCGGCCACTGCCCGCCGCCGGGCCTCTCTGGTGGCATTGTACACTGCAAACACGTCATTGCCGTCCACTCGTATGGACATGATGCCGTAGCCGGGGCCTCGGGCCGCTGTGGAGAAGGACTGGATCAGCTTCAGGGGAAAACCTTCTGGGAACCACCAAGAGCCCTGGTGCAAAGCAGGGGCCCAGCCCAACCCTTGCCACCCACCTTGTGCGTGGGGCCAAAGCCAGGGAGAGGATTAAGAGGATGGGGGGTGGCCAGGCAAGGCAAGCAGAACCCTGGGTGACGGGAAGGGGTGGCCCTGTCAGAGACCTGCTTCACACGGGCAGAAAGGAGAGGCCTGTCAGAGCCGGAGGGAGCCCCCGAGCCTCTTCATAGCACCCCAGCCACACAGGCTCAGAATCAGGAGGCCTCACTCCTCTGCAGCTCTTCGGGTGCACCTCGTGTTGGGAGCAGCGCCTTAGGGCAGGGAGCCCCCCCAACCCCCGTACCGATGCCATCACCCCGATACTGCTCCGAGGTGGGAGTGGAGATGGCGTAGCCGTTGTTGCGGCAGAAGAAGATGATGGGGCACTCCAAGGTGGCAGCAAAGTTGAAGCCAGCATGGGCATCGCCCTCGCTGGCTGCCCCCTCCCCAAAGTAGCAGATCACGGCCTGGTTGGAATTGGCCCTCTTGGCTGCATAGGCTGCTCCCACCGCTGAGAAAGAAGGGGAGACACTGAGGTGGCGCATCATCTGGTCTGACCCCACCCCCATTTGGAAGAAGAGGAAGGAGGCCCTGAAAAGGGAGGGGACCTGTGCCCCTGCTGTGCCTCTGACAGAGTGAGGCCGGCCAAGAACCTTGGAGCACCTCCGAGAACGCGGGCCGAGGCCGCTCCCAGCTGCTCTGGGTGGGTGTACAGACCTCCCTGACAGCAGCACTCACCCTGGGGGATCTGCGTGGCCAGGGGGGAGGAGATGGTGACAAAGTTCCTTTCCTTGCAGCCATAGTGGACGGGCATCTGGCGCCCCTTGCTGGGGTCACCCGAGTTGCCGTAGCACTGGGACATGAACAGATTCAATGGGTAGCCACGGTACATCAGCACTCCTGGGAGAAGGAAGATGCAGACGTGGCCACATCTGGGAGGTGGAGGTGCGTCTCAGCCGCCAATACCACTGCCACCCTCAAGAACGTCCATCCCCAGGGCGTCTTCTTTCTGGCCTCCCTCCCTGAGGACACTGCCTGGGGTCTGCGTGGATCTCCCTCTAGCCTCCCGTTGGCCCTGCCCGGTTGACATCTCTGTCATGCTCTTTATGTAGCCACGTGCATACAGCTGGCGCTCAATGACCTGCTCTCTGACAGAGACTAACAATGCCCAAATCACCTCTCCTTCTACTTGGTGGGAGGTAGTTTTGTGGCTTCACGGGAGCATGGCTCTGCCTGGCCTTTGGCACAGCAGACCGGCCCAGAGGGCACTGCCCAGGACGGAAAGACGGACAGATCTCTGTCTTGGGAGTAAAGTCGGGGACTGTGAGAGCTGGCAAACGCTGACCCTGACGATCTGAACATTGGTCATCCAAAGCAGAGCCCTAGAATGGCCTCTGCTCCCTGAACTGGATGTGCCGTCTAGCTAGGTTCTCCTGGCTGTGCCCCCTCTTCATCTCTGACGCTCGGCTGAGGTGACGCCTCTGGCATACAGCCTTCTCCAATAACCCCAGCGGCCAGTGCTTCCACCCTCCCGCCTCTTGCCTGGTGGCAAAGTGGTTAGAGGGCCAACCTTGGAAGCAAGAACCCTCTGGGTAGCACTGGCACTGGAAGTGAGAGAGGGGGTGCCAGCCTACCTCAGTGGAGGAGAAATCAAGGGCCCTGCCCTGTCCCTCTACTGAACGCCTGGCTTATCTGTCAGTGCCCGGGTACGACGGAGGCTTCTTGGGGTGTAGGGTCAGGGCACTGCTTCAACACCGATTGACTTGGCATTGCCAGTATCCAGTACGTGCCCTTGCTTAATGATCTTAGGGACCACTGTTCCTTCTCATTTACAGGTGGGGAGACTGAGGTCTGGAGAGGAGGGACTGTTCACGGCCACATATGGGTCACATTTGGGTTGGGGTCAAAGCCAACAACCCCTGGGCCCACTGGAAGCTCCCCTCCTGAACCCCTGGCTCCTCCCCAGGGGGCCACCAAAAGGGGGAGGGGCAGCAGCCACGCCAGAAGAGCTATCCCATGGAGATTCGAACAACAGAAGCTGGAGGGAGGGATCAGTCGGCCCCAGCAGGGGTGGCTGCATCAAGACTTTCTCTGTTACTTAGGCTGATCAGGGGAAAATTCACAGTGAGCTGGCTTTCCCTGAGTGAGGTGGAGGAGGAGAGATGCCCCCCCACGTCGAGGGGGCTGGGAGAGGGGAGCAGAGCTGGACAGCTGGCCTCTTGGCCTAAGATGGTGCCCAGTGGCTGATCTTGAGGAGTCCCCTGGCTCACATAAAGCCCCCCCTAAATCCCTCTTGCCATGGCTGCTCCCACTTCCTCTGGCTGCCTTTGCCCTGCGGGGCATGGATGGGCAGCACCTTGGGCACAGGGAAGGACCACGATGGACTTACACAGCCTTCCTGCTTCTCGGCCAAACTGCCCTCGGCTCCAGCTTTAGGCCCCAGCTCGCGTGGGTACATGACATACCTGCCTCCCGGTACTGCCCAAACACCAGGTCTGTGTCGTCCAGGGCGGCTGCACTGCCCACGTGGGTGCCCTCCTCCCCATAGTTGGTCATGTAGAAGGAGATCCGGCCCTGCAGGGAGGTGGGGAGAAGAACAAAAAGGGCCCCAAGTCCCCAGGTGGGTTACTGACAGAACCCCAAGACCCTTCCACAGCCCTTCTCCTCTCTCTCTCTCTGGCCGTGCCAGCCTGACGATCACTGATCCTGAGAGCTCCAACCCTGGGCCTGGCACTGTGCCAGCCTCGTGGGGCCAGAGCACTTAGGAAAGCCTGAGCTCCCTGCAGGCAGCTTCTCTGGGATCCCCTGGGGCCCCTAGCACTGAGCTGTTAGAGAGCCACTCTCAGCCCCCCAGAAGAGGGGCCCAAGCAGCCCCCGGGACTCCTCTCCCCGCCCCCAAGCCTGTCCTTCCCCTTTCTGACATTCCCCTCTTCTCCCACCCCCTAAAGCAGAGGACCATAAGTCAGCTTTCTGAGCACCTGTACCTTGAGGCTAAGGTCCCACCCTCCCTCCCAGGGTCTCTTCCCCCAAGCTCTGAGGGCTCCCATGACTCCTTTGCCCCCCAGGAATGGCTTTGGGGGAGAGAGTGAGTGAGTGTGTGTGTGAGAGTGACCAGGAGTGCTTTAGACAGCCAGCGGGCCAGACCCCACCTACCTGCCTCTGAGACTCATAGAGGATTCTGTCCATGGTGTTGAGAAGAGTCATGCTTTTGTATAGCTTCAGGACCACCTCCTGAGGCAGCTAAGGACAGAGCAAGGGGAAGGGTGGGCTTGGCCTGAGCCCTCCAAGCCGGACTGGGGGCAGGGGGCCACGAGACCTGCAAGGTCCTCACCTGGGGGTCCTCGCTGGCATTGATGATCTGTCCCTGGCGGTCCATCACCCGGTAGACAGGGATGCCAGAAATGACATTGGGTTTAATGAAATCTAGCTTATCCACAAACTCGGCAGAGGCACCAGGGAACTGGGGTTTTTCATCCAGGGATGAGAAATCTTCCTGCTGCCACCGGGTGGCCTGAGACAGACAGAGGGCAAATGTGTCAGGAGGCTGGGGGGGGGCCCCCACTAGCAAATGCCAGGAAAATCCTCCTGTGCTTCTGCAGGGAGTAAGCTCTCCGTCAGGGATGCTGCAGAAGGGACATCCTTCCCCAGGACACTCTGGCCCAACTGCCCTCTGGGGTCCCTCCCAGGCTGCAGGTGCATGTCCTTGCAGCCCAACTAGCATCTTGGCTCCCCAAGGGAGTGTCCTGTCCAGCTAGTCAGAACACCACTCCCAGGAAGCTGGCAGCCACCCCGGCACAGCTAGTCACACAAAGCCCCGCTATGCCCCAGGTGTGGCTCTATGGGAAAGAAGCCTGCCCTCAGGAAGCTTATTTGGGAGTCTGGGCTCTGCTACCCAGGACAAGTACAGATAAGTACGAGAGCCAGTCTGCATAGCTAAATCAGTTTACACAACAGGTAGGTGGGTGCTTGTACATGGATGTGTCCTGGTGGGTTTAGAGAGAAGCAGGCTTTAAAACTGGCTCTGCCCATTAACGGTTAGCTGCCGGTGACTCTCCCAACAGCCTGGGAGGGAGGGGCTGGTATGATCCCCATCTGACAGAGGAGGGAACCAAGACAGGCAGAAGCAAAGTGACTTGGCCAAGATCACCCAACCAGTGTCTAGGGCTGAATCTGAACCTAGGGCTTCTCCAGGCCCAGAGCACTAACCACTGTCCCACCAGCTGCCTCACCCGCGTGACTGTGGCCAATCCTCATAACTTCTCTGGACCTCTGTTTCCTTATCTATAACATTAAAGAGGTGGAGTCCCAGGAGGTTCTAAGAACTCAGGGCGGCAGTGGATAGAATGCTGAACCCAGACTCAGGAAGACCTGAGTTCAAATCCAGCCTTCTGTGTTGGCTAGCTGTGTGACCTTAGGCCAGTCACTTATGTTGTCTGCCTCAGTTTCCTCAACTGTAAAGAGTTGATAATTATAGTATTTTCCCTACCAGGATTGATACAGGGAAGGCCAAACGGAATCTCTGTAAAGTGATCAGCACCGTGCCTAGCACACAGTAGGTGCTTAACAAATGCTTGTTCCCTTTCTTCTAGCTCTAAACAACAACCTGATCATCCCCATTGTCGCATCTGTGAAGGCCACTGGCCCAGCTGCCTCTGCGTTGTCCACTGCACTGCCCCAAGGCCAGGGACCTTCCCCATCCCTGCTGCAGATCGGAAGCCCTCCAAAGGCAGAGACTTTCTTTTATCACGTGTACATCTGCAGTGCTCAGCACAGCGCATGGAACAAAGGAAGGGGTGAGGGCAAACCCACCCCAGCCCAGACGCTCCCGAGGAGACACAGTTCTGGCCAGTGGGCTCCCGGCCAGCTCTAGTCTTGCACAGTCCCAGCAGCCATCCCTGCCCACACCAGGCATTTTACAATGGCCTTCCCTATGGCTGCCTTCCAATGCCTGGCCCAGGCCCTTCTTCAGGCCCTCAAAGAAGCCAACTTGGCTCAGTTGGTTGGGATAGTAGCTTGATTCTGGTATCAGCCACACTGGCATTAGCATGTGACCTGGTCAGTCTGGTCTTTTTGCCTCAAACAGGTGCTCTCCTGAGCACATTTCCATGCATCACCTCAGTATATCCTCACACCTTTCCAAGGTCAGGGCATAGCCCATACCCAGTGCAAGGGGACAAATGCTGTCTTTAACATTTGTAAAGCACCTGACACGTATTATCTGGAGTCTTTACAACAACCTTGTGAGACAGATTTGCTAAAAGTCTTATTCCCATTTTATAGATGAGGAAACTGAGGCTCAGAGTTACGTGACTTGCCCACAGCCAACTGAAGGTCAAAGGCCTGATGTTCTGGTGGTAACAGAGGGTATTCAAAGGATGAGAAGAAAGGCACGAGACAACTGGCCAGGACAACGGAGCCTCTGGATGGAGGACAGATGCTGGGTGGCTCTGTGTGCTCCCCAAGACCCTGGGGCTGGGCAGGAATGGACAGGCTCTCACCATGCAGTGAGGACACAGCCCAACAGGCCTCAGGGCAGGGCCAGTGCCAGCCACCTGAAGAGTGTGTGCCTGTGTGTGTGTGTGTGTGTGTGTGTGTGTGTGTGTGTGTGAGAGCATCAAGGCAAGGTCTCTTACGGGGGGGGGGCCTCTTTCCTCCCTAGTCCCAGCGAATAGGATTCTTGCCTCCCTTACATGACACAGAGACTGAGTGTGCAGTCATGCCTCCCTAGCCAACCTCTAGTTCACACACATTTGTCTCGGGTCACTGGGAATCAGGACAGGGAACGAAACCCAGTCACAGTCAGTGCCCATCCCCAGCCCCTCCCTCTCCCCCTGGAAGCTCCTGCTCACTTCCTGGCAATGCCTGTCCCACTAGCTGAGGGGAGGAAGAGATTCCAGTTCACATTCCTATACTGCTTTAAGGCTTACAAAGGACTGTCTTACGTTTTAAAACTTTACTTTATTGATTTGTGGATCTTAAAAATGCAAGAAGGAGATGATACATTAGACTCCACATGACAACAGGGAGGCACTCTTGGGAAAGGCCTAGGCATCCCTGTCAGAGAAGCAAAGGATAAGGGTCCCCATGCCTTCGGTAAATGCTTGTCAGTCCCAAAGATGGGCTCTCACCTCCTAATGAGCCCACCTTAGGTCAGGGGCTGGATATTGTGCCTTGCGTGCCAGGGGAGGATCAGGGCAACCTGTGGAGGCTGACCCAAACTCAATGTACATGGTCAGCCCCATTTCTCCAGCCCCCTCTGGAGACCCCACCCACCCAGCCTTTGGGCACTCCAGACACAGCCTAAGAGACCCCAGAAGAGTCCCTGTAGGACCAGAGCACCTCCTCCCCCCCAACAACCCTGCCAGCTGAGGAGGTTCAGAGAGGCTCAGAGAAGCCAGCGAAGGGAGGAGGCAGCACTGGAACTCAGACCCTCCCTGCCCCCACCCAAGCCCTCCTGTTCCTTTCCAGCCCAGAAAGAATACAAGCCTCAGGGAACTGGAAAGACCAGAACAGCCCTGGGGACCAATGGTTGGGAAAGCAGATGAGAGCCACCTACCTGTGACCTTCCCAGGCCCGGGGTCCAGCCCCCCTCCCACACCCCCTGGCCCAGCCAATGGGCAGGAGGCAGCCTAGTCCTGTTTCCAGCTCTCAGCACAAACAAGGCCCAGGACGCAGCAGCTGGAGGGGAAGGAGCAGCCCCAGACTGAGCTGGGATCTGCACCTTCCTGCTGGGAAGGGCTGGGGGGGGGGAAGCTGCCCCTCTGAGCCCCTCCCCAGTTGTTTTCCAGGCTGACCATGCCCTGGCCCTCTGACAGTCCTGGGAGCCCCGGGTGGGCTCCGCTATGGCCCCGGTCTCCCACCCCCCACTTCCAGGCTCCCTCAACCTTGCTTCCCAGGAGAGCAAGGCCAAGAGCTGGACCTGAACCCCGAGCCTCTGCCCAAGCCAGGGCTCCCTCTGGGCTTTCCCTTTTCCCCTCCCCCAGTCCACAGAAAGTCCAGAGGAACCCCTTCATTCTACAGAGGAAGATGTTGGGGCCCAGACATGAAGTGTCTCACCCAAGGTCACCCACAGTGAAACCCGAGGGAGGCAGGATTGCAGGGAGCTGGGGATTCCCCCTCCCCAGCCTTTCCGGCCTTCTCGTCCCAAATCCCCCAATCCCTTCCTTTTCTGGGGTCTCCCTGCTCCCTCCCTTCTCTGTCCTGGGGCTCTCCCTTTGACTTCCCTTAGGGGGGGTGTCTTGGCTTTTTCTCTGCTTCCTCCCTAGGTGGGATCGGTCCCTCCTCTCTCCCTGGACAGGAGAGATCTCAGTTCCTCCCCTGCTCCCTCCCTCATCCCAGGGGACTGGGTGGGGGGGGTCTTAGCTCCCTCCCTCACCCCAGGGGGTCTCAGCTCCTCCCCTGCTCCCACCCTCACTCCAGGGGTTCTCAGCTCCTTCTCCACTCCCTCCCTAGGTGGGGGGAGTCCCTTCTTTTTCCCGGGGTTATCAACTCTCAGAGTGGGAGCTTAACTCCTTCTGCTCCCTCCCTTCTGGGGGGGGCGTCTCCCCGATCCCTCTCCCGGGGGGGGGTCTCTTTCTCTCTCTCCCGGAGCTCCCCCCAGGGTCCGGGGGCGGGAGCACTCACGGATCCCGCCAATCCGCGAGGCCCGCGCTGGGCTAAGGCCAGCCCCCCTCGCAGGCCCCAGGCTCGTGCCGCTGCCGCCGCCATTTTGACTGGAGCCGTTAACCGTCTCGCTCCGCGACTTCCACCCAGCTTCTCTCCGGGGCCGGCAAGTCCATCGCCTGAAAAGCTGTCCACGCCCACGGCCCCACGTGAGCCAGCACTGCCTCCCAAGCCTCCGGACACTGCCCGCCAGGGAGGCAGCCCCCGTCTGCCACTCCCCCTCGGCCTCTGAGGCGGCTGCGCCTTCAGGCGGAAGCGAGGCCAGCCCCTTGACCGGGGTCCTCCGGGGCTGGGATAGGACTTCGGGCCATTTTGATCCCGCCTCCTCTCTCCAGGCGACCTAATAATTTCCTCTGGCCTAAGTTGGGGGCGGGACTGAGGGAAAGCGTGGCATCTAGCCTTTACAAACAAACTCTTCGCGCAAGCGCGTTGTGATCGTGGCTCCCGCGCCCTCTCCCACAGCTCAGGCAGGACGTGGGGAGGGAGGTTGAAATCAGTGGAAACCATGTGCTCAAACAAACAAATGCTTGCGCATGCTCCCCAAGACCTTCAGGCATGCGTCCTGGCCATCCCCGGAAGTAGTTTTGTACTGGCTGGCCTTCACGTGGGTGGAGATGGAGACGGACCTTGGCTCCAGCGCCGGCGGCGGGGATCTAAGTTCCCGAGGCTTCGGCTGCAGCCTCCGACACTTCGCCTGCGAACAGAACCTGCTCTCCCGACCCGATGGCTCCGCCTCCTTCCTGCAGGGTAAGGCGCCATTCCGCCGAACCTTTGCTTCCGGGTAAATACCCGTTTCCGGGCGAATACCCCGGCCTGCTGTGAGGGATGGGGCCTACTATTGATCCTAAACAGATCCTCCTCCGGAGGAAATAAGCACCCGCACCTCTCTTTCGGAGGCAAATGCCCTTTCAGCACAGGGGAGGGACAGCTACCCCTTTTACTCCCTCCACGTGGGTAAATAAATACACAAGTATTGGCTACCAGGGGTCAGTAACCTCCCGTCTTGGGGGGGGCGGGGAGGATTGGGACTCTGTTCGTAAAATACTTCAGTTTAGGGCCTCATTTTGTCCTTGAGCGAATAATCTGGGCAAAAATTACCCCTTAGCACAAGTATGCAATCCAGTGGGGGTGAATACCCACTTGGGGGTAAAAATGCATAAACACCTGGGACAGAGCTCCACCATTGAAGACAATAAAGGGTGGCCCAGGTCACACTTCCCTCCCTAGAGCTCCCCCTTTCCGGGTGAACCTCCCCTTGGTGGGTAAGAATACTCACCCGGGTAAATAAGTCTCCTGTCCCAGGCCGGGGATTTGATGCGGTTTAGGGGTTCAGGGGTCCTGGGACCCCAAAATCACAACACACGGGTCCTGCCAGACAGAATTTGACCCAAGCCTTCTTTCAGCCAAAGGCTAAGTTTATTAGAACATCCATCATATTGGGCAGACTCTTAAGGAGTCTGAACATTAGTAAACTATTGGCTAGATCATAAGAATCCTAACCCTGGCTAGATCCTAAGAATCCTAACCCTGGCTAGATCCTAAGAATCCGAGCCCTGGCTAGATCCTAAGAATCCGAGCCCTGGCTAGATCCTAAGAATCCTAACCCTGGCTAGATCCTAAGAATCCGAGCCCTGGCTAGATCCTAAGAATCCGAGCCATGGTTAGATTATAAGAATCTAAGCAGTTCATTGGAGACGGGATGGACATTATATACAGAAAGCCTGTGGGAGGGATTGAGGAGTGGCCAAGTAGTTTGGGGTGCTGAGAGGAGAGGCCTAAGGAGGTCTGGATGGGAGTAGAGATGGCCAGGGGCTATACAGAGGCAAGACAATGGAAGGGAGATTGGGTGCAGCCACAAGGAAAGGCCAGTGGATGAGATTATAGCCTCAGGCTAGTGCCCGAGATCTGGCCGTGTGGGAACGTCCTGGGGTCTAGATCGCAACCCCATCAGGTTCACACTGAGGAGCACATCCAGTTCTGCAAACGTGGGCATCTTGCCTGGCAAGGCGGGAGAGCCCCGAAGCCCCAGGCGGCTTCTGTGTCCACACTGGACCTTCCTCCTCCAGCCTCCATCCCCATCCCCAGGGGGCTCCCCTTTCTGCTGTAGGTGAAGAAACAGTCTGGGAATAGGGATCCCTGGTCTAAAGTCAGAAAGGTCTGAGTTCAAATCCTGCTTCTGACACTAACTGGCTGGCTTAACCTCCTCCTTCGGTCTTAGTTTCTTCATCTGTCAAGTGTGGAGTAATAGCACTTATATAACAGGATTGTCAGGATCAAATGAGACCTGTGTAAAGGCTTCACGAACTCTGAAAAGTGCTGTAGAAATATGTATTAGCTATTATTTTGTTGTCTTCAGTCGTGTCCGACTCTTCATGGCCCCATTTGGAGTTTTCTTGGCAGAGATACTGGACTGGTTTGCCATTTCTTTCTCCAGCTCATTTCACATGTGAGGAAACAGGCAGACAGAGTGAAGTGACTTGCTCAGGGTCACATAGCCAGTAAGTGTTTGAAGCTGGATTTGAACTCAGGAAGATGAGTTTTCTTGACTCCAGGCTATCTCACCCCAAAGCCTTAGCTATTATCAAGTGGAGCTTATGTAGACCCAGGTGGGAGCTGGGAGTGGTTCAGATGTGGTAGTCAGAATTTAGGAGAGGGGCATTTAGATGGCACAGTGGATAGAGCTCTGGCCTTGGAGTCAGGAGGACCTGAATTCAAATCCAGCCTCAGACCAAACACTTGACACTTACTAGCTCTGTGACCCTGGGCAAGTCACTTAACCCTGATTGCCTCACCAAAAGAAAAAAAAGAATTTAGGAGAGACCGGAGGGGAAAGATACCCTGTCCCTAGCCAGTGCTTCCTCCTCTGCCTTCATCTCTACAGGTGACACGTCAGTCCTTGTTGGCGTCTACGGTCCGGCAGAGGTCAAAGTCAGCAAGGAGATCTTCAACAAGGCCACCCTGGAGGTGATTCTGAAGCCCAAGATCGGGCTGCCTGGTGAGCAGGGAGCCGGGGGTGGGTGTCTCTGTCTCTATCCTTCTCTTCCCATCTCGCAGCCCAGCGGATTCAGGGAATGGCTGGTGTTTTAGGAATGTTGTCCGGGGCTGCTGGCGGAGGGCGCTTTCTGTGGTAGCCAAGAGCCAGGCACAGAGTAGAAGCCAGGAAGACTTGTGGGAACCGATGCCAGGGTAAAGCAGGCAGAGCTGGAAACACAATGTGCGACGTGACAGGGAAGGACGAACAGTGCTGCTTCATCCTATTCTGTAAATAATCCAGAAACACCACCCAACCATAATGACCTGGAGAAGAGCTGGAAAAACATACCTTCCTCCTGGGTTTGCAAAGATGAAGGAATAAGGAGAAAAGCCTTTTTAAAAAATTTTTATTTTTTCCACTTAATAGCATTTTATTTTTCCCAATTACACGTAAAGGTAGTTTTCAACGTTCACTTTTATAAGATTTTGAGTTCCAATTTTCCTCCGTCCTTTGCTACCCGCCCCCTTCCCCAAGACAGTGAGCAATCTGATATAGGCTATACATGTGTCATCATATTAAACATATACCACATTAGTTGTGTTGGGAAAGAACCAGAACAAAAGGGAAAAACCAGGAGAAAGAAAAAACAAAAAGAAAAGAGAAAATAGTCTGCTTGGATCTGCATTCAGACTCCATGGTTCTTTCTCCAGATGTGGATGGCATTTTCCATCAGGAGGTCTTTGGAGATGTCTTGGATCCTTGCAGTGCTGAGAAGGGCTCAGTCTATCAATATTAGTCATCGCACAACGTGGCTGTCACTGTGTACCACGTTCTCCTGGTCCTGCTCGCTTCACTCAGCAGCAGTCCATACAAGTCTTTCCAGGTTTTTCTGAAGTCTGCCTGCTCATCATTTCTTATAGCACAGTAGTATTCCATTACATTTGTATACCACAACTTGTTCAGCCATTCCTCTCAATTTTGAAATCTTTGCCACCACAAAAAGAGCTGCTATGAATATTTTTGTGCATGTGGGTCCTTTTCGCATTTGTATGATCTCTTTGGGATATAGCCCTAGAAGTGCTGTTGCTGGGTCAAAGGGTATGCACGTTTTTATAGCAATTTGGGCATAGTTCCAAATTGCTCTCCAGAATGGTTGGATTAGTTCACAGCATGCATTAGGGTTCCAAGTCCCCACATCTCCAACATTTATTATTTTCCTTTATTTTTCATATTGGCCAATCTGATAGGTGTGATGTAGTGCCTCAGGGTTGTTTTAATTTGCATTTCTCTAATCAATAGTGGTTTAGAGCGTTTTGTTGTGTGGCTCTGATAGCTTTCCTTTCTTCATCTGAAAACTGCCTGCTCATATTTTTTGATCGTTTCTCAATTGGGGAATGACGTGTCTTCTTATAGATTTGACTCAATTCTCTGTGTATTTTAGAAATGAAGCCTTTATCAGAGACACCAGCTGTAAAGATTGTTTCCCAACTCTGATTTCATACTGCTCTTGGTTGCATTGACTTTGTTTGTGCAAAACCTTTTTAATTTAATAGAATCAAAATTATCTGTTTTGCATTTCATAATGTTCTCTATCTCATGTTTGGCCACAAATTCTTCTCTTCTCTGACAGGTAAACTGTTCCTTGCTCCCCTGATGTGCTTATAGCGTCACCCTTTATGTCGAAATCCTGTGCCCACTTTGACCCTGTCTTGGTATGTGGTGTAAGGTGTTGGCGTATGCCCGGTTTCCGCCATGCTCTTTTCCAGTTTTTGCCAGGTAGTAAGTTCTTCTCCCAGAAGCTGGCTTCTCTGGGCTTATCAAATAGTCCTTGACTACTACGTCCCATGTACCTAAATACCACATTGTGTTGGTGCTTGCTGCTTTATAATGCAGTTTAAGATCTGGTATGGCTAGGCCACCTTCCCCTGCATTTCTTTTCGTGAATTCCCTTGATATTCTGGACCTTTTGTTCTTCCACATGAGTTTTGATATTTTTTTTTCAAATTTTTTAAAAACTTATTTTAAGTTTTCAGCATTCACTTCCATAAGATTTTGAGTTCCAAATTTTCTCCCCATCTCTCCCCTCCCCCCACTCCAGGACGGCAGGCAGTCTGACATAGGCTCTGCATGTACATACCTATTGAACCTATTTTCACATTAGTCATGTACTACATAGTTCTTTTTCTGGATGTGAATTTTGGTATTTTTTCTAAGCTCTATCCAATAATTTTTTTTGTAGTTTGACTGGTATGGCACTGAATAAGTAAATTAGCTTAGGTAGACTTGACATTTTTATTGTATTAGCTCGGCCTACCCATGAGCAACTGATATTTTTCCAGTTATTCAGATCTGGCTTTATTTGTGTGAAAAGTGTTTTGTAATTGTGTTCATATAATTCCTGGATTTGTCTTGGCAGGTAGGTTCCCCAAAATTTTATATTGTCTACAGTTATTTTAAATAGAATTTCCCCTTCTATCTCTTGCTGTTGGGCTTTGTTAGTAATCTATAGAAATGCTGATGATTTATATGGCTTTATTTTATGTCCTGCAACTTTGCTGAATTTGTTCATTGTTCCAAGGAGTTTTTAGTTGATTCTCTAGGGTTCTCTAAGTATATCGTCATATCATCTGCGGAGAGTGATACTTTTGTTTCCTCATTGCCTATTCTATCTAATACCTTCAATTTCTTTTCCTTCTCTTATTGCTAAAGGTAACGTTTCTAGTACAATATTAGGGTTTTTTTTTTTTAGGCAATTGGGGTTAAGTGACTTGCCCATGGTCACACAGCTAGTAAGTGTCAAGTGTTTGGTCTGAGGCCGGATTTGAACTCAGGTCTTCCTGACTTCAGGGCCGGTGCTCTATCCACTGCGACACCTAGCTGCCCCATTTCTAGTACAGTATTGAATAACGATGGTGATAGTGGACATCCTGGTTTCACCCCACTCTTACTGGAAATGCTTCGAGCTCATCCCCATTACAGATAATGCTTGCTGATGGTTTTATTAGATAGATGCTAGTTATTTTAAGGAAATCTCCATTTTTTCCTTTGCTCTCTAGTGTTTTTAATAGGAATGGGTGCTGTATTTTATCAAAAGCTGAAAAAGCTTTCATTAAGTAAGCTCTGTGTGTGTGTCTCTCTGTGTGTGTGTGTGTGTGTGTGTGTGTGTGTGTGTTCTCATGAGGAGGACAGCACACTTGGGCTGGGGCCAGGGAGAGGTGTTTTGATCTGGGAGGTCAAGGATGGCAGTAATGGCTAACATTTGTATAGCATTTTCAGGTTCACAAAGCACTTTACAGACACCTCATTTGATCCTCACAACAACCCTGGGAGGTGGGTGCTCTTATCCCCATTTTGGAGAGGAGGAAGCTGAGGCAGAGAGAGCTTCAGTGACTTGGCTGGCATCACACAGCCAGGAAGCATGTGAGGCTGGATTGGAACCCGGGTCTTCCTGACTCCAGGCCTGGAGGCTTAGGACAGTTGATTGACCTCCTTTCCACCAGTGGTAGTATGGGCTTGATTACTGTTTCCAGAGCGGAAGGTAGAAAGCGGGGGTGGGGTTGGGGGGTGGAGCTGGTGGCAGTCAGAAGGATGGCAGAGGAGGCTCCTTTGGCTGCCATCAGCGCAGGCGGGAGCTCTGCAGATAACGTCAGGCTTGCTTGGTGCGTTCACCAGATTTGCTGACCTGCGTTTTTTCTTTGTTTTTAAATTTCTTATTACAAGGGATGGTTTGCTGAATGGGAGAGGGGAAGCATGTGTTCCCAAAGTGAGAATAATTATGAAATCAAAAGATTGGGGAAAGGGGAAAAAAAAGAAGTCTGGAAAGGTAGGTTGGAATTAGAAGGTCAAGGGCCTTGAACTCCGGGCTAAGCTGTGTCATTTTTGTTTTAACAGTAGGGACTCACTGAAGCCTTTTAAAGATATATCTTGTGGGAAGCTAGGTGTGGTGCAGTGGATAGAGCACCGGTCCTGAAGTCAGGAGGACCTGAGTGTAAATCCGGCCTCAGACCAAACACTTGACACACTTACTAGCTGTGTGACCCTGGGCAAGTTCACTTAACCCCAATTGCCTAAAAAACAAAGAAACAAAAAAAGATATATCGTGTGTGTGACACACACACACACACACACACACACACATACATACACATACACACACACTAATTTGTGTATTTATCTGTCTTGTTAAATATTTCCCAATTACATGTAAAAATGCTTAACATTCATTGTTTAAATTCTGAGTTCCAAGTTCTCCCCCTCCCTGAGAAGGCAAGCAGTAAAAATTAATGTTGGCCATAATGTAAATGATCTCCTGGTCCTGAATCAACAAAATGACTATGCTTGGCCAGGCTCTGCCTCTTGATTTTTGGCTGGAGAAGATAGGGGGCCGTATGCTTGTAATAAGAAGCTTTGTCTCTGTGATCTCATTCCCTTAAGTATTCTGTTTGATGATGCAGATTGTGACCCATTTGGACCCTGCGGATCCTGGAGGGCTTCCATGCCCTTCCATGAATTGTTTCAATTCATGAAACAACTAGATGGTGTAGGCCATTTAAAGCAAATCATCTTTTCAATATACTTTTCAACCTATTTGTTCTCTGGAGTAGAGATTCTTATCCTTTTTTGTGTCAAGAACCCTTTGGGGAGTCTGATAAAGCTTATGGATTCCTTGTGGTTTTTAATGCATAAAATAAAACGCATGGGATTACTAAAGAAGCCAGTTATATTGAAATATCGTGTCAAAGTATATTTTAAAAACCAATCTCTTGGATCCCAGGTTGAGAACCTCTACTCTAGAGGCCTACATTTTAAAATTAATCATTAACATGATTGTATTGATGAATGATTTTATTTTTGCTGATCTTAAACCTAACAAGAAGTTTTTGTCCCATAAAAATCATGTTGTTTTTGGAGTCTCTTTAGTGATTTTAATTCTTGCACCTTTCCAAGTTAAGTGGGTTTTTGTTTTTGTTTTCTTCTAGACATCTACCTGTTAATAATGTCATCTCATCCTAAACATAAATACAGAAATTTCATAGTTTCTTATGCAGCATTTAAAACTTTAACATTTTGCTAACAGTTTACCTCTAAGGCTTTGTGGTAAAGTAGACAGAGAACTGGCCTGGAAGACCTGGAAGAGCAAACACACTGGCTGTGTGACCCTGGGCAAGTCATCTGACTTCTCTGTGCTCTAGGCAACCTTCTTTTTTATTTTATTTTTTTCATTCATTCATTGCTAGGCAGTGGGGTTAAGTGACTTGCCCAGGGTCACACAGCTAGTAAGTGTTATGTGTCTGAGGCCGGATTTGAACACAGGTCCTCCTGAATCCAGGGCCGGTGCTCTCTCCACTGCGCCACCTAGCTGCCCCCTCTAGGCAACCTTCTAAGAAGATAAGTTGCTGACTTCAGCATCGGTTGAGGGAATGTTCTCACCTGGAACTTCCCTATACCAATTAGATCACAGATCTAGTACGTCCTGTTCAAAGTTTAATTTCAGACAACGAAAGCAAGCTTGCTTTAAATTCTGCTTGATCAGAGCTATTTCTGAGTGAATGTGTAGAAAGGAGCCCGGCTCTTAGGTACGGATGGGAATCTGACCTGGGCAGCTGGGGAGGAGGGGCTGTGGGAGGAGCAGAACGTGGAGGGCCCCTCCCTTGGGCTCCGTTCTAGCTCTGGCATTTACCGAATCCCTCTCAGGCGCCTCTTTTGGGAAGGGGGGGGTAGTACTTGGAGTGTCTGTCTCGCCAGTGAACCGGTTTTTCAGTCCTTAAAGAATTATATAGGTTTGAGTCATTATTAGGACAGACAGGAGGAGCTTTGGGGTGGCTGGGTGGTGCAGTGGATAGAACACCAGGCCTGGAGTCAGAGGATCTGAGATCACATCAGACTCTAACTAGTTGTGTGACACTGGGCAAGTCACTTCACCCTGTTTGCCTCAGTTTCCTTGTCTGTAAAATGAGCTGGAGAAGGAAATAGCACTCCAGTATCTTTGCCAAGAAAACCCCACATGGGGTTGTGAAGAATCCAATGGACTAATTGACTAAACAGACAAACAGAGGACCTCTGGGGGCGCTATAGAGCCCCGGACCTGACTTCCGAAGGACTCCTCTTCCTGAGTTCAGATCCAGCCTCAGACACCTACTGGCTGTGGACCCTGGAAGTCACTTAACCTGTGCTTGCCTCACCGCGTTGCAGAAAGAAATGGCAAATCATTCCAGGAAAATTTGCCAAGAAAACCTACGGACGGTATGGTCTGTGGGCTCCCGGAGAGTTGGACGTGACTGAGCAGCGCTGGAGGCGGATGTGCGGATTTGGGGGTCATCTGCTTAGATGACCAGAAGGGCCCTGGGGCCGAGAAACAAGGGAGGAGAGATTGTGCAGGAGGAAGGGCTTGGTCATCTGTCCAGTACTGGATTAGTGTGTGTGTGTGTGTGTGTGTGTGTGTGTGTGTGTGTGTGTGTGGGGTCTGTGTGTATGCATGTGGGGTGTGTGGTCTATGTGGGAGGGTGTGGGGTACATGTGTTGGTGTATATGTGTGGTGTGTTTGTGTGGTCTGTGTGCGGTATGTGGTATGTGTGGGGGGGTGTGTATGTGTGGTGTGTTTGATGTGTGTGTGGTATGTTTGTATATGTGTGTGGGGAATGTGATATATGGTATATATGTATGGTGTATGTGGGAGGGTGTAGTATGGGGTGTGTGGGGCATATATGTGTGATGTGTGTATGTGTGGTGTGTGTGTGTGTATGTGATGTGTGTATGGTATGTGTATGGTATGTTTGTATGTGGGGTGTGTGTGTGTGTGTGTGTGTGTGTGTGTGTGTGTAGTAAAGGCAGGGCAGAGAAAGGGCTTCTTTCCAGGACTCCAGGCAGGCTGGAGGAGGAGCTGGGTCAGAGAAGGCCACAGTTCTGAGTGTGCCTTCAGGCAGTAGTGAAGGAGCCTGGGGCCTTAATGCATAAAGGGTGGAGAGAAAATGAGGAGGGGGGCAGCTAGGAGGTGCAGTGGGTAGAGCACCAGCCCTGATGTCAGGAGGACCTGAGTTCAAATCCAGCCTCAGACCAAACACTTGACACTTACTAGCTGTGTGACCCTGGGCAAGTCACTTAACCCCAATTGCCTAAAATAAAAAAAAAACAAACAAAAAAACCAAACCAACAAACAAAAAAAGAAGATGAGGGAGGGAGCGCTCCTTCAGGGAGGGCAGGCAGAGGATGGGGGCCAGGGGAGCAGAGTCGCGTCTTCAGACACTGGAGGGAAGGACAGTGGAAGGCTGAAGTTGGATGAGACAGCTCTTTTCTCAGTGGTTGTTACCAAGGTCATGGGCCAGGGCATGTCTGTCTGTCTGCATCGCGGGGCTCCTCTGTGGGCGTGTTTGTAGCTTTCACTTCTCCCTCGCCCCCTTGGGCTGCTCTAGTTGTTCTCTTCCAGGTCCTGGGCCCTTCCAGAGGCAGCTGAGGGTACCCCCCCCAACTACTTCATCCAAGGGGGAGGGAATTTTGGGTCCCACTCCTGCACCCCGGCCCCACCAGGGATTTGCCGAGGTGGTAGGTGAGGCCAGCTAGGGAGTTCCTTGGGCTGGTGGCCAGCGGGTGCAGCCACAGGCATCATGTGATGTGTGGAAAGGCCAGATTGTGAGTTGTATACGATGGGCTGAGGTCTTGGTCTGGATTTCTGCTACCTGTGGGGGGCCTTCCCTGCTGTATGGTGAGGGGGTGGACAAGAGGGTATGTCAGGGCCCCGGATGATGCGAGAACTGAGGTCGGTCGTTTCTTCTTCCCTCCCAGGAGTAGCAGAGAAAAGCAGGGAGCGGCTAATCCGGAACACGTGTGAGGCTGTCGTGCTGGGGACCCTGCATCCCCGAACCTCCATCACCATCGTACTGCAGATCGTCAGTGATGCTGGCTCTGTATCCTCTGCCCTGGGGACCTCTCTCCTCTCCCTCTTCCTTCTTCCCCAGGCTGAGAGCTAGGACACCTGGACTTTCTTGATGATTTCTCACATGGTTTGGGGCAGATCCCTTCTAAACCCTTCTGGGGGGCAGATTCCCCAATTATAAAAAAATGGTCGTCGGCAAGCTCTGTAGGAGGCAGCAGTGGGATGGAGGAGCCCCCAGAGCTGATACATCTTGAACTTCAACAGTAGAACCATGGCTTCCAGGAGTGAGGGGGTGATGGCCCAACCACCCTTTGACCTGGTCGGGGCATACCTGGGGGATCGTGTTAGTGCTGGGAGCCATGGTTTAGGAAGGAGAAGGTTGGGAGGGTGGCTCAGGTTAGACCTTGAGGAAGACTAGAGAGCACTGGGGGTGCTCAGCCTGGAGAAGAGAAGGCTGGGGGGTGGGAGCTGTAGCCAGGTGTCTGCAGGGCTGTCCTAGGTAGGATTAATCTTCTTCCACTCTGCTCCAGAGGATAGACCAGGGAGCCCTGGCAGGAAGCCTGGATATGTGGAAAAAGGAGCAGATGTGGGAGCTGCCTCAGGAGACACGCCTCTCCAGGGGCGTGGGAGGGTCTGCCGTCGGAGGACCTTTGTTGGGAAGGGCCCCTTTCAGCCAGGAGACGGGAGCTCTCGCCTCGCTGTGACCGATGGCTCTTGGGCCCTTTTCAACCCAGAGCCTGTGACCCAGATTCTGTCTCTGACTTGATGAGTGACCTCAGCCCAGTCTCTTCCCTTCCCTAAAGGGCTGGAGAGAGTTAGAATAGATAGCTCTAAAGGCTTTCCCCAAACCATCGGTCCAGGATTCCGAGCCTGGATAAAAGCCTTCGGTGGGGCCTGCCTCCTTGACCCTGACCTTTGCCCAGCTGCTGGCCTGCTGCCTGAATGCTGCCTGCTTGGCCCTGGTGGATGCGGGTGTGCCCATGAGGGCATTATTCTGTGGGGTCACCTGTGCCCTGGACCCAGATGGCGGCCTTGTCCTCGACCCCACAACCAAGCAGGAGAAGGTGAGCAGAGCCTCGGGTATAGGTCATACCACTAAATGAATGAATGGACAAATGAATGGTCACATGGAAGAGCATCCTGTTGCAGGGAGGATGGTCCTGGTGGGTGGGCCTGAGTCCCAGTGATCATCCACCTGACCAGAAGGCCCCTGGTCCGTGACCGCTGGGAAAGGGTGGGAGGGGGTCCGGTCTGCCAGAGGGGAGCCCCTGCTTCTCATGATGTATGGATGAGGGGGGGGTGTGTGTATGTGTGTGTGCCTCTCTGTCTCTGAGTGGGCGGGAGGTGGGCAGGGGCTTCATCGCTTTCATCTTCCAGGAGGCTCGGGCCATCCTAACCTTCGCCCTGGACAGCACTGAACAGAAGCTGCTCATGTCCACCACCAAAGGACTGTACTCTGTGGCTGAGGTAACTGCCAGGCCCAGAGGCCCCTGCGGCCCTGGGACTGTTTGGGGGGGTCAGGGAGGTCATTCGGCGGGGGGGGCATTTGCCCTACTTGCTTCCAGAGCTTAGGCATCTGGATGAGGCAGTGAGCCCGCGCAGACATTAAGCGCCCCCAGACCAGAGACCCATTCGTCTTTGGCTGGTTGTGGCTTTGGCTCAGCCTGGATACTGCCTGAGGTCGGCCTTGTGGTTTTCCTTCCCTTCCTGGACCTCATCCAGCCTCTGCACCTTCTTCCCAGTGGTCTTAGAGACTCAGGCTTGTTTTTCCCAGAGACCCAAGGTCCTTCCTGGGGTCCCTCTGGCTGGTTCCTGTAGCCCTCACATTTGGCAGGGATTTGGAAAGGGGGAACCCCCCCCCCACTCCCCAGCCCTCTGGGAGACAGGCGTCTGTGGGCTTTGGAGGGAAGCTGAAAGCTGTGGTGGGAGGATGTGCGGTCTGCAGGCCAGGGGTGTGACCTGGCTACAAATTGTGACGCTGCGCGTCCTGGCCCCGTAACCTTGAGCGAGACGAGCCCGGGTGGGGGGAGCTTTGTGCCTCTGTAAATGGAGGAGCTCACAGACTTGGAGGGTCCTTAGCATCCGGGCTCCACTCTCAGTGGGAGGGGGTCTTCCGAGCCTCAGCTGACCCCATTCCCCTCCTCCAGTTCCAACAGTGTCTCGCCGCTGCCCAGCACGCCTCCCATCATATCTTCCGCTTCTACAGAGACTCTTTACAGCGACGCTATTCCAAGAGCTGACCCAGAGCCGGGCCGGGGTCTCAGGCCTCTTCTCAGCTCTGAACACTCCCCACCCGCCTTGTGAATCTGTCTGAGATTTTGTCTGTCCTTGCAGGGAGTATTGGGAGGGGGTCGGGCAAGATCCCCAGGACCCCCTCTGTGGGCCTCAGTTTCCCCATCAGTCAAGTCGGGGCTCTGGCCTTCCAGGCTTGGTCCAGCGCTAAAACCCTGTCTTCCTGTTGTTCCTGCCCAGACACTCAGGTGCTGGGGAATGGGGCAGGAGCAAGCATTTATGTGGCACCTACTGTGTGCTAGGCACCGAGCTTAGAATTTTACGAATTGGTCTCTTTAATCCTCGCAATAGCCCTGGGAGGGAGGTGCTGTTATTATCCCCAGTTGACATTTGAGGAAACAGAGGCAGGTGAAGTGACTTGCCCAGGGTCCCACCGTCTGTATGTGTCTTGAGGCTGGATTTGAGCCTGACCTCGGGGAACTTGTTCTTTCCTGGAGGGATAATTCAGATCAAGGACATTTGAAGAGGGGAGAGTGCTAACATTTGGTGGGCATCTGGAAACCGTCCTGTGGGGGAAGAAAATAAGATTGGTGTGGGCAGAGACTGTTTCTGTGTGCCTTGCACACGGTGGGCACTCAATAAATGCTTGTTGTGAACTGAAACAGTGCCTGAGTTGAGTTAAGGTGGAGGAAAGGAGTGACCGTGTTCTAGGCCTGAGCGCCCTGGGGAAGTTCAGGGGGGGCATGGCGATCGGGCCTTGGGAACAGCCAAGAGGCCAGCTGTGCCCCAGGGTCGATTCCGTGGACCTTGGCCTGGCCCTCCCCTGCCCTTCCTGGGGAGAGAGAGATCGTGAGCTGGGACCAGTCATCTGCTCCTAAGTCTCTGTGGGCCCTTCCCAAGGCCAGGGCTCAGGGGCCCCCAACCCCCAACACAGACACACAACACTTTGGCTTTAGATGAATCCCAGGTTTAATTTCTTGTTTTTTCCTGGGCTGGGGATAGAAAGGGTAAAATGGGGAAGGGTCGTGGGGTAGGGCAAATAGAGATAAGGGGATGGGATGGGTGGGGAATGGGTGGGGGTGGGGAATGGGGTAAGGGGGTGGAGAATGGGGTGGGTGGGGATGGGGAATGGGGTAGGTGGGGGTGGGGAGTCCTTGAGGTCCTGGCTGCTGTCATGACTCAAGACCCCACTGGCCCCACAGGTGTCTGAGCCTCTAGAGGGAATCTCCAGAGGTCAGGTAGGTGGCCAGTGTGACCAGGGCTGCTGTGTAGATGCAGACCCCCCAGCCCAATGGCAAGGACAGCCAGCAGGAAAGCCCGCCTGGCAGACGCCCCGGCTGCCCGAACATCGCCTGCTGCCCAGGCCTTGTTAGTCTGGAGGGATGAGAGGGGAAGAGGCTGTGAGCCCTGGGCCCCAGGGACCTCTCCTCCCTGCTTCCCACCCACCCTCTTCCCCAGCACTTGCTGACCTTCTGGGCAAGAGAGAAGGCTGCTATGCCCAAAGGCCAGAAGCAGCAGAGGATGGAGAAGACTGCCAGGCCCACATAATCCCGAGAGAGCAGTGGGGTGAACTGGCCAACCCCCATTCCCTCATAGTCACTGTCACTGGACCAGCAATCCTGTGGAGGAAGGAGACAGGGTGGGGGGGACTTCTTGAGCCCCTGCATGGACCTGCCCAGAGTGGCCTTTTGGCCTCACTATCCAGTCCACTGCCATCACCCAAGCGCGGGCAGAGGAAGAAGCAGAGAGTGCCAGGGACCAGCAGAGGGGTGATAGTGTAGCGTCTGACCCCCTGGACCGAGATGCAGTGAGAGATGTGAAATGCCTACTGTGTGCTAGGCATCGAGGATAGAAAAACTGGTGAAATCCCTTTCCTACTAGTGGAAGACAATGGACAGGGATGGGAGAAGAGAGTTCTGATCTGGGGAGTCTTGGGGCTGCTGAGTGGAACCCCTAAGGAGGGAGACTGGTGGGGGTGTGGGGGTGGCTGGAGAGGGGGTCCATCCTCAGCCGAAGGGGAGTCAGTGGAGTGAGCCCTCCCTTCCATCAGGCAATGCCCCCCTACTCCCATTCCAGTACCAACAAACCCCAAGAAAAAAAGGGGGAGGAGCAGAGAAAGGTCTGCAGGACAGAGCAGAGAGACAAGAGCCAGTGCGCAGCAGAGGCCTGAAGGAACAGCTGGAGACAAGCAGAAAGAGGCAGAAGCGGGGACAAAGCAAGGAGACTGCAGAAGGATGAGGCCAGAGCGGACGCGGCAGAGACGGCCAGCCCCAGAGGAGCAGACCAGACGGATGGATGGGTGGATGGATGGGGACCAGGAAGAGGTGCAGACGCAGGGAAAGACTGCCCCTGCTGCCGAGCAGGGACGAGAGGGCCCTGGGGAGACTGAGTCGGCCGAGCTGCATCTGAAGAGGATCCCCAACAAGTGGCTGTTCAATGCCTCTGCTTGGAGCCCTGCCCGGACGGGGAGCTCACTAGCTCTGAGGCGCAGATGCAGTCCCTGAGAGATGTCCCAGGACGGAGACCCAGAGGAAAGAGAAAAAGCCCCCGGGCATGAGAGCTGAGGGGATGGTCTGGGATTTGGAGGATAGCAGAGCCTCTGCTGGCTCCTGCCAAATGGCTGAGCCCAGCTCCTACCTCTAGATCGGGGTTCTTGGGCTCCAGCAGTCCCAAGCTCACAGTGGGCAGCTGAAGCATCTCTTTGACCTTGTCTTTGCGATGGGCCCGCTTTGGCTTTGGCCCTGGGGCTGAGCTGGGGGGCTTGGAGCCGGGGGGCTTGGAGCTGGGGGGCTTGGAGCTGGGGGACTTGGAGTTGGGGGGCTCCACGACAGGGGATCCATCAGGTGGTGACCCAAGCAAGGGCTGATGCAGCTCCTGGGGACTGTCCATGGCTTGTCTAGACCCCCACAAGGGGAAGGGAACAAGAAATAGATGAGATAAAAACAATTCTACGAACCCCAATCCTCAATTACCCCAGGTCTTGCACAGCTCAAAGGATGCTTAAAGATCCTAACACCTCCTCCCCCCATCTTACAGGTGGGGAAATTGAGGCCCAGAAAGGGAGTCAGGGTCAGAACCCAGTGTCCAGACTCCCAGCCTAGGTTTCTCGCCAGCCCATCCCCCCTCCCCCAATTACTCATCATCCCCTCACACTGAGACCCAGGGTTCTAGCGTTCTAGGAAAGATCTCCCGCCCCTCCCCCCGCCTCCGTGCCCCCAGCCTCTGCATATATGTTCCAGAGACCCAATGTTGGCCCCCCCCATCCGTTAGCTACTGTGGTCATCCAGTATTCCCTACATCCTCAAGGCCCCCCCTTCCCCCAAAATCTGGAAGCTAGGGGTTCACTGTACCCTTGGGACAGGAGACAGAGCCCTGGGAAGCTTCCCCCGACTCTAGGTGAAGGGGTTTGGGAAAACCTGACCCCCGCGTCCCCCAGTTGTTTCCACCATCACCGCACCCCCCCCCCCCCCCCCGCCCCGCGCCGATGGATGCTAAGTGACAAGGACCTGTCCTGGGCTCTGCGGGGTATCCCAGGAGCCCTCCCCCTCCCGCTGCTGCCCCACTCACCCGGGCCCTCCGGGAGTGGGCAGCCCAGACGCCTGAGTCTGTGGGTTCAGGGTGCCCAGGGTTTGCGGGTGCAACGCCAGGAAGGACAGGGCCGAGGCTGGTACTGCGGAGCTGAGATCGCTAGTCCGCTCGGGTTCTAGGCGCCTCGCTCTGCGCAGCTGCTCCCGCCGCCCCCGCCCGGAGCCCCAGGCGCCCAGGACCGCACTCCCCCTCCTCCCTCCACTCCCCCGCTCCCTACCCTGGACCTGGGGAAGGCAGATGTTGGGAGGGGAAGGCAGGGGAGGGGGCCGAGCCTGAATTCTCTACCTCGGAAGGCTGCCGGGAGGGTGGTCTCCTGTCACGAGGGTCCGCCCCTCACCGTCCTGCACTATTTGCGCACACACCGCCCCCCTCTCCATTTCCTCCAGGAATGCTTCCTATCTTCCTTGACCCTCAATATTTCTCGTCCCCTAAACACCTCTAGGCTCTGGGCATGAGTCCCCCTCCTCCTAAATGTGTCAGGACCCCCAGAATTCTGTGCCTCACAAACACCTCCAGTGTGTCTCTGCCCTCTTTCTGCAGGAAGGCCTCTAGCCATGGTCAGGCCGCTGGACCCTTGAGGGGGACTTGAGTCCCATCAGCCTCCTTGGGTGGATCCCACCCTCCATCACTGGGGCTGGGCCAGTCTTGAGAGATCTGGGTGGCTGGGGTGTGTTCCCTTCCTGGGAATAGAGTCTGAAGCTTTCCCTCTGCCATCAGGAATGACCTTGGTTCCAGACCCAGCTCTGCCTGCCTCCCTAGGTCACCTCAGGCAATACCCTTCACCCCTCTAAGGCCTCAATAAATTGAGGATGTGGGACTTCCTCCCACATCTCCCCAGCCCCCATGTTCATGGAACATATTCATAGGATTTCAGGGTCTAAGGAAGCTTAGAAGCTAGTCCAACTTAATCATTTTACAGACGTGGAAATTGAGTCCCCTGGAGGGGGAGTTCACAGGGCCATCGATGTAGAGCTGGGAAGGTCCTCAGAGGTCATCCAAGGTCACCCAGTCTAACTGGTTCCATGAAGAGTCCAAAGCCACACACACACACACACACACACACACACACACACACACACACACAGAGATGGCCTTCAAGCCCAGCCCCTCTGATGGTGGTTCTTGGTGGATACTGGCCCCAGGCCAAGCTCAGGTTTTTAGCTCCCAGACAGAGAGCCTTAAGACTAGTACCCTCCAAGAGGTAACCCCTGCTAGCAGGGGAAGCTTCTAGAAAGGTCACTGCATAGGGAACCAGGGCTTGTAGTCCTATGGTGTGCCCATCCAGTGAGTAGGAGGTTGGCACTGGTGAGGACAATGTGCCCAAAGGTGCATGTTGGGTGAGGGCTCCTGGGCAGCCAATCAGGGGTGACACCTGCAATGACTAGTGTCCCGTTGGGTGTAGGTGTGAATGACTTTCTGGTCTGCTAGTGGAGTCTGTGGGACCTGGCTAGTTGGGCAGAAGAGGTGGGGGATGGTTGGCCTGCAATGATTGTGTGCCGGTTGTGAGCCAAAGACTCTTAGCAGACATGCTGAATGGCTAAGTAGTGGGTGAATGGCCAGGACTGCAGTCCTCAGCCAATGTGCCGGACACAGCGGGGCTGGGAGCAGCAGTCAGCAGAGGGAATCTCCTTCAGCCCTCTGTCCAGCCACAAAGCCCAGGAAATGTGTCACTGAGCACCTGGGGAAGGTTCAGCCCTGTGAGTTCATTGAAGCAAGGAACTCCCACTGTGCAAACTTTCTGTAGTGATGCAGATCTCCAGCTTACAGTCTTTCCAGAGTTGCCCACGCTGCTATGGGATTGGCCTCGGCTCCCACAGCTGCTATATGTCAAAGACAGGCCCTGGACACAGGCCTTTGTGACTGGGAGGGGGGTGGCAGTTCTCTATCTACAGTCTTACAAAAGGCCCCCTGGCACGATGAGAGAGTACACAAAAGGCTAAGAGAGCATGAGGGCATGCTAATGAAGTGTCAGCCCGGCCTCTCATTCACAAAAGTTGTGAATGTTTCCTGGATCCTCTGGAAATGGATGAAGACGGATGGGGTGAGATGCGACTTAGCTCAGGGGGAGGTTATTTCTCGCCAGTAAGAAGGAGGGATGTTTTCTTCTCTCTCTGTCTCTCCCTGCGCAGCCGCCCACCGCTGGCATCCCTTCCAGAACTGCTGGCTGCAGGGTCTGGTTATCGCCAGGCGCAGATGAGGTGCCAAACGCTCCATCTGCTGTCTCTTGGGGGACAGAGGAGGCTGTGAAAACCCGATGCTTTGCCTCGGCCTGCCTCTGGAGTGGGGGGAACCTCGGAGCCCCTGGCACCTTCGGAGTCTGGGGGCAGGGTGTGTGCAGGCAGGCCTTGGCTTCATTTATTCCTTCCAGGAACTAAGTGCCTGTTTTGAGGGAGATATTGGAGATGTGCCTGGCTCTGCTTGGGGGCAGGGCTGCTTTTAAGGGATAGAGAGGACAGAGAATTGGCTTTACAGTCCGGAAAAGGCCCTGTGGCTCCCAGACAGATGGATGCCCAGGCCAAAACCAGCCCCGTCCAGGAGGTGACCATGGCCTCGAGTGCTACCTCCTTTATCAACGTGGGCAGCACCGCGCTAGTCCCTGGGAGCACAAACAGACAAGAGGACCAGCCTGCTCTCAAGTTCCAGTGCGGGAGAAGGGCCCACGGTCCTTGGGTTCAGGTGCAGAGAGGATGCTGACACCTCTTCTTCAATGTCCTCCCCGCTGACAAACTGCTGACGTTGGGCCCCTGGGCAAGGCCAAGGATGTTCCCTTCTGGGTCCTCAGGAGCTGTGGCTGCCGCCCCTCAGAGGCAGTGGCCAGGCTGCTGCTTCCCAGGGGGATGGTGGGGCCTTGGGCCAGAAGCCGGGCCATCCCAAAGGCTCTGGGGCTCAGGATTTGGAGGGAGATGGTGGTTCTGTTCCTTCAGCGAGGCTGGCTTGCCCGGCCCCTGAGTGATGCTGGGCTGGCATTTGGTGGGGAGAGCTGACCCCTTCTCCACAGGAGCTGCCTCCCCAGATGATGGTTGGTGGTCTGGGGGTTACTACCACTCCCAGGGCTCTAGTGCGTAGCTGCCTGTGAGTAATCTAGGATAACCTTCCCTTCTCAGCCTCAGTTTCTTCCTCTGTAAAATGAGATGACTGTACTCGGTCAGGGGTGGGGAACCTGTGGCCTCGGGGCCACGTGCGGCCTTTTAGGTCCTTGGGTGTGGAAGGTCGAGTCCGAGTTTTACAGAACAAATCCTTTCATGAAGGGGATTTGTTTCGTGAAGTTTGGATTCAGTCACAGGGCTGCACTTGAGGACCTAGAGAGCCACGTGTGGCCTCGAGCCTGAGGGTTCCCCACCCTTGTACTAGGTAATCTCTAAAGTCCCAGGTCAGGATTCCATGATCCAGAACTGAATTTCATTAATTCACCGATGCATTTCTATGCATATTTATTAAGCACTTGCTTACTGTGTTCCAGGAAATGGGGAGCTGACTTACTTGGCAGGGAGTGGGGGGAGGAGACATCCAATGTGTACGAAGATAAGTACAGACATGTTCATTTGAAGAGGGGGTAGAAATCAGGGGAGGCTTCATGGAGGAGGTTTGGGATCCAGGCATCTTTCTAGCCCGCTCTGCCCGCCACTGAAACCTCCCTTTGGGATTTTCGGTGGGGCAGAGTTGGAGGGACACCCATATGTCTCCAAGAGGGGACGACGGGAGGCACAACTAGAAGACCTGGGAAGACCTGATTTTGAGACTGAGCACCAAGGAATGACTGGGGCTATGTCTTTAGGGCTGCCAATTTCTAGGGCTTGGGAGATACCCTTTTGGGCTGGCTCAGGCTGAGCTGAGTCTGCCCTGTGGTTCTCCCCTTTGAGGCTAAACAGAACAAATCTCGGGGTCCAGGAAGAGGCCTTTCTCTGGACACTGGCGGAGAGTCTTTAATGGCTAAAGGGGAACCCTGGCCTCAACACGTTCATCCGAGAAATGGGTCTGCCAGGCAGAAAGTAGAGCAAAACCGAGGAATTCTCACTCTCTCCATGTGCCTCTTGCATCTTCTCCAGCAGATTACAAGCTCACCCTGTCCAATGGTTCATTCCCTACTGCTTTTGAATGTGTCCAGTCCCAACCATCCTTAGAAACCCTCAATGGATCTGACTGTTCACTCCAGATACCGTCCTATGTGTCTCCTTCAGTCAAACTCCAGGAAAAAGGAATCTAATCTTGCCGCTTCCAGCACCCCCCCCCCCAGCTCTTTTCCATCTGGCTGCCTCCTTCATCACTCAGCTGAAACTGCTCTTTCCCAAGTTACCCACAAACGCCAGATCTGACGCTCTTTTTTCAGTCTTCATCCTTCCTTTGCAGCTTCTGACGTGATGAATGGTCTACTCTCGGTCACTCTCTCCCTTCTAAGTTTTTGTGACTCTGATCTTTCCTGGTTCTCCTTGTACAAGCCCAACTACTTCTCAGTTTCCTCTGTGGGCTCATCACCCTCAAGCAAAGGTACCACCCTCCCCGTTGGTGGCCTGACGAGCTCCCATGAGTTCATGCAGAGGACTCCCTCCTCTCAATATCGAGCCCTCATCACCCTCCTGAGCCCCAGGTCTGTGTCACCTGAATGGGCCGTTATCATCTCAAACTGGACATGTCCAGAGCAGAACTCACTGCCTCTCCCCTCATACCATGTTCTCCTGACCACTCTACGGTGAGGGCACCATTGTCCTTTCTGGTTCCCCAGGGTTGCCATCTCAAGTCCACCTCACCATCCCCCAAATCCTGCCCATTCAACCTCCATGATATCTTTCTTTCTTTTCTTCTCCTTCCTTCCTTCCTTCCTTCCTTCCTTCCTTCCTTCCTTCCTTCCTTTCCTTTCTTTTTTCCTTTCTCCCTCCTTCTTCCTTTCTCCCTCCTTTTCTTTTCTTTCTTTCTTTCTTTCTTTCTTTCTTTCTTTCTTTCTTTCTTTCTTTCTTTCTTTCTTTCTTTCTTTCTTTCTTTCTTTGTTTCTTTGTTTCTTTCTTTCTTTCTTTCTCTCTTTCTTTCTCTCTCTTTCTTTCTTTCTTCTTTCCTCCCTCCCTCCTTCCTTCCTCTCTCCCTCCCTCCCCTTCCCCTTCCCTCCTTTCCTTCCTTTCTTCCTTCCTTTCTCTCTCCCTCTCTTCCTTCCTTTCTTTCTTCCTTCCTCCCTCCTTCCTTCCTCTCTCCCTCCCTCCCCTTCCCCTTCCTACCTTCCTTTCCTTCCTTTCTCTCTCCCTCTCTTCTTCCTTCCTTCCTTCCTTCCTTCCTTCCTTCCTTCCTTCCTTCCTTCCTTCTTTCTTTCTTTCTTTCTTTCTTTCTTTCTTTCTTTCTTTCTTTCTTTCTTTCTTTCTTTCTTTCTTTCTTTCTTTCTTTCGCAGTCGGGGTTAAGTGACTTGCCCAGGGTCACACAGCTAGTAAGTGTCAAGGGTCTGAGGTCGGATTTGAACTCGGGTCCTTCTGACTCCAGGGCCGGTGCTCTATCCACTGCGCCCCCTAGCTGCCCATCCATGATATCTTTCAATGCCATCCCTGATGTGTTCTATTTTTTCATCTCCTCTTTTGCTTGTACTATTGCAACGCCTTCCTAGCTCGACTCCCTGCTCCTGGTCCAGCCTCCCCGATCCATCCTTAATGCAGACGCCACAGTCATCTTCCACTGGTCTCACTCTTTCACTCCTCTGCTTAAGAACCTTCAGGGCTTCCTAACTGTCCCTCTGCAGTGGGTGCGGAAGCCCACTGGAACATGATCTCAGGAGCCGATTGTGAAATTTTCAGGGTGAAAATTTCAGAAGACTGCAAATGCTTTAATGCAGGGCTTGGTGCAACCTTGGGTTTGGTTGATTGTCTAGACTTAAGACAGTGATGGAGGGGATGACAGTAATTCAGATTAAACTTAAAAGTGTGTCCCACTGAATATTTTCCAAGAGAGCTGTTGTTAAATATTCATCAGAACATTTCTATCTCTTGGTTAAAATACAAACTCAGAATAGAGAATTTTTTTTTCAGAATAGAGAATTTAGAGGCAGACATCCCCAACCAGCGTATGCAACGTGTACTAGAAAGGAAAATCCATCATAACATTGTGGTTCATTCATTTTTCAGTTGGTTCTGACTCTCCGTGACCCCATCTGGGGTTTTCTTGGCAGAGATACTGGAGTAATTGTCATTCCCTTCTCCAGCTCATTTGACAGATGAGGAAACTGAGGCAAACGGGGTGAAGTGACTTGCCCAGGGTCACACAGTTAGTAAGTATTTGAGGCTGCATTTGAACTCAGGCCTTCGTGACTCCAGGCTCTATGTACTGTGGTGCCACCTAGCTGCCCTCGCGTTATAACATGGTTGTTGTCCTCTGCAGCAGGCATGCCATACTGGGTGGCTCTGTTCCAGTGTCTCCTGTGTCTCACGACTGATTCCCACGTTCTTCAGAGAGTCCTTGAAAGTGTCCTTGTATTGCTTCTTCTGACCTCCATGGGAGCGCCTGCCCTGCGTGGGCTGTCCATAAAAGAGTCTGTTTGGCATCGGAGCAACATGCTCATTAAAACTGCACTGCACTAGAGTTTGAATGCTTGGGAGTTCAGCTGGAGAAAAGACTTCAGTGTCTGGTGTCTTATCCTGCCAGGGGATCTTCAGAATCTTCCCAAGACAATTCAAGTGGAAGCGATTCAGTTTCCTGGCATGACGCTGATAGACTGTCCAGGTTTCACAGGCATACAACAATGAGGTCAGCACAATGGCTCTGTAGGCCTTCAGTCACCAGACTGAAGTCAGTTTAATACCTCTTCTCTCCTATACTTTCCTTTGGAGCCTCCCAAACACTGAGCTAGCTCTGACAATGCATGTGTCAACCTCGTTATCAACGTGTACATCCCTGGAAAGTACACTGCCAGGGTAAGTGAGCTTATCCACAGCATTGAGAATCTCTCCATTTGCTGTAACTGATGGTTGCACGGATGGATGGTGTGGTGCTGGCTGATGGAGCACCTGCGTTTTCTTGGTGTTAATTGTTAGGCCAAAATTAGCACGAGCAGCAGAGAATCGATGGATACTTTGCTGCATCTCGGCTTCAGAGGCTGCATGGAGTGCACAGGCATCTGCAAACAGAAAACCATGCACCAACACTCCCTCTACTTTGGTCTTGGCTTGTAGCCTTTTCAAGTTAAATACTTTACCATCAATTCGGTAACTGACCTCGATGTCACCTTCATCTTTTTTGAGGGAGTCCGACAACATTGCTGAAAACATCACCCTTGAAAGCATGGGAGCAAGCACCCTCCACTGGTGACTGGGAAAGCATGAAAGTACCATCCATTGTCCAGAACCCGGGAAAGCACGCCATCATGAGGCTTGACCATTAGTTATGCGGTGTCTGAGGCACAGTCCATCACCCTCAAAGCAGCTTATTTCACCTTTGGATAGTTCTAATTATTAGGAAGTTTGTCCTGACAACAAGCCTCAACTTACTTTGTCTTTTTGCAACTTCATGTAATACGCTGGGCCTTGAGCTGAGGCAGCTCAGTGGAGAGAGTGCTGAGCCTAGAGGCAAGAAGACCTGAGTTCAAATCTCAGCTCAGATACTTACTGGCCGTGTGATCCTGAGCAAGAACTTAACCTCTACCTGCCTCAGTTTCCTCAGCTGTAAAAGGGGATCATAATAGCCCCTACCTCACAGGGTTATTGTGAAGATCAAAGGAGATACTATTTGTAAAGTGCTGAGCACCGAGCCTGGCACACAGCAGGTGCTCTATAAATGCCTATTCCTCCCTTCCTTTTACCCCAGACCAAACAGAACACCTCTAAGCCCTCTGTTACATGATAGCCCCTGTGCCTTCTCTCCCAGCCTGGTATTCACAAACTCTCTCCAGTCCACCTTTCCACACGTAATTCCCCTTACTCTTTTTCGTTGTACTTTCTAGCCAAACTGCCTCCTTGGCCATCCCCGGGAGGTGCTCTTCCATCCCCTCACTTCACCCCTCGTGCCTGGCATGCAATCCTCCCTCACCTCTGCCAGCCTGACTCCCTAACTTGTATCAAGGCACAGCCCAGGTGCCTTTCCCTCTTAAAAGTCCTTATAAAATTTTTGTTTTTTTACATCATCAAAATTTCCCCCTGTATTTCTCCCTGTCCCTTTTCCCACAGAGCCATCTCATATACCATTTCCTTTCTATATATTAAGGGCATGTACCTACCACTGGGGCAACTAGCTATTCTATACTGTCACCAAGGCAGGTATAGCTTGAAATTACTCCGGGTGTTATATCTGAGCCAGCCACCAGGTGGCACCTGAAGCCCTGAACTAAGAGAGCGTCATTGTGCAGGGGTAGGCTGCCATCAGCAGTGGAAATGCGCCCACTGGAAACTGAGCAAACTCAAGTCCCCTGCACAGCTTGTCTGGATTACGTTCAGGCACTGGGCACATCCAGGGAGGAGAGAGCCTTGCCTGGGCCCTGCATCCCTCCAGTCTCCATCTTCCAGGGAATCTGCCTAGAAAAAAAGGATGAGTGTTTCCATCCTAATGCACACATTATGAGATGGCTCTAGTCCTCACAGCCATTGGCTCAGCGTCTTCCTCACAGCAGCATCAACTTCATGGGATTATTCAACTCACATACAAAGGAAAGGACTTTGCATAATCTAAATGGAAAAGTGAAAGGTATGGAATGAAAATTACAGAGCAGCAGGTGTGAAAACTGGATTCCCCCCTTCTCTTGTGTCAGAGGAATTGGTTTTAACCTGAGGGAGAGAAGCAAATCACCTTCACCCCATTTCAGATCCAGGTGATTCAAGGTCACGTGATCTCTACCTGTAAGTCAGCAGAGTCGATGAAATCAGGTCCTCAGGAAGCCCATCAGGATGATACTCTCCTGAGTTACTTACTTTGTTCCCATGGGCCCGTCCCTTTCTTTTTCTGACAGGTGCCTTCCTTCTTTGCTGGACTTCTGGGCCTCTTGTTCTTCAGGCCAAGCACCATGACCTTCTTTTATTGTTTTGTTTTATTTTGTTTTTTTAGGCAGTTGGGGTTAAGTGACTTGCCCAGGGTCATACAGCTAGTAAGTGTGAAGTGTTTGGTCTGAGGCTGGATTTGAACTCAGGTCCTTCTGACTTCAGGGCCTGTGCTCTATCACTGCCCCACCTAGCTGCCCCATGACCTTCTTTTAAAAAGTAAAATCCCTACATGATGTGAGGTTAGATAACCTCAGGCAACTCCCTTTCAGCTAAATGCCCAAAGGCTGTTCTAGCATTAAAAGACTGAAGATAATGTAGGCAGACAATAAGTATAGGCTGAAACAAGCTGCTTCAGACAGAGGCGACATAGCTATCTATCACTCATCTATCCATCCATCCATCCGTCCATAGATCTACATATCTATCAATATCATCTTTCTATATATCTAATCTATTCATCCATCCATCCACATCTATATCTATGATCTATCTCTATTTATCCATCCATATCTATCTATCTAATCTGTCCATTCAGCCACATCTATCTATAGATATCATCCATCCATCTACCCATCCACTCATCTATCCATCCATCCATGCATCGATCTACATATCTATTTGTCTATCAATATCATCTTTCTATATATCAATCTAATCTATTCATCCATCCATCCACATCTATATCTATGATCTATCTCTATCCATCCACATCTATCTACCTCACCTCTCTACATATCTATATCTATCCATCCATATCTATCTTTCTATCCATCCATATCTATCTATACATCCATCCATCCATCCATATCTATCACCTATGTATCTATCCATCCTTCCATCTATCCCTCTATCCACCTACATCACCAGTCTGTACACATGTAATCCCTCAGCAGGATGTAAAGTCCTTGAAGACAAGTGACCTGTTACACGTCTATGATCCTGGTTTCATGTTTCATTTTTGTCCTTTTAACACTGGTGCTTTTCTCGCTGCCTGGAACACAGGAAACACTAAATAATAAATGCATGCTGATTGATTTTTTTTTTCAACTTAGTGATTAGTTATTTTATACTCCAGCCAAATGGGATTGTTTCAGGGATTGTTTCATTTTTGACCTAGCAGCCCCAGTGTGTAGCAAGTCAAGCGAACAAGCTTTAGTATTACAAGAGGCACATAGTAGGTACTTCACAAGTTCAGCCTGAAATGAATTGGATTTCTGGCTGTGAGGCAGGGGGATGGCTACACTGAGAAGAAGGCAGTTTCCAGTAGATCTGACAGGTGCTATGTGAGCAGAAAGTGGTTTTACTAAGGGTGGCAGGCTCGGGTTTTCTTCTTGTTTATTTGGAATACGAAGGTAGAATAAAGTCGGGCTACACACTCAATATGGCCGCACCCTAACGTCCACATGCCACACCCAATATGGCACCAGGGTACGATATTGCCCTTCCCCCTTTCCCCCCCCCGCCCGCCCCCTTGAAACGTTTCATGAAAGAGAGGGGAAGACAGCGCCTTAGTCACAGACCAATCAGAGCCCAACAATGGGGTGGGCGCAAGGGATCTTGGAAGGGAGAAGACGTTAGTCCTACCCCATCACCTTTCGTAAAGACCAATCAGCAGTGTGCTGGGCGGGCACACACGCAGGGAAAGGGAGGGATTTCATTATCGCCCCACCCCACTCTAGCTGAGGCCCCAATCAGCACAGAGCAAAGGCGTGAGCGAAGGGAAGGCGGGAGATACCTACTGGCCCCGCCCCATTTCCTCTCCGATGACCAATCAGCGACGCGAGGGCGTGCACGAATGCTGCGGAGGGACGACAGCGAGCTTCTGTTGCCAGAGCAACGGTCCGAGCAGTCACCCGGAAGCCGTGGAGCCTGCCGACGGTCCCGAAGTCTTCAAGTTTCTCGGGTAAATTAGGGGCAGGGGAGGCGGGGGCCGGGCGCCGTGAGACGCGGGGACGTGTCTCTGTAGAGTTGTGCTTGCCAGAGAAACGGCGCCTGCGCGGCGGCTGGAATCGCGAGCATTTTGCTTCGCTCCAGAGATACTGCGCATGTCTATTTGGAAGTGGGGGGCGGGACTAGACGTCAGGGGCGGGGTTAGAGGCGCAAGGGGGCGGGGCTACAGGATAGGCGTTATCGAGTCAAGATAATAGCTAGCATGTATATGTATATACGTATATACATACATGCATACATATATATCGTTTTAAGGTTGGCAAAGCGCTCTAAATTATCTAACTTAACCTCACAACAACCCTGGAAGGTCTATACTATTATCCCTCTTTTTAAAGCTGAGGAAACTGAGGCAAACAGCCCAGGGTCACACAGCTAGTAAGTGCCTGAAGTTGGATTTGAACTCAGATCTTCAAGACTTTGGGTCCAGTGCTCTATCCACTGAGCTGAAATCATGATGTGCTCATTTTACAGGTGAGAAAATTGAGGCCCAGAGAAGGAAACATGTCTGAAGTCAGGAAGCAGTTTGGTCACTGCTGAACTCCAAAGGCTTCCTTCCTGGGGTCTTCTGACATTTCTCCTCTCGTCTCCACGGAGCCATGGCTGAGGTCCATGTAATTGGGCAGATCATTGGGGCAACAGGTTTTTCTGAGAGCAGCCTCTTCTGCAAGTGGGGTGTCCATATAGGTATGTGTGTGGAGACAACCTAGCCTCCTCTGCTCAGATCCCTGGGGATTCCTCTATACCCTCCCCTCTCTTCCCAGGAGGGAACTTGACCCTCCTTGACCTTCCCTGTCTACACAGCTGGAGAGAGTATTGGATGGAGGGGGGGAAGTCCTGAGGTCCTCTTCCTGATTCTTCGGGACCCACACCCCCAAGCTGTGTCTCCACAGCAGAGTTCCTGCCCACCAGACCCTTCAACTCCAAAGAGTCCTAGACCTCTCTCCTCTCCTCCTTTCCTCTGGGACTGTGAGAGAGCCCTTAGCCTGGGGGGGAGATAGGATATCTGACACAGGTCTGTGTCCTACAGGGAAGCTACTGACCTTCACTGGCCTTCTTTTTGGCTAGACTCGATTTGGGATTGTAGAGGCAGAAGGGACCTAGACATCTCAGCCAAGAAGCTCATTGTACAGTAGAAGAAGCCCAGGCCTAATTAGGTTACCGGTGGGCTCTTTATAGTGCCAGGGTGGCACCTCCCCTTAACCCAACATCCCCTTCCTCCTAGTCCCTCCTTCCCCTCAGAGCCTCTTTCCTTCTTTGACCGGCAGGAGGAGCATGGAAGCTGCTGTCAGGCGTTCGGGAGGGCCAGACACAAGTGGACACCCCTCAGCTGGGCAGCATGGCCTACTGGTCTCACCCAATTGACTTGCATTTTGCCACCAAAGGCCTGCAGGGTAAGGGCAGGGGCTCCAGGCTTGGGAGTAAGTGAGCAGGGAAGGGACAGCTCCAAGAAGTGCCTTTGGCCAGGGGAGATGAGGCTCTGTCCAGCTCAGTGAGCCTAGCAGGCCTTCAGGCTACAGAGGAGCCCAGGGCTGGATTCTGGGCTTGGGGAATCCCACCTGGGCCCCCAAAGACTGGGAGGGCTGAAGAGAAGGACGAGAGACCCAGAGACAGTCTGTGTTGTTTCTTAGGCCTGACAGAGACTTGTCATTCCTGGTCAGAGTGTGGTCACCATTGGTTGGCAGGAGCAGCTTGGGGCGGGAGTCCCCTTGGGGACTGGGGCAGACCCATGGGGTGGCTGGTGGCCTGGGCAAAAGCCTGGAAGGGAGCCGGGAGCCCAAGGCTTGGGAAGGAGGGCTGGAGCAGCAGGCTGAGGCAGGCTCTGGCTCCTCTCCCCAGGCTGGCCTCGGCTCCACCTGCAAGTCTGGTCTCAGGACATCTTTGGGCGCTGCCAGTTGTCCGGCTATGGCTTCTTGCACATCCCCAGCAGCCCTGGGGCCCACAGCCTTGACTGTGTGACGTGGCGCCCCTTGGGTGGCTGGCGAGAGCAGCTGGCGAGGGCCTTCGTGGGTGGTGGGCCCCAGCTGCTCCACGGGGACGTAGTCTACTGCGGGGCTGACCGATACCGGCTCCACACAGCAGCGGGGGGCACCGTGCACTTGGAGCTGGCACTGATCCTGAGAAACTTCTCCCGCTATGGCATTGAGTGCTGAGTACCTCGGCCAGCTCCCAGCTCCTTACCCCTCCCCAATTCCCTGTCTAACTGTCCTCCCCTCCCTTCCTCTTTTCTGTCAGTCCCCAGGTTTCTGCGCTCAGCAGTCGATCATCAGACTTGTGCTGAGCTTTGATTATGTGCCAGGCACTGCCCTAAGGAGGCCTTGGGGGGTACCAAGAAAAAGCAGCATGGCCCTGCTCTCCGGGGTCTTCCGAGCCAATGGGGGGCGACCTCATGGAAAGAAATACATGAATTGGTATATACAAGATTCCTCCAGAGTACAAACATCTCATCTCTGTCCCTCCCCTACTGTGAGACCCTGGAGTTCAACCCCTTCAGGGAAACTGAGCCCAGGGACACCCCATTGAGTGACTGAGTTAAGAGGAGCCTTAGAGACCCTGGATGCTATCTGGTTCATTCCAGTCTTTGAAAATGGGAACACCAGGTCCATAAAGGGAAAGGAACCTGCCTCAGGGGCCCTGGGCCCAGCCATCTTCCATAGGCCCACTTCCTGGACTCCAGCTTCCTTCTCTGCGTGTGGGCCCCACTGATTCTCTTCCCCTCTTGACCTCTCCCCCAGCGCCTGCAGCTCCTTCCCTCTTCCCCCTCTCCTTGGCCATTCCCCTCGGGGTCCAGGCTGTCTTTGGAGCTCCTCTCCCTTGCCCTTGTCTCCTGGCTTCTTTCCCTCTCACCTGCCCCCTCCCCCCAGTAAGCTCCCCGCGTTCTTTCCTCCTTTTTCTCTCCTCCTCCGGTGTTTTCTCTACAGCTTTTCTGCACTGCCTTACCTGGTGAAGCTCTGTGCTCTAGACTGCTACCTCGTGCTGAAATGAGGCTTGCTCCCTGTCCTCAGAGAATCCTCCCTCTAGGGGCGCAGGGGATGAGACCCCAAGGCTTCCAATCCCTTATTTGTCCTGCCCTATCCATCTATCCCCGCCTTGAAGCCTGCCATCCCCACCATCTCTTCCTCCCGACCCCTTCCAATAAGTGGCCTTGGATCGCAGGCCGAGTTCGTCCCGGGGTCTGAATTGGGGTGGGGTGGGGAGGGAGAGCACCGGGGCCAGTAAGGGGCCGTATCCGCCGCGCGTGGGGGGGAACTCCTCACCCCCACCCCAGGGGGGAATAGAGTCCGTACGCCCCGCTCCCCTGGCGCTGGGAGAGCCCCGAGTGACTTCTCCCGGCGCTTCGCGGCCCCTCCCCATTGCGGCCGGGGCCTGGGCAGACGCCCGGGCGGGGGGAGCCCCTAGTCCAGCTCGCTATTGCCACCCCACCCCCCCATTGCCGGCGTGGGGGGAGTGAGGACGCCGGGGTCCCGGAGGCGGGGCGCCATCCCCCGGCCTCCGGGCGGCTGGTAGTGGTGGTGGTGGTGGTGGTGGGGGGAGCCGCGCTTCCCTCCCTCCCTCCTTCCCCTCCTTCCCCCCGCCTTTCCTCCTCGGCCCCCGCGCGCGCTTCCTGGGTGGGGCCGCAGCCGCTTCAAAAAGCTCCGAAGCCCGAACCCGGCTGCCCCGCCGGAGCCGCCGCCCGCCCCTTGCCCCTGCCCTCCGCCACCCCCGAGCCGAAGCTGCGTTCCTGGGGGGCGCCCCCCGCCCCGTCTCGCCCCGCACAACCGCCACCGCCTCGCAGCCCAGCCCCGCCCCGGCTCATGCGGGGCCCCTGGGGCCGGCCGGGACCCCCCCGGCTCTAGCGGGGCCCGGGTCGCCGGCCCCAGCGGGAGGAAGGAGGAAGGACGAGGAGGAGCCGGGGGCCCAGGAGCCGCTGTCTCCAGAGCAGCCGCAGGAGCCGCCGCCGCCACCGCCGGGAGGAGGGGAGGAGGGGGGAGAAGGAGGAGGAGGAGGGACGGGACTTGTTGCCCAGAAGTTGAGACTTTCTCACCGGCCGAGCCGGAGCGCGCCCTGCCTGCCCCCGGGAGCCAGGGCCACCGCGCCCTGGACACTCCGGACCCAACCGCCCGCTCCCGCCTCCCCTCGGGACCCCTGGTCCCTCGCACCCAGCAGCCCCCGAGGAAGCCTTCCCCGCCTGCCTCGCCCCCCTCCCCGAATCGAGAAGAACTCGCGTAGACCCCGGACCTTTCACGCTCGAGGCAGTCGGCGACGCCTGGCCCTCAACGCGCTCTCCTTAGAAGTTCTCACCGCCCTCCCAACCCCCCCGCAGTGGTCACATCTTCCCTCTAGTCTCAGGCACCCTACCCCTCTAGCAGACCTCCCCGAAAAGCGTTAGATTTTTTCCCATCGGGGATCCCGAGCCCTCCCGGGCTTAGAAACTTTTCCCTTCCCCCGCCGCCGGCCCCGAGGCCAGCGCCGCCGCAGCTTGTACCTCTTCCTCCATGCCGCCCTCGGGGCTGCGGGCGGCGGCGGCGGCTGCCCTGGTGCCGCTGCTGGCTCTCTTGCTGGCCCCGCCGCGCCCGGCTGCGGCCATGTCCACCTGCAAGACCTTGGACATGGAGCTGGTCAAACGGCGGCGCATCGAGGCCATCCGCGGGCAGATCCTGTCCAAGCTGCGGCTGGACAGCCCGCCAGCGCAGAGCGACGTGCCTCCGGGCCCGCTGCCCGACGCCGTGCTCGCCCTCTACAACAGCACCCGGGACCGCGTGGCCGAGCCGGGGCCCGAGGCCGAACCCGACTACTACGCCAAGGAGGTCACCCGGGTCCTCATGCTGCCCCAGAATCCGGGTGAGCCCTCGGGGGAAGCGGGCACCGAGAGCCCTTGGGGGGGGGGCGGCCGGGCCCCTTCAGAAGGGCCGAGCGAGGGCCGCTCGCGGGAGAGGAAGGGACCACCGGGGAGCTTGAGGCAAACACGTTCGGGTAAACGGGGGAGCCCCGGCCAGACCCACGAGGGCGGCCACACGCCGTGGGCGGGGCGTCCCTCTGCCGGCCGGGAAACCCCGGAGTCCAGCCCCTGTCCCTCCCTCTTGCCAGTGGCCCCGGGGCAGGGAATCAGCGGCTAGGAGCCTCGGGGCAGCAGGGCGAGCTGAGACAGGTTCCAGCCTGGGTCGCCAGCTTTTGGCCCGACCCTCCCAGATGCCGGCCCCCACTGGGGACCCAGGCCTGGGGCTCCCGGGCTGATCTCGACCTTTGGCTCTGGAGAAGGCTTCTCACTTTCTCTGTTGGGCCTGGGGACTTGGCTTGCTTTTTCTCCCCACTCCTGGTCCGGTTCTCTGCATCCTGGCCTCTCTCCATCTGTGTTCTCCTGCCTCCTCCTCTGAAAGAGCCCTGAGTTTGGAGTCGGAAGACTCGGGTTCGAATCCAAATTCTTCCACTTACTACGGCAGGCGAGGCAGGATAATCCTTTCCTTTCCGGCTGTTGAATTGTCCGGCTTTTTGTCCTCCTGCATCGCGGTTCCTCTGTATTTTTTTCGCCCCCTTTCTGTCCTGTTCCCTCTCTCTCCCGTTGGCCATCCAGGTTCCTCTCTTTGACTCTCTGCTCTCCGCCCCCCCCCCCCCCAGCATTTGGAGTCAGAGGAGGCCCAGACTTTTCCACTTTCTAGCTACCTGAGTTACATCGGGCAAGTCACTTATCCTCTGGACCTCCTCAGTTTCCTCAATTGTGAAAGGAGAGTTGAACTAGATAATCTCTCATGATGTCCCATCATCCACATCTAAATCTAAGTTCCTATGGGACCCCTAGTCCTCTGACTTCTCCTGCATTCTGGTCCCTTGGTCTGTCTGGGGCTCAGGCCACCCAGGCTGTGTGGTTTCTGAATTGGCTCAGCCACAGAAAGCTTTTTGGAGGGCCTGGGGGTGGGGGCTGGAGGGGGCACCATATCAGGAAGTAGAGAGGGAGGGAAGGGGCCTCCTATCCCCAGACATCTCTTCAGTCTCCCAGTGTGTACAGGCCCCTTGGCTCCAGCCTCCACCATCTTTCCTTAGGCTTCCCTTACATCTCTCTGATGAGGCAGGCGGGCCCTGCCCCAGAAAGGCTGTCACAGGCTGGCTTCCCCTGATTGCTCTCTCCCTGTGTGCCCCCCAGATGCTGAGAAGATCCCCCACAGTGTCTACTTCCACTTCAACACCTCAGAGCTCCAGGAAGCTGTACCCAATGCAGCTTTGCTGTCTCGAGCTGAGCTCCGGATGCTGAAGATCAAGTCAACAGTAGAACAGCACGTGGAGCTGTATCAGGTGAGCCCAGGCTGCTGGGGCTGGTGGGGCTGGCAGGGCCTGTGGGGGAGGTAACCTCCAGGGCTGCCCCCTTACTTCCCTTCGTCCTCCCCCAAGAAATTTGGCAATGGTTCCTGGCGCTACCTGACCAGCCAGCGGGTCCGGCCCAGCCAGACTGTGGAGTGGCTGTCCTTTGATGTTACCAGTGTGGTATACCAGTGGTTAAGTAGCAAAGGTGAGGTTGGGAAAGGCAGAGGGAGGTGCATGCACTGAGGAGGAAGAAGAGGGGGGCTTCATGGGCCCTCCCCTTTCAATGAACATTCCCATCCACGAATGGAAATAAAGTCCAGAGATCATCACGCATGCACACATAGAAATAAAAGAGGGATGAATTCATGTCAATAGGAGAATGTAGCTACAGATATTCCCTGTGCCCCCTTGATAATCCTTTCTACCCTGTTGGGGACTTGGTTGCCTTAGGTTAGGAACCCGTGCTGTCTCTAGGTCGTGTCCCCCGGGACCCTAGACCTATCCCTTCACCTTCCCTGTGTACCTGCCCACTCCCTGCCTCACCTCTCTCTCTTCTTGGGGCTCCCAGAAAAGACTGAGACCTTCCGCCTCAGTGCCCACTGCTCTTGTGACCAGAAAGATATCCAGCTACATATGGATATTAGTGGTGAGTGCCCAATCTGGGTATCTGGGGGGAACGGAGCATCTCTGGGGTCAGAATCTAGCCACCTCCCACCCCCAAGGCTTTGGTCTCACCGCTGTGCCTCCTCCCTGGATCAGGTTTGAACAATGTCCGGGGGGACATGGGAATTATTCAGAACCAAAATCGTCCTTTCCTGCTGCTGATGGCCACCCCCCTAGAGCGGGCACAGAACCTTCATAGCCCCAGGCACCGAAGGGCCCTGGACACTGACTATTGCTTCAGGTGAGAATGACTGACCTTTGTTCCTTACTGTGAACCTGCCTCTGGCTTCTCCCATCTCCCCTAACCCTTGTAATAATCCTCCCCTCCACCTGATCCCTACTCCTACCTCTCCTCTTCCCATCCTCTAACTCCTGACCCTCTGACATCTCCCCAGTTCCTCTCATCTCTGCTGGATGCCCCATCTCTTTCCTGACCTCTGTGGTGCCCAACACTCTCCCTTGGCTGCCCATTTCCCCTCCCATCTTCTGTAACTCCTCGACCACAGGCTCCCTTTCCTCTGAGCACTCGGGACTCTCCCCCTCCCTCTAGCTCCTCGGAGAAGAACTGCTGTGTTCGTCAGCTCTACATTGATTTTCGTAAGGACTTGGGCTGGAAGTGGATCCATGAGCCCAAAGGCTATCATGCCAACTTCTGCCTGGGGCCCTGTCCCTACATTTGGAGCCTGGACAACCAGTACAGTAAGGTGAGCCCTAGCCTAAGGGGCAGGGCTAGGGGTGGAGGAAGCTGCCTGGGCCCCATGGTCCATCAGTCTTGTCATCTCCCTCCTTGCAGGTTCTGGCCCTCTATAACCAGCACAACCCTGGGGCATCAGTGAACCCCTGCTGTGTGCCCCAGGCCCTGGAACCTTTGCCCATCGTCTATTATGTAGGGCGGAAGCCCAAGGTGGAGCAGCTGTCCAACATGATTGTCCGCTCCTGCAAGTGCAGCTGAGACCCTTGCCCTGATCCCCGGGGACCCCCCGGCAGGCCCGGCCCCCTCCCCCCACTCCTCCCCAAGCTGGCCCCTTACTGGAGGGGGAGAGGGACCTGGCCTGGGGTGTGTGTGTGGTATTTAAAGGCCACCTGGACCCCAACCCCCTGGGGCCCGATTAAAGGTGGAGAGAGAAACTGGGATCTGTGTGTTATTGAGGGCATGGGGGAGCTGTTTGGGATGGGGAGCTGGAGGCACGTCTCTACTTGTCCGCCTTCCTTATGCCATGTCTCCCTCTGCCTAGTTGTCTCTGCATCCTTAACCCGCCTCTCTCACCCTATCTCCCTCCTGTCTTTGTCCTCATCAGTCTTCAGCTTTCTCTTTTGTCCCTCATCCATCTTTCCCTGAAGTCTATATTCTATCCATCTCTCTATGCCCTACCCCCAGCCAGGACTCCTTATAGAGAGTTTCCTCCCCAGTGTGGGGGCTGAAGAGGGCATGAGCCAGGGGCCAGGCTGGGGGAAGTAGGGTCTCCCAAGGCCCAGGACCAGGATTCTGAGAGTTTGCTCCTCCTCCTTCCCCCAGCTACTTCTGATGGGGGGGGGGGGAGGTGGGTAGCAGTGTTGGTGGTGGGGGAACTGTGTCAGGACTTGCTGGGATAGGGACCGAGTGTGGAGGCTGGGCAGGAAGGTGCACGAACAGACTCAGACATAAAGGACCCCCCCCGGCCCCCGACACACAGCTCTGACGTAGATACAGCTCTGTTCCCCAACCCCCCTCCTCACAAGCATAGAGTACGGAATGGACATCAAACTGGTCAGAGATACCCACAGAATGAAAGCTGGACAGATTCAATGAACATGGAAGTTCAGATGTATCTCATTTGTGTACATACACACACACTAGTGGAACGCCTCTGTCTTCCTCTTAGCTGCTCCCTCTGCCCCCAGGCTCGAGCTCTTGGGCCAGGGATGCCCAGTGAGCTGGCAGGAGGAGGGGGCTGGGCCTCAGGGGTGCCCGCCCTGCCTAGTACAGCAGAGGAACTGTGTAGCTAAGCACCTTCCCCTTTCGGGAGAGGTGGTGGGTGGGGGGAAGTCCCACCCCTTTGTGTGCCACCCTGGCATCTCCAGAGCCCCTCCTCCTTCCCCATTTCGCACCCGGGGCCCTGCCCCATGCCTGACTCGTGCCTGCCAGGGGCCCCTGGCTGGGTGGTCAGGCTAAGTCAGGGCACGTCTGCCCCATGCCTAAAGCTGCTTGAGGCTGGGTGTGTGGGGGAGGGGGGAGAGGAGGGCTACAAAGGTGGTTGTTGCCCCAAAGGCCCAAGTCCCTCCCCTGAGGCTGGGGCCGGAGGGAAGTGAAGGGGGGCATGCCTGGGTTCCGGCGTGGCTTCCTGTCCGGCCCCCACAGGGGCAGGAAACTGAGGGCGGTAGGGACCTTTCCTGTCTCTCCTTCTGGTCTTAAACAAGGGCTTGTCACTGTCCCCACCCCAGTCTCCTTCCCTAGGAGCATGTGTGAATTTTTAGGGGGGTCAGGGCGTCTCAGCTGAGTTTGTGCAAATTCACATCTGAGTGGGTGTATTTGTGTCTTGGAGTTTGGGTATTTTCCCTCCTGCTGGTGTGTTTTGTGTTGTCTGTGGCTTGGGGTGTGCGTTTGTGTGCCCACCCCTCCTTCCCCCTTCCCCGGGGCCTCTCTGCCTGCCACGGTGGCAGGCGGGCGCCCGCGGGCAGGGGCTGTGGTGGGCGTTGGCATAGAGCCCGGCCCACTGTATAAATATCCCCAGGCCTGGTGTGTTTACATGGTACATATCCTGGGGAGGGGACCCTGGGGAGGGGGGGTCTGAGGAGGCACTAGCCAGCCCAAGACACTCATCCTCTCCCCAACTCCTTTCTCCCTAGTTTGGGAGAGGAGAGACACAGCCCCAGGGCTGGGATGCCTGGGTCCCTGAGGGGGCGGCAGGGGGCAGCCCAGAACACAAATATTTTCTCGGACTCCAGAGTCGTGGGCGAGACAGGGCCTGGCCCAGGACGCAGACGCAGACTCACTCCCCTTAACCCCCACAGGGAGAGACACAGACAGAGTGACCGACCCACCGACCCCTCAGTCCCCTGTGGGGATACCAGCCATCCCCTGACCTGGAATCACCCAGCCTATCCCAGGAGATAAACGAGCTGGGGTGGGGGGGAGACAGCAAGAGACAATGGAAAAAGCAGGGGATAACGGAGAGAGGGGAAAACCAGTCTGAATAGCTTCAGAACCAGGGCTAGTCACCGGAGAGATGCAGGGAGGACCATCCCTTGGCCCCCTCCCCCAACCCCCAGGCTCTGGCCCTCTTCTAGTGGCACATGGAGTAGGGGGTAGGGTGGATTGAAGGACAGGGTCTGGGGAACAGCACTCCCCCTCTCAGTCCCTGCATTTCTTCATTGGCATTCTCTGCTGGTAGTCCAAGCCCTGGGCTAGCAGCTGACAGGCTTGGGTTTTCTGAATTTTGTCCTCTGGGGCCTCAGTTTCCCTCTCTGGTCTCGAAGGATGAGCACATCTTGTCTCCTTGTGACAGAAGCTGTTGGGATTTCATCTTAGCCTGTCTGTGGCCACTCCTGCAGGTTCCTACCTCCCTGGGAATCCCAACACTTTGCCCCTGCCCCCTTCCCCCCAGCAGGCAGAAGGGTAGGGGTGGGGCATGTCTCCCCAGTCCTTACTCACCCCACTTCCCCCCTGTGACTCAGCAGGAAAGCCCCACTGGGAAGGGAGAAAGGAAGGGGGGAGGCAGCTAGGTGGTCTCTTTCCCATGGTTTCAGATGTCTCAGGAGCTCCAATGCCTCTTCCCCCAAGGGTTTGGGGGAGGGGGAATCCAAACCTTCTTTTCCTTTGGGGGAGGGGGAGCCAGGGGCCTGGGAAGGCAGGACGCCTGGGTTCCCACACAACTGGCTGAGTCACTAGGGTCATCTGGGTCCCATTAGGCACAACTAGCCTGCCATCTGAGCCCCCCACCCAGGCAGGCCGTGGGGCTGGACTTGAAGGGGGAGGGGAGGGGGAAGGCAAAGGATGACTCAGGGCCCATGATAACAGGCTGCAAGTATTTGGGGAGCGTAAACAGGGCAGGAGGAAGTGAAGGAAGGGAAAGTTGTGGCTGTGGTTGGGACTGGAGGGGAGCTGGGGGCTGGCCTCTTTTAGCAAACTCCACTCCTTGGGAGGCCAGTTCTGTTCTGAGTGCCTGACCGGGTGAGCTTGACAAAGACGGGGCTCAGGGGCCTGAAAGGAGAAGGGAGCTCAGGGGGGACAGCAAGGTAGAGGCAGAAGGGAGACAGTGAGGGATTCCAGGGTGCTGCCCTGGGGGCCCACAAAAGCACCAGAGGCTGTGCTTCCTCATCAGTCATGTTACAGGTGGGGGATGGCCCGTGCCTAGCAGAGGGCACACCCTCCTGGGGACCGATGGCCACTGCACCAGGCCCCCTCTGGGGGAGGTGGGGGAGACAAGTTGGGGCCAAGGTCCTAGTCCTCATCCAGCTCTGTGCTCAGCGCCTCCCCAGGCTCCTCTTCATCAAAATACCGCTCTTCCTCATCCCGAGACACAATGTCCAAGTTGTCAAACTCCGGGTTGTCATCCACCTTACTGCAGTGGGGGGAGGGAGGGCATTAAAGGGGGTCTACAGGCTTGTCCCTCTCAACCCAACTTCAGCCAAAAGGAGTGGGGGACAGGGGGCTCTTCAAGCCAATGTTTCTAGGGTCCAGTCCCCGAATTTCAGTCAGCAAAATGGGGGCTCTAATACTTGTGTTCCCGCCCTCCCCAAGCCCTGAAGTGTTCCACTTATTCAGAGCTTTAGTTCACTGGGGAGGGCAGCGGGAGGCCAGACCCACCTGTAATCAAAGTCTCTATCTTTGCCATCCAAGAAGCGCTGGTGCATCCTGCTGGTGAACTCCTCCCTCAGGATGACCTTCTCCTCTGAGTCAGGGACCCAGGCCTCCTCCTCCTGCCCAGGCCCGGCATCTGTTGGACAGACCATTCAGGTAGTGGGTGGGGTTGCCCTGTGGAGCCTTCCCCAGCCCCACCAAGCTCTCGCTGCCCCCTCTCTCACTTTCCTCCTCTTCCTCCTCCTCTTCCTCCTCGTCTTCGTCCTCCTCCAGGCAGGCGTCTTCCTCCTCCTGCTGCTGCAGCAGCCTTCGCTGCAGCAGCCCCTCCTGATAGGACTGGAGGAGCAGGTCGGCTAGAGGGCAGCCATCTGGGGCCAGGGTCTTTGGGGAGCGGGCAGCCAGCTCCTCCTCACTCAGGTACTGTCCAATGTACTGCTCATATAGCAGGGGGTCCCTGGCTCGCATCTGCTCGTCACTGAAGTACTCCCCACCTGAGACACAGTGGGACACAGCTGCCACGGACTGCCCTCCCTCCCTCTCCCCACAATCCTTCCCCTCACAAGGCCCCACTATTCCCTGTCTCCTTCTCGGCAACACTCCCAGTCTTCCAGCTGGGGAGAGGAGGGAGACACACAGTGTGCGAATCTCTTAGAACATCAGGGGATGGGCGTCTGTAGGTGAGTGACTATTTTGTGGGCAGGGGCCTAGGCCTGGGCTCGTATATTTACAACTGTCACAGTGGGACAAGCCTGCTTGTCCCAGTCTGGGTTCTTGGCTACATTTTTAGTCTCTGTCCCTGAATCCTGGTCTGCAGCCATGGCGCTGACCTTGGTCCCAACTGTATGAATGACCTCATGTCTGTCCCTGTCCCTGTCCCCATCGTTGTCTGTGTGCCTGGCCCTGTTCCCATCCCCATCCCAGTCTATGACCCCCTTTCCATCCCAGTCTGTGTGCATGTCCCTGGCCCTGTGTATGTCCCCATCCCCATCGAAGTCTGCCAGCAGCTCCGGTCCTGCACGTGGCTCTCCGTACCCCGGATAAGCTCCTGCAGGGCTGCGTATCGCCTGTTCCTTAGCCGGGTGCGGGAGGCCCTGTCCCGGCCGGCGCCCCCCCGCAGCACCTCAGCGCAGTAGAAATCGGCCCGGTAGTCCCCGCGTAGGTGCTGGAAGCAGGCCAGGTGCTCCTCCCGGAGGCTGCTCCGGAACCGCTCCAGGAAGACGAGGGGTTTGTCCCGGTAGAGGCGGCCCAGGATGGCCACCTTCTCCCGCTCCGTGAAGTCGGGCTCGTCCTTCTGCTGGCTCTGCACGGGGATGCGGCTGCCGGCCACAGCGCGCAGCATGGCCCGGACGCCGGGGTCCTCCTGGCCCTCCTCCTCCTCCTCCTTCTCCTCCTCGGCCTGGGCCGGGCCCCGGCACTGGGGGGCCTCAGGGGGCTGTGCCCCGCTCGGTTCCCCCCAGTGCACGGAGCCCCCTCCCAGCCCGGCCCTGAGCTCAGGGGCTGCTGCGGCTGCGGCTGCTGCTGGGAATAGGAGTGAGCGCGCCCACTGGGCGGGGCTGCCCCCACCTGGGCACCGCCTCCCCCCCGCACTCCCCACTTGGGCACCGCCTCCCCTCCCCCCTGCACCGCCCTTCACCTGGGCACCTCCTCCCACCTGGGCACCTCCCCCCCGGCCCTCCCTCCCTCGGCACCGCCCCAACTTTGGCACCGCCTCCCCCCCGGCCCTCCCTCCCCTCGGCACCGCCCCCAACTTTGGCACCGCCTCCCCCCCGGCCCTCCCTCCCCTCGGCACCGCCCCCTACCTGGGCACCTCCCCTCCTGACACTCCCCCACCCCCCGAACCTCCACTCTGGTCCTCCCCCGGCACCGCCTGCCTTCTCCAGACTTGGGGGGCAAAGGGGCCTCATTTCACAGACTGGGGCGGGACGGGGGGGCTGTGGCTCAGACGTGAACCAACTTGCACAAAACCAAGAACTCTGAGGGAAAGCTGGATTCGAATCCAGCTCCTTCTTATCGCAAACCCATTCCCTCTCTCCACTGCCCCACCCTTCGTGGGGGCACAAAAAACCCTGGGCGGGAACCAGCCAGGTACGGCGACGACAGAGGGAAACTCATCTGCGCAGGCGCCATCGGCGCGAGTCAGGTGTGCCCATGTGCGCAGGCGCCAGCGGATCCCGGCCTGTCCGTGTGCGCAAGCGCCACCAGCTCAGGGGGGGCCGGCTTCGGACAAAGCACCAAGGAGGGTGGGGGAAGGGAAGCTCCCTGAGCGCAGCTTTTGTCTCGAAGGCTTCTCAATAAACGCCTTCGGATAGAGGGGGAGGGACTCTGGGGGCGGGGGAGATGCGGTTTGGCGGTGCCGCCGCGCTTGAGACCCTACCCCTGCACCACCCGGTGCGGTTCTCACCTGCTAGGGGACCCTGAACCGCTTCCGTCTCCATCCTGAGTCCGCTCGGTCGCGATCCGGGCTCTCAGAACCCGCTTCCGGCGCTCCCGGGTGCGACGCTCAAACTGTCCCTGCCTCGGCCAGCGCTCTCGGCCCTTGGTTCCGCGCAGTGCCCGCCCCAAGGCAGTGTCCTCAGTGGAACCGACTGGGGCGAAAGGGAGCCTGCCTCTCTGCCCGCAAGGAGCTTGCACTCAACTGAAGGAAGGACTTAACGAGCAAAGCCTTTAAGGATGCTACCAATTGAGGCCTCTAGGCAGCGCAGTCCTGCAGTCAGGAGTTCAAATTCATCTCAGAAATTTACCACAGATGAGCAAATCCCAGTTTTCTCATCTGTAAAATGGGCATAGCAATAGCACCTACTTCCCAGGGCTGTCGTCAGCATCGAATGAGCTACTTGTAAAGCATTTCTGCAACCCGTGGGGCACTATGTAAATTGTAATTATTATTATTCCAGGCCAGGCAGACACAAAGATAAAGGGGTGGAGGATGAAATGGTGACTTCAGGGAAGAGCTAGTGGCCCCTTCTGAATGGAGCAGAGTGGGTGTTAAGTGGAATGTGAATGAAGTGTGGGCAGAAAAGCTGAAGCCAGGCTTTGCCAAGCTGAGGAATTTGCATTCTGAAATCCTAGAGGCAATCTGGGAACTACTGAACTCTTGAGAGAGATGTGGTCAGACCTGTGCTTTAGAAAGATGGTTTTGAGGGCAGCTAGGCGACGCAGTGCATAGAGCACTGGCCCTGGATTCAGGAGGACCCGAGTTCAAATCCGGAGCCAGACTCATAACACTAGCTGTGTGACCCTGGGCAAGTCACTTAACCCCATCACCTAGCCCCCCTCCCGCCAAAATGGTTCTGGCAGTTGTATGGAAGCAGGGAAACCAAGGTGATTGCACAGATCCCTAGTGATCTAGGTGACAGCGTGATAGCCCTGTGAGTAGAGGGATGTGAAATGCTGGGAAGGTAGAACTGACAAGGCTTGGTAAGGGGATGTAGGAGAGAGAGGGAAGTCAAGGCTGGGAAGCTGAGTGGGCTCTGTTTTGGTCATCAAGAGTTCCAGATGTCAGGGCAGCTAGGTGGCGCAGTGGATAGAGCACCAGCCCTGAAGTCAGGAGGACCTGAGTTCAAATCCGGCTTCAGACCAAACACTTGACACTTACTAGCTGTGTGACCCTGGGCAAGTCACTCAACCCTAATTGCCTAAAAAATAAAAAAGTTCCAGATATCTAAGGGAGAAGCTGAAGTGTTCGGCAGGCAGTTGGAGAGAGATCAGGTCTGGATGTGATAGTTTTGGGAATCATCTGCATAGGGGATGGAGGGTTTAAAAAAACCACAGAACTGATTTTAAGTTTTTTTTTTTTTAACGTTGCCTAAATTTTCCCCTATGCCCCACCCTTGCTCATTCCTAATAACTGAATCTTTTAAAAAGTTACCGAAGAAAATTCAACGAACCAATACATGGGAAAAAAAATTGACACCCACAGACTTCCCCTCCCACTCTGCCAAGGAGTGGGCATCCCATATGAAAGATTTAACCCATGAGATATGATGGTGTCACTAGAAAGAGTCCAAGATACCAGTGGGTCCAAGGAGATATCTATAACAGTGCCTGGCACATAATAAGCACTACAGAAACACTATCTGTGCTTAGGGTACAGGGACGTGGATGATGACTTAGCAATGGAGACCAAGGACTGGTCACACCTAAAGGAGAATGTGGAACGTGGAAAGGAAGGACAAAGCTTCCAGGAAGAGGGTTGGTTGTGTCAAAATTTGAGGAGTGATTAAGAATCCATTGAACATTGTGCTAGCTACTGGAAATACAGAGACAAGCAAGATGTGGACTTAGAAAAGGCCACCAGATTTAGAAATTATGAAATCAATCTAAACTTGGAGAGGCTTCAGACCAGCGATGGGGTCAGAAGCCAGATTGCTAGGAGTCAAGAGGTGTGTGGAAGGTGGGGTTGTGGAGGTAACGAATGTAGAAGGCTTTTCCTAAGAGTTCTGCTGTGAAATAGAAGAGAGATTAAAGGAGGGATGATAGGGTCAAATGAAGAACAGACGAGACCTGAGAATGTTTGTAGCCAGCTGGGGAAGAAGCCCACAGATAAGGGGACTGGAGAGGCAAACAAATAGAACAGACAGAAAAGATGGCATCAAGGCTTGGCTTTGGCAGGGAGACAGACCACCTCTTTCCCAGGGCCTGAAGCAGAGGAGAGAAGGGGGCAGTTTTGAAGTGGAAAATGGAGAGGACAGAAGAGGGAGGAAGGACAGAAAGGAAGAGGAAGGTGACAGCTGAGGAGCGGAATTCTAGAACATCAGGGAACATTATCGCCACCGAGTAGCAATGAGGGCCTTATTTTCACTCGAGAGCAGACCCAGGACAGAGCTGCTAGGGAGGTTCAGCTCTTGGGCAAGAGCTCCCCCATCTCTGGGCCCGTATCCCCAGCTATAAAATGAGAGGCGTTAAACTCTGGGACTTCTAAGTCCCCTTTCAGATATGAACCATATTAGTCCATGAACCCTTCATTTTCAGGTGGGGGGAGAGACCTAGTGACCTGTCCTAATTCCAACAGGAAAGGAAGGCCCAATTTTTATAATTCAGTTACATGAACCTTTGGAGTCAGATGACCTCGGCTGAAATCCTGTTACTTTGGGTAGGTCTCAGCTTCCTTTTCTGGCCCCAACATGCCTTGTAACTCTTTGCCTTAATCCACTGGAAAAGGAAATGGCAAAGCACTCCAGGATCCTTGCCAAGAAAACCCCATGGACATGACTGAACAATTGGGGATTCTACTGGACACATAGACCAGTGAGTCAACAGTGAAATGGTAGTTAGAAAGCTGGCTTACCCGAAGGCTGCGATGAGAGGCCTAGTGTTCAGCCGCCCTTTGGGCTCATCAGCTCCCATTTGGAGCTTGAAACAGTTGGTATTTCTAAGCCTGCCGGCTCTGGCACTGACTCAATATAGCCCCACTCTGGAATGGGCCCAGTTCTGGGCATTTTTACTTAAGCCACTGACAAACAGGAGGGCAGACCGGGGAATGACACCAAGGATCAGCGGGAGGAACTGAGGCCTTGTGGCCTGGAGACTTAGGGTAGCCCTCAGAGCTGTCATGAGGAACAAGCTTGATGACCGACCTTTTTGGATGTTGAAGACCAACTGCAGAGTCAGAACCCGAGCAGAGCTGTCAGACACACAGCTGGGACGCTGCGAAGCGTGGCCCTGAACCAGATCAGAGCGGGAGATATGTGGCAAAGTAATGGAAAAGAAATCCAGGGAAGTGTACGGTTTTCTAGGTCGGTGTGCAGCTTCCACTTGATCTGGACTGCACTGACCCAGCCCTGCTGCAGGATCCAGTTCTGCACTGCCCTCCCACCACCATTCACTGTCTCAGGGAGTCTAAGCTTGCCAAAGGGGACCTTCTGCTTTCCTCCAGACAATCACTCATTACAAGGCTTGTAGAGCCTCAGACTTGTGGAGACAGCTTAGTCTAGTGACAGGGAAGCTGGAGGGCCTCTGTGGCAATCCCAGATCCTAGCCTTGGGAGGCTGTGGGGGGAGGGACCTTGCAGAGGGGTGGTAGCCCATGCAGGACAAGCATGATGAGGGGAGGGAGAAGAGAGTGGTCACCCACTTTTCAGGCCTCGTTTCTCAATCCTTCCACGTCCTCACATAACACAGGCAGGTCAGTTTGCTTGAGCCAGTTTCTGCTTCTGCAAAGTGGGTATGCAATTTGTACCGCCTTCCTTCTCAGGAATGCAGTGTCCATCTTAAGGCACCATCTTTGTTGGGATGTTCAAAGGGAAGAGGGCAAAGGAGAAGAAAGCCAGCAGGGAGAGCTACAGGTCAGTCTGCGGCCAGAGTAGATGTCAGGAAACGGCCCAGGCCCCGCCCCCTCTGCGGTGCGCATCCCAACAGCTGGGCTGCCCATTCACCCTTAATCCACGGGGACAGGGGTGCACACAGTTCCTCTTCAGTCTCGCATCACTCTCAGCCTATCTCCATCCCATCCCCCTCACATCTCAAGCTAGGCACATTGCAAACATAACTCATTGGCTCCCCTCCCCAAACTCGTCCCTTTTTGCTGAGGGCACTACAGTCCTTCCAGATACACTCTGAGTCAATCCTCCCTTTCCTTTTTTTGCATCCAATGGCTCCCCATTTACATCACTACCACCCTCATCTGGGCCCTCCTCACCCCTTCCTTCTTCCCACTCTAATCCATCCTTCCCCCACCCGAGCTACCAAACTGCAGCCCCACCGCCGCTTGGTCCTGAAGCTCATCCTGCCGTGCTCCTCTGTGCCCTCAGTCTAACACAGTGGTCATGGTCAGGGGTGCCTGACAGAGGGCACTCGCCAGGATTTGGGGGCTGCACAAAGGCTTTCTGGGGTGAGCTGTGTGGGATGCTGTTGGATGACCCCTCTGAGCCCTGCCACACTGTGACCCTGGGAGGCAGTCACTTCACCTGAGGCTCAGTGGGGTTAACACGTCCAGCCCTAGCTTCCCCAGGGCCCCCAGGGGTCTCGGTCTCACCACCCCAGCCTGTGCCCGGCACACACCAGCTTCTCCTTCCCTCGCTCACTCTGGCCCTCCCCAGAGGGGAGGTCTCGCTCCTTTGGAGGCCTCTCCCCAACATGGTGTCCTTGGAGAAAGGGCAGCTGGGAGGCGGTCTCTGACCCCTGTGGTCCTCTCTGCCGGCAATGCCGCCTTTGTGCCAGAGGCTCGGACGTGACCTGTATAGCCTGGGGCAAGTCACAGAGCCTTCCTACGTCTGGTTCTCTCTTCCTCACAGGCCTCCGCACACATTAGGGGCTTGAATACTTGGCTGATTTGGGGTGTAGGTGAAGAAAACAAGAAGGAAGGCCCAAGGGAAATGGGCTGGGGGAACTACACGGAGGTGGCAGCCACACTGTTTCCTGAGAACTGGTGCTCTGCCCGTGGAGTGCGACCCTGGGTCTGGGCCTTCTCCAAGGGCCTCCCCCTTCCCATCCCTTGCCGCTCACGCTCCCTCCCTCCCCAAGAGACCACCAGCACGTCTAGAATAAAAGTTTTAAAGTTCAATAGTCACTCTCTCCAAATACAAAAAGCAGTTACAATTCAACTCAACACAGAAGCGTGTGTGCAAAGTTACGGGAACTTAGACATTGTATAAAAAGTTAGGTTAAAGATGATTTTGTGGTTTCATTTCCCAAGTGGATGCGCGCTCTTCCTCAGTCACCTGAACTCAGCAAAGAAATTGTTACCTTGATGAAATATTAACAGCCGTCCCACAGTAAAAACTGACATAAATTCTAAAAATTAAAAAACAGCATAATTACCATAAAACATCTGGCTTGCCTCTTCCTCCCTCCGTCTTTTTTCTTTTTTTTTTTTTTGTTTTTTTCTGCAATGTCTCAGACAATAAAACATCTCCAGCAGGGGTCGGTTTCAAGAAGGCCTGGAAATCTGAGGGGGAGGAGGAGAAATCAAGGCAGCAGGTGTGGCCACCCTGGGCTCTCCTCTGGCCCCTGGAGCTACTGAGTGCTATCCACTGGAGGCCCCTGAAGCCTCCGAGTGGGGAAGGGGCAGGGATGGGCAGCACAGGGCTGGTGTTTCAAAAAGAAAAAAAGAAAAGCAAAGGGGGGGGGGTTCTTTTTTTTTTCTGCATTGTGGAACTGTAAAAATTGTGGGAGAGGATGAAGAAATCACGCGCCTTCTCAACGGGAGGATGGGCAAGAAAGGCAGGAGCTGAGGACGGATGGACAGACGGACGGACGGACATGGCCAGGCAAGGCGGCAGCTGCCCTTCGGCCCAGGCTGGAGGGTGTGGTCTCTGCCTGTGGGGCAGCCCCCGCTACTGCGTACTCGAGCCCCCCTGTGTGTTCCCCGAATAGCTCCCGTAGTCATAGTTGCCGTAGTATGGCGGCCACTGGCCCTGGTAGTACTGGTTCCATTGCTGGGCATACTGGAGATAGGGGGGAAAGAGAACACAAGGCTTCAGCACCTGGGGCAGGGCGGCCCAACTCTAGGTGCTCAGAGGCCACCTGGCCAGAAAACGCCCTGGACTTCATCCATTCACACACACGTGCATATGCACACAGTCAACATTCACAGGGCCTGTGTTCTGCTGGGCCACCGCCTCCTGCCCCTGTGTCAGGAAAGGACGAGGATGGCAGCGCAGGGGGGTTACAGAGAGGGCCAGACTGTGAGCTCACTGCCCCAGTGCTCTCCCTTGGGCCAACTTCTCTGAGGCCCAGATCACATGAGGCATCACACACACACCACACACACTCACATGCGTGCATATACACATGCATTCATACACAAACACACATACACGCACATGCATTCACACCCTTTCATATTCACACGCACAACACACATACACGCGCACACACACACTCCCTCCTTTCCTAGGGCGTACCTGCTGATACTGGTTATAGTTCTGTTGACTGTAGGTCTGTCCGGTAGGGGGTGGCGGGGGGGTGGTGTAGGGTGGGGTGTAGGTGGCATAGCTCCCATAGTTGTAGGTGGGAGGGGGTGGCGGCGGAGGAGGTGGAGGCGCGGTGTAAGCTGGCTGGGTGTACCCTCCCTGATTATAGGTTGGGGTATAAGTTTGCTGCAAAGGAAAACAGAGTGATTTGTAGACAGGCCCAGGACAGACCTGAGGCTGTACCTGTTCTCACCCCCCCCCCCCCAATGTGGTTTGATGGACCTTAGGACTTTCATGTCTTCCCGGGACGTCGTCAGACCTGGGTTTGAGGCCTAGTGAGGCCCTGGGCTACAGACCACAGAGGTTCTTCTGGCCCCAGTCTGGGTGGCCAGTTTAGAATCGGTTCTTCCAGATAATCAGGGATCATCACAGCACCTGGAGGCAGTGGGCACCAGGTGTCCCTCCCCACCGCTGAGCATATGACCAAGGGAGGTCAGACGCCTGAGGTGCATGTCCAAGCTTCCCTCCTTGGAGACCTTGGGCAAGTGACCCAACCCTAGGTGTCAGGTGCCTCATCTGTGAAATGAAAGCCTGGACAAAAAGACCACTAAGGCCTCCTATCAAGTTAGCTCTTAAGACAGGATGCTGATGCCGCCTGTCTGGCAGGAAACATGTCCACAAGCAGTTCCCAGGGGTTGAGCTCCATTTCCTCAATGGCAACTCGGGGAGTAAGGGACGTGGGTACCCCAAAGACAGACCACACCATGGGCCTCCTGCCCACACTGAGAAGGAACAAGGTTTGAGATAGGAGAGTCTTTACTTGGGGGCTATAAACTTGGTTTTTTTTGGGTGAGGCAATTGGAGTTAAATGACTTGCCCAGGGTCACAGAGCTACTAACTGTCAAGCGTCCGAGGCCACATTTGAACTCTGGTCCTCCTGATTCCAGGGCTGGTGCTCTACCCACTTTGCCACCTAGCTGTGCTGCTTTTTTCTTCTTAAAATATTTAGAAAGCTGCATTTCAAGATAACTGGCTTTCTTTGTAATCCTATGTACCTCATTTTATGCATTTAAAGACATGTTTTTGGAAAAGAGTCCACAGGCTTCATCAGACTGGCTGCCCAAGGGATCCGAGACACTCCAAAAGGTCAAGAGCCCCTGCTCCAATCCAGTCCCTTCATCGAGGGCACTGGCTGGTTTGTGCTCATACGAGGGAGAAAGGGCACCAGAAAGACTAAATGGCCAGGCCTCTGGGCTGCCCTGGGTGTCCCCTCTAAACCCCTGGCTTCTCTAGAGGCTCAGCTCTTATCATTGCTGACTGACTTGAGTGCCTCTGTGACAAGAGCTCTGAGTGAGCCGGGGGCCACCACCCCGCTCACTCCCCACTCTCGTGGCGGGCCTCACCTGGGGGGGGCTGTAGCTGCTGACTGGAGGGTTGCTGCTGCCGCTGCTGGCCCCCGAGGTGGGGATGGTGCTGCTTTTGTAGCTGGTGCCACTGGTGCTGCTGCCGCCGCTGCTGCTGGGGGGCTGGCTCCTGGCAGGGGGGTAGTTCTGTGGCTGAGGGGTTCGAGTGTAGCCCCCTCGGCTATTGGAGCTGCTGTCCCGGTTACTGCTGCCCCAACGGTTCTGAGTGTAGCCCCCGCCACTGTTATTGCTTCCACCCCCACCTCGGTTGAAACCTGGAACCAGCAAAAGGTCATTTGGTCAGGTGGCCACTCACTTCACTCAGGGCCTACCGAGTAGAGAGAATTTTTTGGGGGGCAATACTAGGTTTAGTGCAACCCCAGAGTGGCAGGATGAGCCCCGAGCAGAGCCAGGAGAACTGGGCACTGATCCGAGCCTCATCTGTAACGTGGAAGGAGCGATCAGGAGCTCTCAGGCCCTGAGTGATAAGCCCCTCGAGCTGAAACGGAATAGGACTTGTCACTGCCCCCATTCGTTCACTGGACAAGCATCGTAAATGCCTTGAGTGTGCCTAAGGATCGGGCATTATGACTGCCATTCCATCATCTCAGCTGTGTCCGACTCTCTGTGACCCCATTTGGGGTTTTCTTGGCAGAGATACTGGAGTGGTTTGCCATTTCCTTCTCCAGCTCATTTAACAGATGACTTGCCCAGGGTCACATAGCTAGTCCATGTCCGAGGTGGGATTTGAACTCTGGTCTTCCTGACTCCAGGGATGGGGTCTGGAGATCCCCACGGATGTTCTAAAAATCCCTTAGTTCCCAGATCGTCCAGCATAACCACCTCATCCTATGGGCAAAGAACCCTGAGTCCAGAGGGGCTGAGTGATTATCACAAAGGTAGAAGACAGGGCAGAAGAGAGTCCAAATTGACTCCAAAAGATGCTGCTATCACTAGCTACACGGGAGTCTTTAAAATGCGAAGCAGAAGCGAAGTTAACTAAGATAGTGAAGCCTCACGACAAGAGCGGCATATCCTTGGAGAGCAATAGCACAGACTACCACCATGTGGTGCTCTACAAACTCTCTTCGGCCTTACAACTTGGCCTCAGAGGGGAAGTGCTATTATTCTCCCCATTCCACAGCTGAGGAAGCAGAGGCAGAAGAGTTTGAGTGACTGGCCTGGGGCACGTGTCTGAGGCTGGATCTGAACTCGGGTCTTTCTGACTTCACGCACTGCAGGGGACTCAGGAATAGCTGAATTCAAATCTGGCCTCAGACATTTCCTGGCTGTGAGATCCTGGGCATGCCGTTTAACTTGCCTGCCTTAGTTTCCTCATCTGTAAACCAAGGACAACAGCACCTCCCCTCACGGGTTTTAACGAGACACAGCAGCGTCAGGAGCACTGAAGCTGGCGACTGACACAAAATATACCCGACCGGCCTCAGAAACGCTACACTGGAGACAAGATCAAGGAGAAGGACCAGAAGCCAAGGAAGAACAAGGACAGAAGCGGGTAATGGGCAGGAGATGGCTGCTGCTTTCATGGACGCTTGGGAGATTGGAAACCAGTACCAGAGCTGGGCAGCTCCACAACTGAGGAGGAACAGTAAAGGCCTTGCAAACTAGAAGCCAGGGAGCTGGACTTTAGGTGGCACAGAGGAAGAACAGAGTCAGGAATCCTGAGTTCAGATCCAGCCACTGACCAGCTGTGTGACCCTAGGCAAGTCACTTCATCTCTATCTGCCTTGGTTTCCTCAACTGTAAATGGAGATCATATCTGTAAAGGTCTTGTGCTGGCTGCTGCTATGCATACCTGGCCAAATGCTAGCTTGGACCCAGCACCCCCAGCTCAACGTGATGAGATTAGTGAGGCAGCAGCCACACCACACCAAAGAGATGGGCCTCTTCAACAGGCTCGCTCTTGGCTTCCTTTGAGTGGTGAGCTGGTGCAGGTGTGGGCACTTGACAAGTCTTCCAGGTTTGGGTATATTCTTGTGGAGAACGAGGAAGAGATCTAGACTGGGTGACAGTACAGGCAGGGGGCTAAGAAGTGGCTGAATGAGCAAACCCAGACTGTCATTAATGGTGACATATCATTATTGGCGAATGTCTCTAGTGCCGGGTCCCAAAGATCTATTGCTGGCTCACTAGTATTGACTGTTTTTCCAATTTTTTGAATGACAGTCATAGAAGCACAGACTCAGAGCTGGAAGGGACCTCACTAATGACACGTGGTATTTAGCAAATATGCAGATAACAATCACTAACAAAGAATAAGATATATCAATGTGCTTGAAGGATAGACTGAACGGACAAAATGGAAATTTATACTTATGTCATGGCCTTCACTTATATTCAAAAGACTAGCTTCACAAAGGGAGGAAAGGGTCCAGCTGGACTCTGCCCTGGTCACGTGCCTCACATTCTGGCAGGAGCCATCCATGGTGGGTGACTCGGGACAGCCAGACATCTCAGAGTCAGTTGAAGGAAGGGAAAGGAGTTTTGATTTGGATTTGTTCTGCTCAGGCCCACAGGGTGGCCTAAGCTACAAGTTGTTTTGGTCCCAGTGAGGCAGCTTCACAGTTTGTCACTAGAACAGGCTGAAGTTTACCAACATGCTTTTCCTCCAGCTCAAGCACTAAGGATACCATTTTACAGATGAAAAAACCGAGGGGAAGGACTTGCCTAGATCAGTACACTGACGCTGTGAGTCGGGGCTCCTGACTCTAAGGCCCAGTGTTTCTTTGACCAGACACTGAGGCTTTTCCACTTTCACTTCTGCCAGAGAGGACTGGACCTGGGCCCTCAATGACAGAGGCAACTCCCAGCTAAGGAAACCCTCCCAAGGCAGAACAGCCTCTTCTCTGCCACGGAGCACACGATGGCAGTGACTTGGAACACTGAGAAGTGACTCACCCAAGGTCACACAGCAATGTGCCAGGAGTGGGATCTGAACCCAGGTCTTCCTGGTCCTGACCTGCCTCTCATCTCCACATTTATGTTACGAACTTCACTTGTGTGTTTTGTCTTCCCAAACAGACTAACTCCCCAGTCCATGATCTTGGAAGCTAGGTCAGGGATGGGGATACATGCTAGAGATGCCTTTCAGAAGGCATCCCCTGTTGGCTGGGTCGGGGAAAAGGGCAACCCTGTTACCATCAGAGGAAAAGATAAAATGGCCCCATAAAGTCGTAGGCAATCACCCAGCTATGCTGACCCGGGAACAGAGAGAAGGAAAGGAAGGGAGGACCGCGTTACCTCCTCGGTAGCTGCCGCCGCCACCACTGCCGCCGCTGCCACCACCGCCACTGCTGCCCCCTCGGTTCTGGAAGCCCCCTCGGTTGCCCCCAGGTGGTCCTCGGTTGTCATATCGCTGGAAGCCCCCAGCGCCTCCCCGGCCCCGGAAGCCTCCTGAGTTGCTGCCCCCACGACTATCAAAGCGTTTCTCTGGAGGAGGTCCGGCCTTCCTGCCCTCTTCATTGTACTGTCGCACCAGCTTGTCAGCCTCCTCCCGCTGGAGTTCGATGAAAAGGACTTCATCCAGAAAGTCCCCGACGTTGGGCAGTGTGAAGTTGGCTTTGGGGTGTGCCCAGGAGGGGAGAGGAAGAAAGGAGACATGGTCAACTACTTCCAGGGCCCGAGAAACAAGCTCACCTTGGAGGCAAGAAAGCCAGCCCCTCTGCCCCCAGAGAGCTGGAAGGTAAATGTATTCGGGGGCAGTGAGAAGAGAATGAAGGTCATCCAAGAAAATGACCTAACGTATGGAGAGCAGCCCCTCTATTTCCACGTGCCTCTTATGCTTACACAGTCCCTGATGCCCCCGGCAGGACTCTTCCTGGGGCAGCCCTTCAGCAATGCTCTGCTAATATCACCTTGCATGGGAGGGGCAGGGGCTCTCAGTCTTTCCAAATCACTTTTTGGCCATCGAATCTCAATTTCACAACAGCTCCAAGGGGGACAGGTAAGGTAAGGTGTCCCCAGTTTACAGATAAGTGAAAGGGGGAAAGAGATTTCCCAAGACGTGCTGCATCTCATGTACAGTCAGCCAGTTCATTAAGTGAAAGGCCAGCGGACACCTGTCCCCTGACTCTCAGGCTCATGCTCTTCCTACCACCTCACACTGACCACCGACTCTTAGCAGTCAGGCTTTTTTTTTGGTGGCAGGGGGTGGGGGGAAGGAAGGAGGACAAGATGGCCAGGGGAAAGACATCTCTTTTTCCTCTTGGCTGTTAACGAGTCTATGGAATATCTTTACTAAAGGCAACCATGGGGAGGAGGGGCAGAAAGAAATGCAAAGAGAAAACTAGCAAGGGAGAGGAAGAGACACCCCCCCCCAACACTGTGGGGCCAGGACTGAGTTGGCTACTCTTCCTCCCTCATTTCCTACCTTTCATTTCTAACACGGCGTGGTCAGGCACATCCTTCCCCTCTTCATCTGTGCGTCTTATCGTCCGATCTTTCAGGTCCTCGTCCGTGGGACAGATGACAATAGCCTTGCGTTGGAAACCTTCAAAAGGACGCATTTTTCGTCTCTGGGCTGATCCATAAACATTTGTCTAGCGATAAGTGACAAAGAGGCAAACGATTGTTTGTTGCATATTCTTTAGTTTGGGGGGGGTCAATGAAGACACTCCAGTACAGCATCATGGAGCCAGAGCTGGAAGGCCCTGAAGCCATGTAGTTAGAGACATTTTACCGATGAAGAAACTGAGTTCCGGGGTGGCTGTGTGAGTGGGTGGACTCTGAAGGCAGAGCCCTGGCCTCCTTTTCAGGACGGTTCTCTAGGTTTCTGGAGCCTGACCAACCTCTAGGACCCTTGTGCTTCACAGGTGGACTCCTTGCTCCCGGACACTGAGATCTTAGAGTGATCCATGCTCTCCCCAGCCACCCCATTGTGCTGAGCTGAGGGTCAGCCAGGAGCCTGATGCTGCCAGGGAATACACAAAAACAGCAGCTACAAAGTCAGGCCAGGGGAAAGATACTGAGTGAGCTGGTGAGGGGTGGGTGTCACAGAGCGCTCTTAAGCAAGGTGCCAAAAGGAAGTGTTTATTAAGTACCCACTCTATAGCCAGGGTCTGTGCTAGGTGCTGGGGACACAAAAGCTCAAACACCACAAGCCCTGTCTTCTAAGAGCTTCTACTCTATCAGAAGGGGGATGGAATTTGAGAAACCCACCTCTGTCCTGTCAGCTGACATACAAATACATCCCCAAGCCCGCCCTCGAACTGCAGAAGGGGGCTCTGATGAGGGCCGCCTTCTGGAGCACCAGACAATCAGAGCTGTCTGGAAACAGATATCCTCTTGTGTATGTTTAGATGTAACCTCTCAAATGTACTACTATCCTCCACAGGAAGCCCTTCCTTTAGGGACAAAGAGATCTAATGGGGTAGGGTGAGCATGGACAAAACAGTTCCCTCTACGAGGCACTCATGCGGTCAGCCAGCCTATGCTGGGGCACCCGTGTACCTCATGCCTGGGGCACACGTCTAGTCATGAAGATGGAGAACTTCCACTTCGAAAGATGACTAGTTGTCATCTAGTTGGCACCACTTCACATCGTGCTTTGGAAGGCAAGTCCTTGGCAAACCATAAAGCATTAAAGGTAGCGGGGCTTTTAGGAGGTAAAGGGCCTGCAATGCTCTGCTTTTCTGGATGGGAGGTCACTGGCTACACGGCAGGTGGCCATGGAAGGAATTTGGCTTCAGGAGCCTGCCTCTGACACAGCAATTGGTGCTCACCTACAAGCTCGGGCACCGAGGAGGCCAGGCCAATGGGTAAAGCCAAGAAGGAGACTTGGGTCCTGGCTCCCTGGGCAAGGTCCTTTTTTCTGGGCCTACTTCCTCTTCTGAAAAGTAGGGAGTTTGCTCCTAACTGAGCCATGTTGGGTTGTATCTTCTGTGAGGAAGGTGAGAAGGGACAGGCTGATTCATGAAGCACCGAGGATTCCACTTCCTGACGGCTATGGCCCATGAGGGGGGTCTGACTGGGTAGGGGTGAGAGGAGAAAGGTGATGGAACAGCCACGGTCCTTAGCTCACTACGATCAGCAGGAGCGTAACCTCTCAAAAGTACCCCACCCCCTATCTCCCTAATTAAAAGGCACCTTTCCCCCCCAGTCCAACAAGGAAGCAGTCTTTTGGCAGAGCAGGTCACTGACCATCTCTGCTTGTCACCACCTAGTGTCATCCAAAAGTCTTCAAAAACACCACCTTGGCACACAGTCTACTGGTCACAGAACAGCTTTTTTTTTTTTACGCCTTCTGAGGTACAGAGAGATCTCTGGCAAGTAGAAAAGTTTAGAGCTGGGATACGATGCCATGCACCAGTGGGCATGCTCCTGCCTTCACCGCCTGGAAGATGGGATCCACTTCTTCCCCACCTTTTTTGTGCCTCCCTTTGGATCACTTTACATCTTTAAATGGCACTGGTGTCAGATCTGGATAAACTCAGGGTCCCGATTCCAGGTGAACTGTCTCAGAACACCTCAAATGTTTCCCTCTAGGAAGGGGCGTGCACTGGTCTGAGGCCCCTGTGGTCTTTGTGGACAAGTTCTGGTGGGAGGGTTCTTAGGGCTGTTGGATTACGCAGTGGTCTTTCTGCTTTTATACCGACGGAGCTGGGGCAGAAGACCACACACTCCCCAACATGTGGCTAGAATCCCCTGTGGAGTAAAGCAGGCCACTTACTGATGACTGAGACAGGCCAAACCTTGTGGTTTGAAAACTGTCCCAGACCAAGGTGCTTCCTAGCGACAATGGTGGCAAATATTAGAAAATGAATCCAACGGCTAAAATCCAGCTACAAGCGTGGGGCCGAGGCTGTTTTTCTGGCCATTTCCCACTTGGAAAAGGGGAGGAAACGGTTCCAGTTCAGAGGCTGTTGCTACAGCAAACACAGCCTGAGCCCGGGGCCCCTGGGCCAGATGTGGCGCCACAGCAGTCACCGAGGGACCACCAGGGCTGGTTGCTAGGATACGTAACAGCTGCACTGCGGTGGGGCTGTTGCCTGCAGCGCTGGCTCGTCCGTTCGTAGGAAGCCGGTTCTGCTGGCCTTTAGTTTTTCCTATTGTGCCAATCTGTACCCACCTTAGGTAGGTCCCTGCACAAATCAGACGCATGGGGCGTGATGGATGCTCCCTCCCTGGTAGGTGGGGAGAGTGTCAGAGAACACTGCCCCCTTCGGTTCTGCTGTGGGTAGCTACAGAACATGGTTATCTGGGAGGCAGAGGAAGGGGCCCTGGTGACCTATTCCTTTGGCCTGTTTGGTTCCAGAGGCTGAATAAGGAGGAAACTCTGATCCTGAGTGAGCCAGACTTGGCTTATGCTCCCCTCCTGGTGGAACCACGTGTGCGGGATGGAAAGCTGGCCTGTGTGGGAATGACACTTTCCTCCAGCAAGCCTGCCAACAGCTGTCAGGAGTTTCCTCCAGGCCACAGCTCTTTCCCAGCCTAGAGTTTCCGATTCAGCTGATGCAAACCCCACAACCGGGCCCCTTTCTTCAAAGTACATGCCCTACAGGTATCAAAGCCAGCCTTCTGCCTCCTGAAACAAACAAGAAGCTTCTGGGTCTCAAAAATTCCTGCTACTACTAATGCCGGGATCAGAGCCTTAGGAAAGGTGGCAGACAGAAGCGTCATTCTTATGGGTCCTTGGGCTAATGGTGGTCAACCTCTTCTTCCCAGTCTCCACTTTTCCTTCCTGCCACACACAGGCAACAGGGATGGGAAGTCTAGGCTACTAAACAGGAGAGGTGACTCCTAATGGAGGGGATGAGGGTGCGGAGCACCACCACATTATTTATCTGAAGGACAGCTGGAAGGGGTTTGGGGGCAGAGGAATTAGGGCAGAACGAGCTTGATCTAAGGAAATGCTTCTGCTCTGGGACAGCAGGAGTTAGGAACAATCTACTTTGGAGACGCCTGATCTGGGGATCCGTTAGCAGCAGATGGAGGACTCCTTGATGGGGCGGAACTAGACACCCTCCCGAGGATCTGAGGACTGACCAGCTCTTTCAACATCCTGCTGACTTCTGCCAATCTCAGAGGGGCCCTATGGGGCCCCTAGCCTGGCTTCTGGGAAGAACATATACCCCAACAATGGGGGGCAGGAAGAAGGGGAGACAGGCAGCTGGGACCCCAAGGCAGAGAGAGTGCTCACAACAATTGAAAGCAGCAGCCATTCTGTTCCCCCTGGCTGTTCTGCTCAAGGCCCAATTCCTAAGACAGCTATCCCTTGGTAGTATCTGCTGGCACTGCTAAGACTCGCTGATTGAGCCCTGGGGATGGAGGGAGAAGCAGACTGTTGAACGTTCTACTCCATCTCGACTGGCCTGAAAGTTAGTCCTCAACTTGAGGTTTACGTTCACCTATAAAATGAGGTGATGGGTACAGAAGCTGGGGAGGGTCAGTGGCCCAGGGTTCGAATACTGACTCAACTACCCAAGAGATCTTGGCCAAGTCACTTTTCTCATTTTGGGCATCAAGTTCTTCACTTGTGAATGAAGGTGGTTGGATTAGATTATCTTCCCTTCCAGCTCTACAGATATTTTATTTAACATTTAGTATTGCATTTAAATATTTACAAAGAATTTTCTTCACAACTCTGGGAGGCAAGCAAGAGATAAGACCCATTTCACAGATGAGGAAACTGAGGTTCGGAGAGGCTGAGAAGCTAGTTCAGGACACAAGTGGACACCTATAAGTGCCCAGATTCAATTGTGGGCCTCTTTGAGCCTCCTCTTCTCACTAACCTTTCAAGACCCTCACCAGATCTATTCTGTGTATACCGTAACAAAGTCAAAGGCCAATAATTGGCTGGCCAGCTTAGGGGGAAGCCACCTGGCCTGGGCTAAAACATTTACTCTGGAGGAGGAAAGCTCACAGCCCCAGACAACCGAGTGGCCAATAGACCCTGCCCCTTACAAATGTCTGTGGAACTGTGTCTTCGGAGCAGCCTGAAGTAAGCAGGAGCCCCCGAGGAAGGGGCTGCTAGGCTACATATGGCCTCTCCATGTAAGCTCAGGGAGCACAGGCAGCTCCCTCTCCTCGTCTGCAAGCCCATGAGCTCCTTATACCACAGCCAAGGCCATAAGAGAAGTGGGAAAAGCCCCAAAGGTGGTCCTGGGTCTAGACTTGCATACCCAGAAACCTAAGCATTGGGCTCTTGAAAGCACAGAGGCCAAAGACCACCAGGATGGGATGGGGGGTATCTGCGAACTAGGATGGAAAAAATACATCTTTATTCCAATAAAATTCGTTTCCTTTGCAAACCTATGCATTTTATGCATCTGAAGACATTAATCTGAGCAGTCCACTAGCATTCTGGTGATGCCTAAGGGGTCTACGGCAGAAAAAAGGGTAAGAATCCCTGACCTAATCCAGCCCAAACAGTTTCATGGAGGAAGACAGGAAGGGCCATAGATGGGTAAACTGTTCAAGGTCAAGCAAAGTTGAGCTCTGAACCCACACCATTAAGACCACACATCTACGGGATCTCAGAGGTCAATGAATCCAACCCTTTCATTTTACAGATGAGAAAATGGAGGCCCAGAAAAGTGAAGGGATTTGTTCAAGGCCACACAGCTAAGAAAGGTCTGAGGCACAATTTGAACCCCGGTCCTCAGACCTCAAGTCCTGTCCTCTATTCACCCCAGCACACACACTCCAAAGGACTCCAGCTTCTGACAGCCAAGCAGCTCTCATCCCCCCCCCCCGCCCGCTCCATGCCATCAGGGCTTCTTTCTTTCTTGCTACTGTAAAAGGAGACACTGGCTATACACGCACACAAAGCCCCACTTGGCCTGCTGGACTCCCCTGACTTCTCTGTGCCCCAAGTGGGCACTCCACCCAGATCCCATCTAGATAGGGGTCAGAGGGGGGGTCTCACTACTGATTTAACCAGCTCCCACCAAGTGGGATTTACAGACGGAGAAGAAGGAAGCCACGGGTGAGCTCAGTGGTGGTAGGGCGTTTTCTGGGGTGGCAGGTCTTGGTCGGGGTGTGTGTGTGTGTGTGTGTGTGTGTGTGTGTGTGTGTGTGTGTGTGTGTGTGTGTGTGTGTGTGCATGAGTGCGTGTGTGCATGTGCACCCGTGCCACTATAAGGGTGACTACACCACTGCCATCACTGAGGCATCACAGCCAAAGCCAAATAGCAATGGACACAAACTAGCTGGCTGGCAACCCGATGGGGCACACACTGCTGTTTCTGAGACCATTCAGACTCTCGTCACAACGACAGAAGTGAGAATAACTGGCCACCAGTGTGGGGCCTGGGCCTGTCTGATGGGCTGGACTCTAAGTGGGCCGAGGCACTTCTGCTAGAGCCAGCTCCCGAAGTACTCACTACTCCCCTGGAGGTACTGACGGTTCCTCCGGCCCGGGCAGACTGTCCAGGTGACCCACGCTCACCTGGCCCATCTTCAAGGCCCAAGAAGCCAAGAGCAGCGACTGCCCCACCCATCTGGGCTTGGACGTACTACATGTCCCATAAACTGTTTTCTGCTACTGCCTCCCTAGAACAACTGTTTCCAACCCCCCCCCCATCTCTTATAGCTGGTTTCCTCCCAGGTCTGATGAAGGCATGTTTTGAATCCTTTGCACACTGGGCAGTTTTAATGGCACTTGTTCCAGGACACCCCAAGTGATGCTGCTGGGGAATGACCACGGATTCTGAGGAAGTGGACATCCACGATGACTCCTGGAGGGAAGGGACCGTGTTGTGATGGAGCACCCCACACTCAGGGGCCCCAGTTTGAGCTCCATGACTTAATACCTGGGTGGCCTTGGACAGGCCCTTCCTCTCTGCAGGCCTCAGTTTCCTTGCCTCACGAGGAGGCCGGAGGCTGGATGGGGGACCCTTCCAGCCCCCATCTTAAATACAAACATGTCATTTGCGAGACGAAACCCAGAGAGAGGCTGGTTCTCAGGGTCAGAGAGGAGATGAGAGCACAGGTGCTGCCCCTGCCTGGTGCCGCCCCTACCCGGTCACAATCTTGGATGTGGAGGTCCGGGGGCACCAACACCTTTCCACAGCCCATGGCAAGCGCAGGGCTCAGTTTGGCTCCCATGTTCTCACAAAGACACACAAGGGCTTGGAAACATTTCTGCAAGCCATGAAGGTGGCAACATGTTTAGGCTCAAGGCCATAAGATGTCATCAGGCTTAAAAACCCATGGGGTGTGGCCAAGGCAACCTCCCTACTGCGTGCCCAGAGGCTGACGGGGACTAGCGGGCAGTACCTGATCCAAAATGTAGTTGCGTTTCTTGCGGGCAGCAATCTGAATGAGGCGGTTCAGGCACTGGGTGGCCTGCTGGATGAGGACATCCCATCGGCCGGCGTAGTTGCGCTGTCGGCGGAGGCCCATCACCTGCAGGGGGAGACGCGGTTGGTGGCCCGCTGAAGGCCACAAGCAGGTGGGGGACGGCGGCCGCGCCACACTCACCCGCATTTTATCCATGATGGCGTTGGTGCCGAGGATGTTGTACTTCTTGGAGGGGTTGGCAGCGGCGTGTTTGACAGCCCACGTGGTTTTGCCAGCCGCTGGCAAGCCGACCATCATTAGAATCTAAAGAAGATCCAGTGGAGAATACTGTGAATACTCAAAGGCTGGTGAAAGCACCCTAACAGCAGAATCAGAGAAGGTCAGAGCCAGAGACCTTCACCCGATCAAGACAGGCACACGGCAAGGCCACAAGGCAAGGCCATGATGAGAGGGGAGGAGAAGGCCTCGGGGCGGGATCAGAGAGCCGCAGCAGTCCGGGGTGGCTCGGGGTTATGCATGTAACACAAACAAAGCCCAGACCAAATGGACTGGACGTGGGCCTGGCTCCCAGTCTGGGGCGGTTTTCTCCTGTCCTCTTTTCTACCTTCCCAGGCAGAAACCCTCCTGGAATCAGAGAGGCGTCCACAGGTTGAGAGTCCTCTGCCAAACCACCCAAAAGAGATGTAGCAGACATAACCCAGGGCAAAGGCAATGGGAAGGGGCTGCCTGTCCTGCGGGCGGGTAAACAAAAGACCCGAGTGCTGAGCAATTCGAGGGCAGAGGCTGCTCTTTGTGCACAGGCCCTTCTGCCTCACTTGCTGGTCTCAAAGACAGAGCTTCTGCACCTGCCTAGCCCGTGTTCCTATTTCCAGCCAAACCCTTGCCCCCAGCCTCTTTCTGGTCTAAGCAGGAAACAGTGAGGCTAATGATGATTTAAACTCTTCACTGCACCCCCCCCCCCATCAACCTGTAACACAGAATGGTCAGACAAGGAGGAGCCGTCTTCAAGTTCTGATTCTTCCATTTACTTCCTGTGTGACTTTGGACAAATAAAACAAAACGCTTGCCCTAATGATAAACCACACCCTCTTTGGGACCCAGTCAGCTTGGCTCTCGTGATCTCCAAGGTCTCTTTCAGCTCTAAACTGGATGCCACCTCCCTGACTTCTCCTTGCCAGTGGCACCGGCCCCTGGCGGCCCGTACCTCGCAGTCTGCTTTGCTCTTTGGTCCCACAGTACCCCGAATACGTTCCCCCACAGGCACGTGCTGAATGAACGTGAACCCCGGGATGATGGAGCAGTAGGGCTCTCTCCTCTGGCCAAAGTTGAACTCCACGGCACAGTTCTTCACGAGGACGTGGGGGTAGAGTGCCTGGCCCCCCAGGGCATCTTTCTGGATGCGGTAGGCTATGCCCAGCCACTTTCCATTCTTGGTGAAAGAAAGCTCTATTTCGTGCCCACATTCAAAGTCCTGGAAAAGGAGGAGAGAGGAGATGAGAAAACAAGTGCTGAGCTGCTAGCAAAGAGAGGACACAGGAACACAAGCCAGGTGAGCACCTGTGGGCCACCAGGACAACCATCGCTCTGCGGCAGCCCCGGGGGTCTCTCCACATTCTAGGCAAACCAGCAGCAGAGAGGCCCTCAACCAGGACTGATGACACAAATGAAGAGGCCTCCCCTGCACCGACTGCTGGGCTCTGATGGACCATTAGGGGAATTGCCCACCAGCAACAGAGTCTGAGGCCAGGGGTACCTCAGGGCACTTGCAAATGTGCCTGTAGACCGTCAGGCAGCAGGCTGAAGAGGGGAGTGCTCTCCAGGATTGGAAGGAAGCCAGCAGCAACAAGCTTCTAACCTGGTTGCTTCAATGCAGGCAAGGGCAGAGCACCATTAGGAAGGACTCATCAGCAAATAGTAAACCAGCCCCCACCGAGGAGCCGCAGCTTCTTCCTAGGAACACCAGCTCTAAGGAGAGGCCAGGCAGGTGCCCGTAGCCTTGGTGCCAGGAGTCTCTTTTCAACTCAGTCCTGCTCAGCTCTGCCACCCCAAATCCCCCTTTGAGCTACTGAGGGCTCTGTTCACCAATATCTGAGAGCCAGCCAGGCCCCTCTTTCCCTTCTCTCTCCACTAGTCATGCACTCAAACCCAAGATACCGCTTTCCCTCATACACCTGGCACCCCATCCAAGTGGTTTACATGTTGTTTCCTGCACAGGACCTCTCACCTGTTGGTGCCAGGCCTTTGCTCGAGCTGTGCCCCATGCCTGGCATGCATCACCCTATCTTACTTCTACAGAGCACGATCCTAAGCTCCTGAAAGGCTTAGCTCACATATGCCCCTTCCTATTTGAGGCCCTCCTTGTTCTGCCCATTACCAGCCCCTGCAAACTTTACACTGGGCATCTACCCAGTAGAATGAAATCACTTGGGGGAAGGAGCTGGTTTCTCACGACATCCCTGGCACCCAGGGCATCTTGTAGCTATCTCTCTCAAAAGAAATGCGCACAGTTCCCAGATGTGGAGCGCTCCATTTTATCAGCATGACCCCACCCAGATATGGGATGTCTACTCATACTCACCGCAAAACAGCCAATGACATCATTTTCAGCAAATGTGTCCCCATAGTTTTCAAATCGGCTGTTGGTAGATTTTTTTCCAGTGCCACCGTAACCATAAGAAAATGCCTCTTCACCTAAAAAAGAAAGGATGTGAAACCTCGGGTGGTCACTTTGACACAGTGCCTGCCCCGTGGGTCTTCAAGCTGGTCTGGAGAATCTAAGGGCAAGAGCCTCATCCTGGGGATCAGGAGACTGTGGCTTTGAGACCCCGGGAAGCCCTCATCTGCCCTATCTGTTCCACAGGGTTTTTATGAAGATAGCATTTATTTATACAGTATACTTAAAAAAGAGTTGGCTGAACTAGGTGACCTTGTGACTTTCATGTTTAAAGGTCCTCGGAACTCCAGGTCTGTGGCGTGAGGTACCGGGGAAGAGGGAGAGAATGCGTACTGAAACCTGTCCCGAGATCACTTTCCCCTTCCCTTCATAGAACCCCAAGTACACCAAATGCACAATGCTCACTGCTGTTCCCTGATAATCTGGGTCTGGCTTCAGTCAGAGGGGACTGTAAAGACCCCCATGCCTCAGCACCCCCTAAGTCTAGGCAGACGGATGTTCCACAAGATAAGTATTTTTGTTTGTTTTCCACTAGCATTAAAAGGGAAGGAAGAAGAGTTTGTGCCTAAACAAGGAACAGAAAGGATCACAGAAAGTAAAATGTACTGTTTTGGTTATATAAAACTAAAAGATTTTACACAAACAAAGCCAATAACAGCTAAAATGAGACAACAGATGAATGAGGGAGAAAAATCTATCCAAGTTGAAAAGGGCTCATTTCTGAGACATTTAGGGTACCTGCAGTTTTTGGAGGAAGAAATCTAAGCTGTCAACAACCACATGAAAAACAAAATGCTCCAAGCCACTAAGAATCAGAGAAATCCAAGCTGGAAGAACTCTGAGGCCCCACCTCGCAGCCACCGGATCGGCCGAGATGACAGAGAAGGGAAACGACAAACGCTGGGGAAATGATGTCCCTCGATTATTGAACCGTGCACACCCTCTGAACCAGCGATGCCACTAGCAGGCCCAGACCCCGAGACAGCAGAGAAAGAAGAAAAGGACCCATACGTATCAGAGTATTTACAGCAGCTCTTTTCATAGTGGCAAAGACCTGGAAGCTGAGGGGACGCCCCTCGGCTGGGTAACAGCTGACTGAGGTAGGGCATGTGCTCTAACAAGTGAGGAAGGGGACGGCGTCAGAGGAACCTGGAAAGACCTGCATGAACTGATGCAGAGCGAGGTAAGCGGAACCAGGAGAACAATTTAAACACAAGCAACAACACTGAGACGACAAACAGCTCTGAAAGACTTAAGAAATAGGATGGAACACGCTAGCCTCTTCCTGACAGAGAGGGACGGACCCAGGGGCCTCCTGAGACATACATTTTTTGGACATGGTCAGTGTGGGACTGAATTTTGATTAACTGTGCACATCTGTTACAAGAGTTTTGTTTTTCTTTTCTAATGGGAGGAGGGGGAGGTGAGAGAAGGCAGATTTTTGCTAATTGAAAAAATTAAAATGAGATATTAATAGTGATAAAGCAAGCCTTAGATATGTTTTTAAATGGTAGCAGTACAGCTAGCGAAGAGCTTTTTATCTTTTTAGAGTTAAATTTCATTTTCAGGACCAAATTTTCTCCTTACACCCAACCACTGCCATGGAAAACAAACACGTATAGCCATCCAAAAATCTCCTCGTTGGATACGTCCCAACAATGTCTCAGTGGGTCGACTCTATCAAGAGGTGGGCAGCCTGTTTCATTATGAGTCTGATGGGATCGTGTATGGTGACACTGTTACTGTGAAAATCGTCCTCCTGGTTCTGCTCCCTTCCCTCAGCTCACAGGCTCCCCTGAAACCGCCCCTTTCATCACTTCGTACAGCACGACCATGTTCCATCGAATTCATACATACCATGTTTGGCCATTCCCCAACTGAAGGTCTTTCTTTCACTTTCTAATTCTTTGCCACCACAAAAAGAGCTGCTACAAATACTTTTGTACATATGGTGCGTTTCTTTTCTCTGATCTTTCTCTGATACAGACTCAGTATTAACACTGCTGGGCCAAAGGGTCTCTGCGCAACTTAGTTTTTGGGACATGGCTCCAAACTGCTTCCAGAATGACTAGACCAGCTGATAATTCCACCAACAGGGCATTGATGTGCCCCTGCAGCTTCACCAGCATTGGTTGATTTCTTTTTTGGTCACCTTAGCCAATCTGGCGGGTGTGAGGTGGTACCTCAGAATTGTTTTACTTTGCATTGCTCCAATTACTAGTGATTTGGAGCATTTTCCCCCTCTACAAACTGCCTGTTCATGTCCTTTATCCATTTAGCCAATGGGGTGAGGCTACTAAGGGATATCTACTCCCACTCCAAAGTATAACCATGGCCAGGGACCTACAGTTTACCAAATGTTATGTTCTGAAACAACCCTGTGTGAGAGGAGATAGCAGCATGTAACAAATTGTACTTGAAAAATGAGGACAGAGAGGAAGGGAATCCAGATCTCCTGGGCTCAATCCTAGACTTCTTTCCACGACTCTCGCTGTTTCTGGGACCCCACAACCCTCACCAGTGCCCGCCAACAGCACCCTGGAGGCAGAGGGGCACCAGCCCCACCCCAGCCAAACCTGGCTGTGCAGGTGACCTGGTTTTTGCCCCTCCACTCAAGATGCTTCCTTGGGGGGAGAGGACCTTATCCTTACCTAGCTGTGTGCTGCAAGAATCCAAAGACCAGCCAATTCGCACAACGTGGGGATCAGGCTCTGTAGAAGGGAGGTGCTTTACAGAGATTTCTTCATTGATCTGAGGAAGCAGAAAGCATGGGGGCCCGAGTTAAAAAATACCCACAGACTACAACTCACGCGACTACTCCATCTCTCAAGGAAAACCAACTGTAGTATGGTCAGTTGAAGATACCTCTTACTAAAAAGCCAGCTGTCACTCAACACGTATATAAGCTTGGGCAAGTGCCTGTCATCTGGGCCTCAGTTTCCTTCACTTATAAAACAGGGACAACACCCTTGCTACACCTTAAGAGATGCAGGCAGCACATACTGTACAAGGGGGAGGATTTGCTCCTTCTAAGGAGGGAGTCATGAGGACAGAGGTAAGGAGAGGGATTAGGAGGCCACTGGTGACAACATCAGGGCTCCACATGCAAGGGACGGGGGGGCTGAGGAGACGCTGTGGAGGAATCACCTCCATCTTTACTCTGGGTCCAAGAAGCAGGTTTCTTTAGGAAAAGGACACTGGATATGAAGTGAGAAGATTTAAGATTGATGTGCTTTGGGTCCATGGCCTTAATCACAAAATCACCAAATCACAGAGTTCTTGAAAGAGTCAAATGCTAACGGATGAAAAGCATCCAGTTGCCAAATGTTAAAGAGAAGGAAGGAATCTCACAGGGCCACTTAATCCAGAGTGGGTCTGACAAGAAACCCCAACAAGTGCTCCCCTAACGTCTGTGAAGACCTCCAGGGACAAGGAGACCCTCCAATACCACCTGCCTCTGCCTCTTGGCAACTTTTCCCCATGGCTCCTGGTTCTGCCCTCTGGTTCAGAGAGAAGAATCTGATCCCTCTCCCACTGAAGGGATGGCCCTGCAAATACTTGGGAACAGTTCTCTACTCCCTTCCTCAGGCTGCAGATGCCAAGAGGCTCCAACTAATCCTTGTCTAACATGGTCCCCAGGCCTCTGGTCATCGTGGTCACCCTCCCCTGTGCACCCCCTGGTCTGTCAGTTGGACAGAGCCTTCCAAAACTTGGGATTGAGAGCCAAAGACAACACTCCAAACGGCCAGCCTGGGGAATGGCCAGCACTCGTTCCAACACTCTACTCCATCAAGATTTCCTTTGTCTTAGGTGCCAAACACCACAGAATAATACAGTAACAGGGTCTCAAGAAATACACATGACACAGAAAGGCTACATAAGTATTTGGCTAAAACATACTAACAACCCCCCCCCCCCAACGTCCAAGTTAAGCAGCAATTACTCAAGCTGTCACGTCCTTGTCCTGGCACTTGAGAATGCACCGCTCCTTCTGACCTCCACCTCCTCAACGGGCAGTGCATCATAGGGGTGAGGGGGCCCCACGCCATACAGGGACACTGGGACCCTTGGCAGGTCCACGTTCCAAGACTAGCTTTGGTGAAATGGAGTCTCAAACAGCAGTAGAAAGATCTCACACACAGAAAAGCTTCATTCTCCTTCCACTGAGGTCAAAGCTACCTTCCAAACCATGAGGCATGGTGACTCCAGACTCAGAGTAATGGGATGGGAGGACAGTCTTTCATTGTACCCGTCTCCCTTCTCTGTAAGGAAAGGACCAGGCACATGGTCTGAGAGGGCAGAAGGAGGACCAGTGAGTGGAGAATCTCAGGAGGCAAAGGAAGTAGAAACCTCCACAATGACATATTCACCATTCTCACTGGAGGTCGGATGGTCACCTCTCGGGGGTCACAGAGATCATGGGGTTTAGATCTGTGAGGAAACCGAGGTCTGGTAAGATTAAGTGACTTGCCAAAGATCATACAAGTAGCAAACAGTGGGAGTCGCCCAGACTGAAGGACTGATCTCCATTCTTGGGCTCTGCTCTATTCTGACTCCTTTCCTTCCAGCTCTAACGTTCTACACAGCACGTTTCCCCCAAGTGGCCATTCTTATTTCCCAATTTCACTGCAAAGAAATGTCCAAACCAACACCGTCAACACACAGAGCAAATTCTACAACAAACATCTCTGTTCAACAAAAAGATGCCCTCCCAGGAGGCTGCATGTCTCATGTAATGGAGTCCTAATGGGAGAAAAGAGAACCCCCTTGGCCACCTCCTGTCATCTATCCAGAGGTCAGAAACTCGAATGCCTAACCTAGTGTCATCGGGCTGAGTGGCTGGGCCACACTGACCCACCTCCTCCCCTTCCTACCAGTCAGGCACTGTGGCGGCTACTGCCAAGGTTTACCTTCATCTCAAAGCACACACGGCCCCTCCTGACCCCATAACTGGCTCTGGCACCAGACCACAGATATGCAAATCCCTCAATGGTGAGTGGGTAGCCACTACTTCGGTCCCGGGCTACTTTGAAGTGAAGATCGCAGTTATCTGGAAAAAGGAATAGGTGACCCAACATAAGGAATGTGGAAATGAAACCCTCTTATGTATAACAATGATATGCAGTCCCATTCATCTGTGAAGGTCTCATCTCTAAGCAGACGAATCCAAGATCTTTAAAGCCAGCTCTCCTGACCTTGTCTCCCATCAGCCTCTGCCTTTTGGACACCTCAAGCTTAACAGCTTCCAAAAGAGATTCCATCATCTCTCCCCTGCGGCTGCCCCCCTCTTCTCCTGGCCCGTCCACGGCACCCCCAGCTTCCAACTCCTCACCATCATACTTGTTTAACTTCCTTCCCTGACTCCCACCCTGGGGAAGCTCATCACCTCACGTCTACATGGTGAAACACTCTTGTGGGTGGTCTCCCTTGACTCCATTCTCCATCAACTCCAAGAGGCTTCCCCAAATCAAAGCTCTCATGACATCCCTCCCCAATCACTGTGGTACCTCCTTATCCCGCTGCTTGGCTTTTCAAGCCCTTCACAACCTGGTCCTTCCAGACTTTCTTCCCCTTTCTGATGCAGCCACAGTGGCCTCCTTGCTCTTCTTCACACAAGTCACTCCACCTTCCTCCTCCCCGTGTTTGCACCGGTTGTGCCGCAGGCCTGGACTACTTTCCCCACTGAAGCAACAGCTGGGGAGGCCCTGTGCTCATGGCACTCTGGTGCGTCCTGCCTGCTCAAGAAGATTCTAAGGTGCTTGTCTACCTTGTCTTGGGAGCACCCCTCCTGTAGCATAATAGCAGTGTGCACAGGAGTCATTCCACAAAGGTCTGTTATCACATGGATTTTTAAAATGCCTTTCTCTATTGAGTTAAGACTGACCATCAAGAATACTAGACAAGGAGCAGACAGGCCAACAGCGAGGCACCTCTGAGCGCTCTGGTGGCGGGGATTTCAGGAGAAACACCACCGGCTAGAGTAAAGTCCTCCATCTGGCCTGCCAACCAGGGCTCAAATTCTTTCCCTGATGGTTACAAGGGCCCAGCCTAGCAGCCGGCTGGGAGACACCAAGTCAGTCAAACAGACATCAAGGGTCTGTCGTGAGCAAAGCCAGGACCAAGTCAGACTCCCACCAATCATGCCAAGCCCCCTCACCCCCACCAGACTAACCTCCAAACACGCCCTGCAGAATCCCACTACCAACATTTCTTTTCTTTGCCACCCCCCTTACAGAAATCACACCCACTCAACGAGGTCCAGCTTAGCCTGCCCCAGATGTGGCCACAAGCTTGAGACATGAGGACCCCCACGTAAGGGAAGGAATCTTTCTTTGGAAAACCAAAGGTGAGGATAGCCTAAGAGGACAGGGAGCAGTCAGACCGGGCGGTACAGGGTGTGGCGGGGACCCCACTGAGGGTGAAGGAAATGCTATTCCTTAAAGCTCACATGTGTCGATGGCGACGAGGGTGTCGTCAAACTCTTCCTCATCCTCTTCAGCGGGTGGCTGAGGCGATCGACCCCTGTGACAGAGAGAGACCGTCAAAGAGAATGGCTAGCTCACGGATGACACTGGCAGACCACAGTCCAATCCCCACTGTCTCCCCCTACACTACCTGCTTTCATGTCCTCCCCCAATGAAGCAGGACCCTTGGCCTGGATTCTGCCTACCCTCTGCCAGAAGTGTTAATGAGTAAATGGCCTGGTTGGAAAGGTGGCCAGTACAAACAGAGAAAGAAGAGAAGCCAAGGGCGGGGCTCTTCGCCAACAGAGGACCCATTCTCAAGCATCAGAGATCTGGCTGCAGAGGGCTTTTCCAAAGGATGCACAAGTGAGCAGCAATAATCAGGATTCCAAATGACTTAGTTCTCAGTTTTTAAAGTGTCCTAACTTGTGAACTAAGGGTTCTCTTAATCTCAAAACCCCCCAAAAGTTTTGCACTTTCACAAGGGATATGAGAAGGAACAGCAGGGACTAAACACCCGGACCAGGGGTGGGAAACCTTTGGCCTTGAGGCCAGGTGCGGCCCTCTAGGTCCTTGGGTGTGGCCTTTTGACTGAGCCCAAGTTTTATAGAACAAATCTTTTTATTAAGGACTTGAGGCCTCCTTGAGGTTTCCCCACCTCTGACCTGGACTCTGCCAAGCGGCATGGATGGCTGAGCATGGTAGATGCAATGGCTGCCAGCCTTTCCTCCTACAGGCTTCTGCTTGCACCCTGGGTCTTATGCCTCCTTTAGTGTCTCCAATGCCAACCCTACTTAATTCAAGTCCTTGCTTCCTCTGGGTAACCTTGGAGTGACCTTTTCCTCCTCCCAGTCAATGCTTCTACACCCCCTCTACTGTGCCAAGCACTACAATTCAGCCCTGAGAGATTTGGGGTGGTGCCTACAGGAGCTGCCCATTCGCCCATTTCTGCCCTGAGCGACCATCTAGTTTCTAGTTTATAAAGACACGTGGAAAAACGGACAACAAATGACACCACCAAGGGGACAGCCCGGACTTCCAAGTGAAGATGAAGGTGGAGCTTGGACATTTCCAGCTGAGGGAAGAGGTTAGACTTGATCTAGGCCCAAAATGGGGCAGTGCCCATGGGGAAGTAAAAAGCACAGAAGTTGAAATGTCCAAGGCATATTTAGGGGACAGCGAGGTCACTGATTCCCTACTGACTGCATCCCCACCTGTAAGGTGCTGTGGTAAGATTATCACTCACCCAGCTGGGTTTTAGCCCATAGGTAATGGGGAGTCAGTTACGGTTCTGGGGCAGGGGGTGACATGAGCAAAGTAAAGCTTTGGTCAGACTTACCTGAACTAATGGAGGGAAAGAAGCCGGGGCATAAAATTCTGATGGCACTTGCCCATGTCGGGGACCCCTGACTCCAGGACTGAATTGTGCCTTATTTACCAGAGGGCTCTGCCTCACATCCCTGGGCATGCTTGTGCTTCTATCTGCAATGCTTCCCGCCGCAGCACTGGGCACAAGGGGACTTCAGATGGAGCCTTCGGGACTGTGGGGCACTCTAAGGGACCAGTTTCTTTCTCATACATCAGCCTACCTTTTATCCTCTCGGTGTTCATAGTAACCACGTCCCCGGCTGTCTTCAAAAGCCCTTTTCCGACTCTGGTAATGATGTCTATTTGATAGGGGAGGCTGTGACGGATTACAAGGGGGGAAACAGGCAAAGGAGTCTTCCTTCTTTATCCCAGGCTTTACTTCAACTGTGGAGACAAACATTGAGGGTCAAGACAGACAAAAACTTTAGCCATCATTTCCTGAGACCAGGTATTCTTAACTTGGGATCCATCAACTTGTTCTTAAAAACAAAAACAACAACAAAATGCTTGATAACTATTTCAACATAGCTAGTTGTCTTTGTAATCCTATGTAGTTTATGTATGCATTTAAAAACATTATTCTGAGAAGGAGCTTTACCAGACTGCCAAAGAAAAACCAGGTTAAGGATCCCTGCAGAAGCCACATTATTTTCAGTGGGAGGAATAGCCCTCAAAGAAGGAAAGAGTCAGAATGATCTGCTAGGCAGCCAGACTTACGCCTGCTTCTTTTAGGAAGCCGGGCTTTCCATTCTCCCTTGGGCTCTAACAAAGAATCTGTCTCAGTGGTTCGAGAAACATTTTGGGGGGCAGGAACTGCTTCAAAGAGGTCCACGTGACACCCCAACCTCATTTCTTTGTCACTCTGTTCCCCTTCCAAATCAGCAGGAAAAATAACCTTTCTACAGCAGAGGAAACTAAATATGTCACACAAGACTTAAAACATGGAAGAAACAAAAGTACAAATGTGTTAGTAGTCTAAGACCAAGCTGACTAGAGCAAGGTGCCACTAGGGACCCATGAGCCATATACCAACTTAAGAAAACACATTTAATGTTATATCTCTTTGACAGTTGTTCAGTTATGACCCCATTTTGGTGTTTCCTTGGCCAAAACGGTGATTCTTCCATTTACTTCTCCAGATCATTTTACAGATGAGGAAACAGAGGCAAATAGGGTTAAGTGATTTGCCCAGGGTCACACAGCTAGTGGGTGCCTGAGGCCAGATTGGAACTCAGGAAGATGAATCTTCCTGACTCCAGGCCACTGAGCCACCTAGTTGCCCTGTTTTTATATGTATTTTTAATTCATCTTTTAAATATTTCCCAATTACATTTTAATGTGGTTTGGGCCACACTCAGGAGTGTTATAGGCCTCAAGTCTGACACTTCTGGCATAGAAGACTTTGTTGGCAGCCCCACCCTGGGGCTCTCCCTTTAATCAAAACAAACCGCAAACTAGAAAGGTGCTGCAGATGGATGATAAGCCCAGTCCAGAACTGAAGAGAAGACAGTAGGTTGGTTCAACATTTAGGAAATGTGTTGCCTTTTGAAGGATTCCAAGCTGTTCACTGTTACCAGAGCCTTAAATCTCCTTAATATCAATTCTCTTGGTAACACCCCAGGGCTGAGGATTATACAATAGAACCATCTCAGAGGAATCAAAACTGCTGGTAGCCCAAAGGGCAATAGTCAGGCACACACTGGTAGGATCAGACTTCAGTATATTTACTACTACATAGGACCTGGGTGTGCTAAGTGGCCCAAGATACTTTCAAGGACACACATGACCGGAAAGGGAGGCCCAGAGCAGTCACATGTTAATTGACAGAAAGCAGACAGAGCCCTGGACTGTTGCATGGGTATACCCACGATGATCAATGAATCACCAAGAGACCTCGTACCTGGGCTGCTACCCTTCCTCTGCTACTTCTTATTTCTGGGGCTGGGAGTGAGTTGCTTGACTTTTCTCTGCTGTAAGAGGAAAAGGCTGGCCCTGATGATCTCTAAGGGACCTTCCAGCTCCAATAATCCCTGATTTCTTAACATATTAGACTCGCCATGAGAAGGTACCCAGCATGAGACAGGTTCTTTGGAGAGAACTTAAGGAATGCCCACACTCATCCAATCACAGCGCCTCTCTTCCTTTGTGTCGTTCACTTGTTTCTGACTCTTTGTGACCCTGTATGGGGTTTTCTTAGCAAAGATCCTGGTGCGGTTTACCATTTCCTTTTTTTTCCTTTTTTTGGCTAGGCAATGGGGTTAAGTGGCTTGCCCGGGGTCACGCTGCTAGTGTTATGTGTAAGAGGGCCACACTTGAACTCAGGTCCTCCTGAATCCAGGGCTGGTGCTCTATCCACTGCGCCACCTAGCCTCGCTGCCCCTAACATTTCTTTCTTCAGTGAATTAAGGCAAATAGAGTGAAGTGACTTGCCCAGGGTCACACAACTAGTGAGTGACTGAGGCCACATTTGAACTCAGGTCTTACCGATGACTCCAGGCCTGGTGCTCTGCTCACTATGGCGCCCCCTAGTGACCTCCTTTAAGATGCAGCTGAATTACCACCGTCCTCATAGGCATAATTGCTAGGCACCTCCTCTCAAACTACCTCGCATATATCTCTATTTGCTCCCTGTGTATTTACGTTGTCTGTGTTGCTACATGGCCTTGCTGTTTGCCTCATTAGAATCCAGAGTCCTCGGGAGCAGGGATGGTTCCCCCTTTCCCCAGTGCACAGCACAACAGGGCTTCATAGATGCTTGTGGTACGATCTGTCATTTGAGCCTTTCTGACCCCTACTGGACACTGCAGCTCAGGCCCAAGCTGTCTGGCACTGTTTCCCACAAAGGCAGGCAAGGCAGCCTTTGAGGGACAGGCTGGTTCGCTTGAGGTCTCCTTACCGAGTGCCTCCTAATTGTTACAGGAGAGAACAGTGTGTGTGTCCGTAAGTCACTTATAGTCTGCTGATAACCAAACCACAGACGAGAAGCTGGGGAGGCCTTCTTTTTAAAATATTCTTGACAGCCTTCCCCCCTATGCCTAGCACTGGTCATCCGGATTCTGTTGAGATGGTTCTGGTCCCCTCACTCCCAGCCCTGGAGAATTGCCTAGAGAAGTGGTGTTGAGATGATACGTTTTGGTAGAGGGGAAACAACTTGGCATCATCCGAAGGGCTACACAATTTCCCAAGACAGTTCACTGTGACTTTCTACCCACAGCAACTAGTTCAGCCTAAGTTGGACGAGTCTAACTTGTGCTCTGCTTGAGGGTCTCTGAAATCCTCAGAGATGGCAAGCTGAAGCTCCCCTAGAGTTCTTCTCCAGACAGTCCCTTGAACTGGTCTGCAAACAGCCCGGTCTCCTCAGTCATCTCCCTATTCTGGCTGACCTCTTTTGGACATTCTTCAGCCTGTCAAAGTTGTTCCTAAAACACGGCACCCAGATGCCAAACCATAAAGCGAAAACTAGCACTGTGGCCCTCTATACTAACTATCCAATGACTAGAAAACAATAAACATTACATATAAGTATTCACACTGTCCTTCCAGCAGATGGAGACAAAATGCCCAACTTCTCACCTGGGTAGGAAGTCAGCTGCTGTTCCAGCTCCAGCTCTGGAGGTTTACTCTCATATCCAGTTTTTTTCTCCTGATGAACATTTGTGGTTTCATAAAATTGATTCTGTTCTGCAGTGTTGCCAGTGACATCTAAAACAGAAGGGGTGGTGGTGGGAGGGTTAGGGGGACAGGTTCCAGAGACCACGGAACAAATAGATTTTGCTGCCAAATGACCTAGCCCCACCAAGTTATCCATGGACAAAATTAAGAGAAAAATGAAAGCATCTCAACAAAAATAAAAGCAACGCCACCACAGTATTTATGAGGGGGTGCCAGTCGCAGCTCTGTCACTCATTTTTTGTGTGAACTTGGGCAAATCCCCCTCTTTGGGTCTGTCATTACCCGTACAAAGAAGAGTTGGACTCTGAAAGTTCCTTCGGGCCCTGACAATCCAGAATTAGAGGAGCCTAACTAGACACCACAACAAAAGTATTGCAGCAATTTCCCAACAAGAGAAGCAGGAAGCGATGATTTCTCTAGTGCAGCTGTGTTAGTCTCATCACCCCTAAATAGACTCACTCAACAACGGACACACTACCTGCAAAATCTTTCCAACATGAAATGAAAAACCATACGACCAATTACATGGCAGTGGAGTACGTCAAAGACACCACATCAATAAACTCACAGCTTTGAAAACTGAGCTACCCAAAACGTCCTAAAAAAGTTTGAGTTTGGAAACCAGAAGCTTTTGGGTAAAAGCTGAACCAACATCAAGGCCGACAACCTCGCAAAGCAAGAGCCAAACGCAAAGCCAGAAGAGTCCTGGCAAAGGGAGACCCAGCAGCGCCGCGCCGAGAGAAGTGGAGTGCGGGATCGGACTTTTCACAGGCACCGCTCCACGTCCCCCCGGCCTCCAGAACCGGGTGGCCCCGACGGGCCCCGAGGGCCGAACGGCCCGGGGAAGCCCCGGCACTGGGGGCCGAGCGGGGCCCCGCGGTCGGGGCGGGCCGCCTCCGAGGCTTCCTGGCGCTCGGCCCCGGCGCCCGCACGGTCCCTTCGGTCTCCCCCGGGGTCCTGGGCCCCCTGCCCGGCCCAGCTTCGTCTCCCTCCGCCCGCCCGCTCCTTCCTTGCCTTCCTGGCCCGCGGGCTCCGGCCCGGGCCCTCCTTCCGCAGCTCGCAGGGGCTCACAAGGGCCGTCGGGGCCCGCGGCCTCCGCGACGGGCGGAGGCGGCTGCTCGGCCCGGGACCCCTCCTGGCCGTCCCGCGGCGGCCCCGACGGGTGTCCCGGCGGCGGCTCGGGCTGGGTCTCCAGCTCGGGCTCGGGCTCAGGCTCCGGCGCGGCGGCCTCGGCCTCGGCGGCGGCGGCCTCGTCCAGCGCCGCCTGCAGCCGCTCGGCCAGGTCCGCCTTGAGGCCGCGCGTGTCGAGTCCGCGCCGCTGCAGCTCCTCCCGCAACTCGTTCACCTTCAGCCGCTTCACGTCCATGGTCCGGCGCTTCGGCTCCGCTCTGCACCCTGCTCCTCCTCCGCTGCGCCTGGCCCGACACCGGCCCCGGCCCCGGCCCGGCCCCTCGGCCTCGGCCCCCAAGGACTGCCTCGACGGCGGTGGCGGCAACGACGGCACTAGCGACGGCAGTAGCGGCTCAAAATGGCCGCCACCACCTCCCCCCCACCGCCTCGCGCGCCCCGGCGCGCGTCCTGATTGGCCCGCGGCCCAGGCGGCCGGCGCGCGGAGGGCAGACAGCGACCAATGGGAGCCGCAGACATCGCTCAGTACCGCCCCCCGTTTCCGACACCGCCCTTCTCAGGCCCCTTTCCCTTTAGGGCGTGGAAGGGGGAAAGGGCGTTAGGCCGAGCTCCGATTGGCCGAAGCCCGCCCGCCCGCAGTCAATGAGAACGGGGCGCCGCGCTACCGACCAATCCGCGCCTGCCTCGCGAAACGCCTACCGGCTCCCCGCCCACAAAGCTGCCCCTCGAACTTTCAACTTGGCTTCAGTGACGCGCCCCTCAATTGGCTGAGTCGCCCGCCCCTCGGAGGGAATGGCTTAGCCGGGGAAGCCATTTCGGCCAATGGACGAGGCGGAGCCTGCAGCCCCGCCCCCTACAGCGCTTTTCAGCCACTGAGGACCCGGAAGGAGGTTGATTGATTAAGAGGCCTGCACCTTCCTAGCACCGCCAAAAAAACCCCCCAAAAACCCCATCACCACCGGCAACAATTAAAACCAAAAAACCAAGAAACCCCCAAACCCCCAACCCTCTCCCACTAATCTATGGACCAATCGGCGCGACCGATTTATCCTGAGGCGTTCGACTGCCGGGGCATGCTAATAAGCGCGGATCGGATTGGTTAAATCCCAGATGACGGGCGCGGGCCGGCGGCGGGGGGAGGAATCCTGGGCCGCGGCGCAGACCGCGGCGAAAACTGCGGGCTTTACCTGAGAAATACTCGTTGGCGTCCATGGGCGAGCGAGTCTGCCGACGAGGAGCCGCGGGGAGGCCTGGGCCGGGAGGCGAAGCCCGGGACGGCGGAGCAGGTGCACACGAAGCTCCCCCTCAGTGGTTCGCTCCGCCGGCCGCCTTTCCCCGCCTCCCCACAGCGGCCGAGATCCGCGCCCGATTGCGGTTTCCGAGCCAGCTCCACTCCCCTCGACGACGTCTCTATGGTGGCGAAGCCTGACGCAGCGATGACGCGCCCCGCCACCATAGAGTCTTCCGGGAGGAAGTGACGTCAGCGGAGGGGTGGGCGGGGGGCGCCCCCGTGCTGAGACCCCCCCCCCAGGAAGTGGCCCGGCGCCGGGGCTTCGGTGGGACACACCACAGCGGTGCCGACCCGCCGCTGGTGATACGGCGCCTGCCGGTGACACACAAGAACATCACAGCCGTGACAGAACACAACGCAACACAACACAACTGGGGACCCAGCACCATCACAGCCATGACATATAACACAACACAACTGGGGACCCAGCACCATCACAGCCGTGACACAACACAACGCAACACAGCATAACTGGGAACCTAGCACCATCCCAACCCAGCATCATCACAATTGGGATACTCCATACAACTGGGAACCCAACATCATCCCAACCAGGACACACAACACCACCACCGTGCCACAGAAACAGCATCACAATTGTGAAGTGCAACGCTAGAACTATGACACACAACACAACTGTGAACCCAACACCATCACAACGATGACACAACACAACTGTAATACCACCATATGACATGACAGTAATGATGTTCTACAACATAACTATTACACAATCCCACCGTGGTACATAACACTAAGACAACTGTGATGTACAGCATGACATACATGCCATATGACACAGCTGTGACACACACCACCGTGACATGCAACAGCACCACAACTCTGCCACCCAAATAACCTTGCCACATACTACCGCAAGTGGCACACAACACCCAAACCATAGCTCAGTGCCATAAGTGTGCCCCACGGTACCACAGCCACTGCTAACACCTCCACTGTGCCACATGAACAGCCTTGTCGCATAATAACACAACTCTACCTCAGAAATCACAGCCAGGCTTTATAACCTAGTCATCCAAAATCAGAGCTGTGACATAATGCGACAGCCATCTCGTACATCACAACTTTCCCATCTAGCCCCAAGACTCGATCGTGACACACAACACTGTGTAATACCACACAACAGCACAACCATGATGCACAGCAACTGTGCCACAACGCCACAACAAAGTCACACTAAGTTACAACTATGTCATGCAAGTCTTCGATCATGCCACAGAAAACTACAACCTTGTTGTGTAGGAGAGTGATCTCACTGTAATGTGGAAGCACAGCGCTAGTAGATGTTACCACCCCCCCCTCCGCGCACAGCTAGTCCACATAATGCAACTCTGGCCTGTGGAACCGTAACCAATGCACAACACCACGCCACACTGTACCACGACCATGGTACAGAATGGACCCACAGAGGGAAGCGATCAAACAACTGTCCTGTCTGAGATCAGCAGGCAGGACCTCAGAGTCAGCACCTGAGAGGATGTAGCGATGCGTCGTTTTTAGAGCTGTCGCTAAGAGACACTGTTCCCCTTGTTTTAGAGATAGGGAAACTGAGGCTCAGAGACTTTAAGAGACTTATTTGTCACACAGGTTGGAAGGGACAGAGGTGAGATTTGAACCCAGCAGTTCCATGACACGAGTCTTTAAATCCTAATCCTGGCCCTCTCTCACATCACACAAATGGGGGGCACTTGACCCTACAATTATGTCCCCCCCAAAAAGAGATATGTCAGTGAAAATGCCACATTAACAAAGTGGCCATGCAACAGAAATGCCATATCCCCATCAAGTTAAAATTCAGATACATGATATGGATTCCATTGGAGTCATGATAAAGTCACAGCTTAGTCTCACAACACCAAACCCAATGAATAATAACACACACAAGCAGTTGGATTCACTAATAAAGACACTCACACACACACATGCACATATGTTATAAATGTCTGCTTAGGGGCACAACAGATATCCAGAACCTACACTTAGACACAGGAGGAAAAACTCAGACATGGGACATGGACATTCATGTAAAGGAGCTGAATCGTGGACCAAATCTAATAAAGTGAATTTCTATAAGGACTAATGTAAAGTTTTGTACTTGGGTTAAAAACCCCCCAACAATTTCACAAGTACCAGTATGAGGGAGATGTGGCTGGACAGCAGCTTCCTATAATATAGGACTTAGGGTGGGTGGGTGGGAGGTGTCTTAATGGCACACAAGCTCAATATGTCAACAACTTGATAAGGCAAATCAAATGAGTTAGTTCAGTCTTAGGCCACATTGGGTGAACTGCAATGTCCAGAAGAAGGGAAATGATATTCCCAAGTATTTCCAAAAGAGGGAGATTATGCCATATGAACTCGGAGAAACTGGGAAGGAAAGACTTTCAGGGGACACTGTGAATGACACTAGAAGACAGCTTCAAGTATTTGAAGAGCGGTCATGTGAAAGAAGGACCAGTCATCGGACAACAAGCATTTATATATGCACTTACTGTATGCCAGGCACTGTGGTGCTAAGTGCTGGGGATTCAAAGAAAGGCAAAAAATAGTCTGTTCTCTCAAGAACTCAAAGGGTAATGGAGGATAACTGTACAAACAAAAGATTCATACAAGATAAATTGGAGAGAATCCTCAGAGTGTAGGAGTTGAAGGCAGGGAATCGTGGGAGTGATTCAAGACCGCGGCTTGGCAGGGCTCAATCAGGGATATGATAAGGGTGTTGGAGATTCAAGAGAGGAGGACAATGCAGAGGTGAGGGGCTAAGATGGGAAAGGGAGGAGAGTTCCATGCCCAGCACATAGTAAATGTAAACTGGATAAATCCTTGTTCATCTGTTCCTCCATCGATTACATTGTTCCATTGTTATATGTGCCTAATGTTTACATCCATCTGCACAACAATCTTGTATTCTTTTTGAATTTGAATTAGAAGCTGCCAATTATCAGGGGATGATGCATCCCCCAGAGCTACAACTGAGGCGCACAACATTGCCTCTGGAGACATTTGGAGACACCAAGAAAGCACCACCTGGTCTTCCAACTCCAAATCTGATGGATAGCAACCACACACACACACACACACACACACACACACACACCCCAGCCACACAATAACACCACTGCTTCCCTCAGAGATACAGCTCAGATACACAAACATCCCATACCCTGCACCCTGCTTGCTTCTCTTTGGAGACACAACAAAAGTACCATTCATACACAGCATCAGCAGTGGTGGGTAGCAAAGATGCCCAGGATACAGCTAGAGATGCCTGCAGAGACGGCTCAAAGGACTGAAACGGCTTTTTCCAAGGGTGCCAATGATCTTCTAATTCCTAAATCCAATGGTCTTTGCTTAGTCCTCGCCCTTCCTGAGCGTTCTGTGGCTCTCCTCCTGTGTGTGTCTCTGAGTGTGTACGTATGTTCCTATCTCTCCATGCATCTCTATATATGAGTGTGTGTCCTTGCCTCCCCGTACGGACCTGCCTCAGTATACACCTGTCTCTCTGCACATCTAACTCTGAGAATATGCCCCTGCCTCTTTGTCTTCTCATCCTCCCTGCTCCCTGTACTGTTTGACGCCATTGAGCATCCTTTCCTTCCAGACACTCTCTCCTCCTTGGGTTTTCATGACGCTGCTCTCTCCTGATTCACCTCCTACCTGTCTTACTTCTCAGTCGCCTTTGTGTGATTATCATCCATGTCCCATCCCCTAAACCTGGATGTTCCCCAGGGCTTCATCCCGGTCCCCCTTTTCTCTCTGCATTACCTCTTGGTGATCTCAGCTCCCAGGGGATTAGTTATCATCTCTTTGCAAAAGCAAACAAATAAACAACAAAACCCTCAAAGACGTCAATCCAGTCCCACATCACTAACTGCCTGCTGGACGTCTCCAATTCAATATCCTTAGAAATCCCAAATAGAACTCATTACCTTTCCCCATAGATCTGGCCTTCCTCCCGATTTTACTGCTTCTGCTGAGGATACCACCATCCTTCTAGTTATCCAGGTTTGGAACTTCATCCTTCTCAACTTTTCCCTCAACTTTATCCTTCCTACCCATGTAGTCACCGGGTCTTGTCTATTTGCAGTGAGGTGGTGCAGTGGACAGAATGCTGGGCTGGGTGTCAGGAAGACCTCAGTTCCAATTCAGCGTTGGGCACATATTAGATGTGTGACTATATGTGTGTGCAGGTCACTTACTCGCTGCCTGTTTTCTCAACCGTAAAATGGGAATAATAACAGCACCCACCTCCCAGGGTTGTTGTGATGGTCAGATGAGATACGCTTGTAGAAGGTGCTTAGCACGGTGCCTAGCACACAGCAGGCGCTATATAAATGCACATTCTTCTTTCCTTTCCTGCTTCTCCCCACTCATGGTCACCGCCCTAATATAGACCTTTATCAATGCTTGTCTGCTCTGTTGTAATAGCCGCCTCCTGTCCACTGCCTCCTTCACATAGTTGAACAAGTAAGTCATTTCACTTTCTTGCTTAACCTTCAGTGGCTACCTAGTGCCTCTAGGTTATAACTTGTTGCTTTTTCTGTTTGGCATTTCATGCTGTGGCTCCGGGCAATCTTCCCAGGCTTACTATAGATGACTCCCCTTTGTGAACTCTATTTCATGCAACTTGTCCTCCTTGCTCTCTTTTGTTCAGAACATTCCATCTCCTTTGCACATGCTGTCCCCATGTCTGGGATGCCTTCCTTCCTTATCTCCATCTCCTGAAATCCTTTGCTTCCTTTGAAGTTCAGCTGAGATGCCACCTCCTACAGGATGCCTTTTTTGATCCTCCCCAGTACTCAGTGCCCTCAACCCTTCCAAGATTATTTTGTATAAAGATCAAGCATGGCTTGAAAGAAGACCCCCTCGTCCCATCCCACTCCGCTGCAGAGCTGGGAGATGCACAAGTGTTGGACATAGCACATATTTTAATGTATCAGTCAGTTACGGCAATTTTTCTCATTCTTAAAAATGTTATTTGTTATATGGGATGGCTGTGTGAGAGGGGGAAGGAGGGACATTGGAGGAAATTATAGTGATGTAACAAACCTACAAAAACAAGGATGTCAATGAAAACTTATTAACAATAATAATAGATAGCATTTATATAACGCTTTAAGGTTTGCAAAACACTCCGCAAATATGATATCATTTGATCCTCACAACTACCCTGGGACATAGTTGCTTTTATTATCTCCATTTTACAGATGAGGAAATAGAGGAATACAGGGGTTAGGGACTTGACCATGGTATTAAAGCCAGTAAATGTCTAAGCTGGGTTTTGAATTCAGGTCTTCCTGACCCCAAGTCCAACACTCTATCCATTGTGCCACCTGGATGCCTCTATTTTCTTTCTTTAAAAATTATATATTTTTCCAAATACATGCAATAACAATTTTTAACATTCATTTAAAACTTTTTTGAGTTCCAAATTCTCTCCTTTCCTCCTCTCCCCTTTCTATGAGAAGGCAAACAATTTGATACAGATTATACATGTGCTGCCTCTATTTAAATTTTTTGTATGTTATATTTATTCATCTTCATGCAATCTGTTTCTTCCCTGTAGAATGGAAGCTCCCTGTGTGCAGGGACCATTTTTCATCTTTTCTTTCTATCACCAGCATAGTGACTGGCACAAACAAAGGGCTGCCACATTTGCCAGACAGCGACACCATATTGGTTCAGGGACATGACAGAGAGAAAACTCAGAGCCACTAAATATACCCTTTCAGGAATACAGTGACACAATACTTTGACACAAGATGCATCCATTGACTTGTATCAACGACAGACCCACATGCCCCTTCCTCTGCATGGCATCCCTGTTAGGTACACAGAGGGGACACACTCAGATGCCCGACGAGGTGCAGAGGACACTGTTGCTGTTTGTCCTTGCTTCAGGAAGAGGACCACGCCATCAGGAAGGTGATGCCTTGACTTGCAAGTGAATTGGGTTTAAGTGAGAGAGGGCTGTGCAAAGTCACCTGCCTCACCCTCTCCTCCGGAGCCATCTGGGTCTAGCGGTGAGCTGTAGATCAGGACAACCAGAGATGCCCCCACTGGTCTGAGTCAACAAAGACACAACAAGCACAACATTTCACTTAATATAGCCCTTGGAGGTTTTTCTTACAACAACCCTTCGAAAGGGGCGGGGAAACTATTACCACCCACATTTTACAAATGAAGAAAGAGAGAGTGAAAGAAATGAAAGGACCTGCCCAGAATCAGGGCGCTATGAAGTGGCAGAGCTGGGATTCGAACCCAGGTCTCTGCTGACTTCGGATTCAGCCCTTTCCCCACTCCGCTGCGGGTAACTGAGGCACTCAACAAAGCCATCCTGAGGGGACACGAGCAAGGATAGGGCGTCGCCGCACAATGCCCCACTCAGACGCGAATCCCACATCAGAACCAGTGGACGCCAGGCCCGCGAGTACAAACACGGCTACATCATTTTGGACACAGGCACAAAGCCAGACCGCTCACTCCATTCTATCCACCCCCAGCTCTGCGGCTTACTTCTGGACGCCACCAGGACTCGCCACCAGGGGGCATCCGGGCGCTGGCAATCTGTCCCCCTTGTCGCCGCCCCCAGGAATGTGTATGAGTGTGTGTCCACCACGGCCTGAGTGCGCCTGGGCGCTTGTGTCTGCATGCATCTGTCTGTGCGCCTGCCATGAGCGTCCCTCACATGTGCCTGTCTGCTTCTGAGAGTGTCTCTGCCTGCCTCTATTCCTGCACAGTGCCTGTTTTTCTGTGAATATCTGTGTCTGTTCCTGTCTCTCTGTGTCTTTATCTCAGTATGTTCCTGTCTCTCTGTGTATCTGTCTGTCTATCAGAGCACGCATCTCAGCCTCTGTCTGTGTCTCTTTACCTATGTGTGGGTCCCTGTGTCTTATATGTCTGCGTCTGAGGGTGGCTCCCTCTTCCTGAATGTCTGTCTCTATTTCTCTGCATGTCTCTGAGTGTGTCACCATCTCTCTGTATAGCTGTCAACTGTAAATTGTGTCCCATCTCTGAAAATCACTGTCTCAGTCTTTTTTTTTTTTGACATAGATGTCTTTCTGTCTTTATCCCTGGGTATGCCCCCCTTTCCCCCCACGTCTCTGTCTCTGAATGTCTCTATACCTGTGTCTCTGTGAATGCCTTTGTCTGTGTGTGTGCAGGGAAGACAAGAGGCAGGTATTGGTTGGTACAAAATGTTTATGGGGATAATCTGGGCCCTGGGGAGTGAAAGGGGAAGGAGGAGGAGGGAGAACCAATATTGTACAAAATCTCTGTATGTGGGGGAAGGGACTGGCTCAGGGGGGCAGGATGGCCTGGGGAGGGGGTCATCCCTAATGCATTGCACAGAGCTGGGGCAGCATACCCCAAGGGGGAATGGAACTGTGGGGGCCAGGGACAGAGATAGGGAGAAAGGAGGAGGTGGATGAAGATGGAGGGAAATGGGGAAAAGGGTTACATGGTTGGGGAAAGGAGGCACAGAACTGGAGGGAGAAAATAGGACAGAGATGGGTAGATGAGGGGCAGAGATGGAGAGAGGTAGGGAGAAGGGAATGGACAAAGGGAAGAGGACAAAGATGGGAGGAAATAAGGAAGAGGTGGACAGAGATGGGAAGAGGCAAGGAGGGGATCAGGGAATAGGAGGATAGAGATATAGGGCCTGGGGCAGGGAAAGGAAAAAATGTGGAGAGATGAGAAAGAAATGGGAAAAGAGAGATATGGAAGATAGGGAGAAAAGAGGGGAATGAAGACGGGGAAAGGATGGAGGCAGGGATGGGAAGAAATGGAGAAATAAATGGGTCCAAGAAATAGGGATCTGGGGGACGGGGGAGAGGAAGAAGAGGGACAGCTGGTGAGAAGGTAAGAGACAAGGGACAGAGGTGGAGTCAGGGGAGAGGCGTGGCTTCAAGGGGTCTGAAGGGCAGGAGTGGTGGGAGGGCCCAGGGGTCAGGGATGGGTGGGTGAAGCCAGGAGTAGACTCCCCGAGCTTCCCCAGTGGCAGTGCCTAGCTCAAGGTGGGATCTGAGGGGCCTCACCTAGGCCCCTTCCTCCTGGCCAGGAGGTGCAGGTGGCCCCCTGGTTGTGGGCACTGGGGCCCCAGGGGCTGTGGAGGGGCAGAGGACATATCGTCCAGCTGGGTGGACGTCGGCAGAGGTGACGCAGCTACAGTTGCAGGAGGCCTTTGGGGCTGGCAGGGGGCTAGATTGGGGGGTGCCCCCAGCAGCCCCGGCAGGTTCCCCATCCATGTTGACATAGAGGATTTCTTCGGGGTCCTGGGCCAGGGGAAGGCTCTTCAATGTCATCTCCAGCTCTTCTCGCAGTTCTGCGAAGGTCGGTCGATCCCTGGGGCTCAGGGACCAGCAGCGAGACATCAGCTCATACCTGGTGGGGAATAGTGGCTGAGGAATGGAGGGTTCAGAGGATGGGGCAAGGCAGGGAAGGGCTGAGGGTGCTCTTTGGAGCTCAGAGAGTTTTGGGGATGATTACTCAAGGGCCCTCAGCTCAAGGTTTGGGCCATCTCCAGAAATTCTGGGAGATTCAGGCTGAGTCTCAGAGGCCTGGAGAAGGTCTCAGGGGGTTTAGGGGTAATGATGGGAATCCTTAGGATGACAGGATTTAAAGCTGGAAGGAAACATGATCCAGACTCTTCATTTTACAGAGGGGGAGACTGAGGCCCAGAGAAGGGAAGGAACTTGGCCAAAGCCACATGGTAATGATCAGAGCTGGGACTCAAACCTAGGTGTTTTTCTTCTAAGTCCACTGCTCTTTGTACTGGATGTCTAGGGAGGTCCAATGGGGGATTTGGGTCTGGTGTGGAGAGGCTGAGGAGCTTTAGGCATCTGGAAGCCTTAAGGGGCCCTAGGAGTTGGGCTGTCTCCAAGGAGGCTTTCAGAGCATCTGCACTTATTTCGAACATTCTCTGGGGGGTCCAGGGAAGGTCTTGAAAGTGCATCACCAGCGTTTGGTAGGTTCTTAGGGTGTTTGTAGGGTTTTGGGGGCTTTAGAAGGCTAAATGGGGGGGTGGCTCAGGGGTCTCGGGAGGCATTCTGGTGGAGGAAGCTCCTGGTCACATTCCTGGTGCCTTGGGGATGTCTTTGGGGATGCTCAGAGCCTTGGGTCATTCAGTGCGTTAGTTTGTAGGTAGATTTTCAGGGTCTCTATGTTTGGGGAGTGGTCAGGATCTTGGGGTGCTTAGGTGCACTCGGGGGTCTCTGTCAAACATTTCAGAGTGTTGGGGGGATATTCAGGGCTCAGATGGGGGGACATGAGAAATGCTCATGGTAACAGGGTAGGGCAGGGCTTACAGTCCATCTAGACAGTCTGCTGGCTGCTTGAGACGATGGCCTTGCCGCAGGTAGTCATAGATCTCACTGTTCTCCACACCTGGGTAGGGCGTCTGGCCACGAGTTGCAATCTCCCACATGGTCACCCCAAAGGACCACTGGGGGACAAGGAAAACAGGGAAGAAGAGGATTAGTGGAGTCCCTCAGGGATCTCTTCTACTTTGGCCCACACATGAGTCACCACACCTATACACACATGGCCATACCCCTATACACACCACATCACTTTTGCTGGTGTAGACACGGTCAGCCAGGCTCTCAATGGCAATCCACTTGACTGGCATCTTGGCAATTCGGCCCTGGCGGTAATAATCCCCATTGTAGATCTTCTTAGAGAGGCCAAAGTCGGCCACGCACACGGACATGTTCTCATTCAGCCTGTGGGGACAGGGGACAGGGACCATGGTGGGCTGGGGGCATCACAGGAGCCCAGTGTTTTTAGAACCTATTTTCTGAGCCCTCAGTATTGCCCCATTAATTTTTCTAGGCTATCATTCCTCAACCCTCAGTTTCCTAGGGTAAGAAATTAAGTTCATCAGGGCCTAATTGGGGTCATTTCCTCTCCCCAGTCCTCTGTGACTGTTCCAGGACCCAAAAATGTCTCTTCTCCAGAGCTCCTCCAGCCGCCTAGGACAGGCCCCATGCTCTAGCCTGGGGTACCTTCTCTCCTTTTTTTCCCTTTTCTTTGAGGATTGCCTGGGGTGGTATAGACTCTTCCCTCCCCAGGCTACCATTTCTCAGCCCCTCCCATAGCCCTGACTTCTCCATGAGTATCTGTGCCCATCTCCCCACCCTCTTCCCACACACAAACACATGGGAGGGCTCACATGCAGTTCCGGGCAGCCAGGTCCCTGTGAATAAACCTCTTGGTGCTCAGGTAGTCCATACCGCTGGCAATGTCTGCCATGAACTTCACCAGTGTTTGAGTTGGTAGGAACTGGGCAGAGGGAGGGGTATTGGGAAGGAGGTGAGGGAGGGAGAGGCCTCTTTGACTCCGGCCACCTTCACTCCCCAAAGCCTTTCTCCTAACTTAATTTCCCCCAAGCATACATCCATCTTCTTAGTCAACCCAACACTTTCCCCAACTCCCCTAACCCTGGTTTCCCCTCTGGGCCCTGGCTTCCTCAGCTGCATAGGGAGGGAGCTGACTTGAATGATTACTGTGGCCCCTTCCAGCTCTAAGTGGCTATATGTTATGGTCCTTCCTGGCAGAGATGCAAGAAGGGATGGTGGCCCCTGGGGCCACACGTGCCCCAGCTTGAGAGTGTGAGCGTGGAATGGCCATGTGTTTGTGGTCCAGGAAGATATATACATACATACATACATATATATATATATGTGCAGAGAGAGAGAGAGAGAGAGAGAGAGAGATATGAAGACAGAGGGAGAGATGAGAGAGGGGAGAGAGATAAAGTGAGAGAAGAGAGAAAGAAAAAGAGAAGAAGAGAGGAGAGGAGGGGAGATGAGAGAGAGAGAGAGAGAGAGAGAGAGAGAAGAGAGAGAGAGAGAGAGAGAGAGAGAGAGAGAAAGAGAGAGAGGAGCTGGGAGGTTTGGGTGTTGGAAAGGAGCAATTGAGGTAGAGAGGACTGAGAGGCAGATCCTGAACTTCCAGAGAGTTCAGAGACAAGGGCCTTGGGTTCTAGTCCTGCTCAGTCACATCTTGGCTGTGTGACCCTGGCCAAGTTACTTAACCTCTCAGTGCTCTAGGCAGCTTGGGAAGACTCTAAGCTGCAGGTGGTGACCTACTTTGCTAGAGGGAATTTCTTACCAGGAACACTCTATACACTAATGAAATCCCAGGTCCATTAAGGAAAAAAAAGGAATCCTAGGTCTAATATCCATTCTAGCCATGACATTCTGCATTCTAATATTCTAGTTCTAGATTCAAAGGTTCTATGAAGTTGTATTTTAAGACCTGGTGATTTTAAGAAGCCTCAGCTGTATGGTTACCAGTGTCCCTTCTCCCTCTCCATCTCCTCTCTCCCTTCCCTCTGTGCCCCTCACCCCAGTCCCTTCCCTGGGCCCCCAGAATCCTGGGTGCAAACCCTAGCTCTGCCACTTTTTAGCTGTGTAATTTACCTCTGGTGATGGCCTGCTCCTCCCACCCCTCCCCCAACCCCAAATCCCTCACCATAGGCTGGTCCCCAAGTCGTGAATAGAGCAGGAAGCTGTGCAGGTCACCATGCTTCATGAAGGGCAGGATGACCACAGGCGAAGGAAATCCCTCACACTCAGAGCCCTGGAGGCAGACCCCTGATCCCCGCTCCCCACCAGGGAAGCCCTTTAGTCTCCCACTTTCATGGGTTACCCCCTGACGAACCCCATCCAACTTCTCCCCCTGGCCACCGTCTCTTTCTGCAGGCAGAGGGGAGGGGAGCAGAGAAGCTAACAGTTGAGGAGGCTGGTTCCCAGGGTTTGTTTCCGGAGCCCAGGGGGTTGGAGGGGAGCAGCTATTTCTGGGAGAGGTCAGGGGTTACATCGCTGCCACATTCCCAGGCTGGGGGGGAGGGGCATGCGGAGAGAGGGGCTGCGGAGGATGGGTGGGGGCTGGCCCAGCTTCCACGAAGGCTAAAGGACAGACCCAATCCTTCCCTTCCCTTCCCTCCATTCCCCCCAGATTTTGGGGTCTCCCAATTCTCCATGTACCATCCTCTCCCTTCTCCGTCCTCCAACTCACCAATGAGCCTCATAACATTGGGATGGTCAAACTCCTTCATACAGACTGCCTCACTCAGGAAGTCTTCCATCTCCGACCGGGTACAGATGGCAACTAGGGAGAGGAGGGGAACGTGCAATTACAACAATGGCTGATGTTTCTGTAGCACCTGTGACCCAGGTACAAGCAAGATGCTGCCATATAATGTGGGGACTGGCCAGTTATCCCCTGCCACACTCGTTTTAACAGAAATAGAAACTGAGACTCTGAGGGGCAGCGAGGTGGCCGTGGCCACACAGCCAGGCAGAAGCAGGGTTTGGACCTCGGTGTTCCTGACCCTGACGCCTCTCAGGCTCGTTGGGGTTTTGATTTAGAATGAACCCTAGAGGCTCCGGGGCTGGAGATGTGGAGCTGACCACAGAGCTCAACCTTGTTGCAGACAGCTCGGGGCAGTAGGAAGAGCACTAGCTTTGGAAGCAGAGGAATGGGTTCAAATCCTGCCTGGGTGACCTTGCACGAGTTACTTAAACTGCTTCAATTTTCTCATCTGTAAAAGCAAGGGATTGCGCTCGATGACGTCTGAAGTCCCCTTCTGCTCTAGAGCTCTGAGCCTGGGCAAGCCCAGCTCTTGACTAGGTCCCTCCCCTGCTTAAGAAGCTTCTGGGGCTCCCTGTTGCCTTTAGGATTCCCATATGACCTCTTGTTGGTGCCAGAATCTGGCTCCACATGTGACGTTACTTTCCCATCACCGTGCCTTTGTACAGGCAGCACCTCCCTCCACCTGTGCCTGGGGAGCTCTGCTTCTGAGAGTCCAGAGCTTCCTTCACAAGTGCCACATTTACAGGAAGCCGATGGCTCTCCCTGCTGGCAATTGCTTTGTACCTATTTTCTCTTTCTGTCCTTCTTCCTTCCTTTCTTAAAAAATTATTTATTTTTAACATGCATTAAAAATTTTTCTTGAGTTCCAAATTCTCTCCCTCCTGTCCCTCCCCCATCGACTGAGAAGGCAAGGAGTATGGCATGAAGTGCCAAACAGAATCATATACATTTTCTTCACTCAGGTTGTTTCCTCCCAATAGTATGTAAGCTCCCTGAGGTCAGAGACTGTTTAAGTTTTGCCTTTAGATCTCCAGTGGTACACTGTAGGTACTTAATAAATGCTCGTTCCCTCCCGGAACGAGCATTTATTAAGCACCTACTGTGTCAGGCACTGTATTAAGTGTTTTACAAATACCCTCACAACAGCTTGTGATAACTCTCATTATCCCCATTTTATAGTTGGGGAAATGGAGGCAGAAAGAGGTTAAGTGATTTGCCCAGGGTTACATAGCTAGTTCAAGGTCCCATTTAAATTCAGGTCCAGTGCCCAGCACTGAACCACCTAGCTGCCTCCATGAATGGAAGTATTGGGTTTGAAGCCACATGGTCTGGTTCTAGGTGCTCTGGTTCAGGGCTGGTGTGCATAGAGGAAGAAGGCAGGGGCTTGGAAGGGAAGGGAGGAGAGACGTCTCCTACGAGCAAACTCACTCTTCATAGTTTTCACAGCCACTTTGAGGATGGAGTCATCCTGGTTCAACTGCCCTTCCATGACAGAGCCAAACTCCCCTGGGGGTGGGAAAGAGAAAGAGGGAGGCAGAGACAAGAGTGAGGGAGGGGAAGGAGGTGCTGGGGGGTGGCCCCTGAGCCCGAGCAGAGAGAGAGGTGCCAGAGTGCAGCTCAGGCGCCATAGGTGACCTCCATGTTTCTTACTGAATTATGGAAAGGCATTGGACTTGGGGATGTGAAAGGAAGAAATCAGGGTGGGGTTGAGAGTGGTCTGGGAAACTCACCTTCTCCCAGGGTCTTTCCCAAGGCTACCTTATGTCGGTCCACCATCACGTCTCGGAGTTTCTCCTTCAGCTCTTCACTAATGCCCAGGCTGTTCACTGAGAGCAAAGCAAGGGCCAGGAATCAGAAATGGTCTTAGGGGCAGCAATCCACCCAAAGCCCCATGTGTGTTCCTTCTTCTCCTCCAGCCTTCTTCCCTGTTGTGTAAAGTCCCTGAGGCAGGGACCGTTTTAAAAAAGCCTTTCTCTGTATGGTTGGTGCTTAGTAAAGCGCCCAGTGAATGCGCTCTTGTTCATTGATTGCTGGTAGAAAGATATTGGACTGAGTCAGGAGATTCCTGCAAATTCCTTCCCCTCGCATATTCTAAGGTTATAGAAGGCCAAGATTCTAGGGTCCTAGGGGCAGTCCACTCTGGAATTCTAAGAATCTAAAGTTATGGAACCCTAAGATTTGAAGATTCGGAGACTATCACGGGGGGAGGTAGCGTCAGTGGAAGTGGGAGCATTCTATTGACCGCCCGTCCCTTACGGGTAGCTTCAGTAGTGCGCCGACTGTAGGACTTTCGGACCCGGTACCGGACAACAAGCTCTCCTCCACGCTCCACCGTGGGCTGAAAGACTTCCCTGGGGAGATCAGGGCAGGTGGTGAGGACAGAGCTCCTCCAGGGACATGGGAGAAGCCTGGGTCCTGTTTGGTCCTTGGGGCCTCCCCCCCAAATTCCTCTTCTATCCCTGTTATAGAAGGTCTAGATGGGAAGTCAGAGTACCTAAATTTCTTTGTTTGTTTGTTTGTTTGTTTTTTAGGCAGTTGGGGTTAAGTGACACAGCTAGTAAGTGTCAAGTGTTTGGTCTGAGGCTGGATTTGAACTCAGGTACTCCTGACTTCAGGGCCAGTACTCTATCCACTGCGCCACCAAGCTGCCCCAAGAGTACCTAAATTTCAATGCTCTTTCTGCTACTTGATCAAGTCCACTTACCCCTGGGCTGTATGGGATGGTCTCTGAGGTCCCTTCCAAAGCTAGGTCTAGGATTTGGCAGCAGTGTCCTAGGCCTGGGAAGAGGGACTTGGGTATGTGGCAGGCCTGGCTTACCCATAACGTGTCTCCTTCTTTCTCCGGTGGAAGAGGAAGAGGGCGAGGAGGAGGACACAGGCAGCAGCTGTTACAGCCCCCAGGAGCACGTACCACCAGGGCCAGGAGAAGGCAGGGGCTGGGGGGTCCTTCACTGCAGGGTGTTGGGGAGGGGTCATGGAGAAGCAAAGCCCCTTTCCTGGAGGAAGCCCTGCCCACACCACCAGGGACCCGAGGAGGTAGGGAGAGGGGAGGTACCTGGGATTGGATTGGGGGTCGGGAGGGCAAGGAATATGTAGTGAGTGTTTGAGAGGGGAGTGAAATAATGTAGGTGTGTAAAAGGCTGTGTGGTGGGAGAAGGGACGAGTGTGAGGGAAGGGTGTGCAATGAGTGATGATTGTGGTATACAGCCCAGAGTGGGAGTGCAAGGAACTGAGGTGAGGAGGGTGTGCAAGGAGCATGCAGTGGGTATGTGATGGGGCACATCAGTTTGTAAGGAATGAGCAGGGCTATGCCAGTTATGTGCGATAGGGGTGTGAAGAAGGTCCTGAGCAAGTCATGCTGGGGGCAAATAAGGGGTCGCAACGTATCAGGAGTGGTGGGTGAGGTATAGGACTGGCATTCAAGGGAGCTTCCTGAATGTGCAAAGGGGATCTGGGCACCATGCCAAGCTTTCTAGGGGGCACACTGGACAAGAGAGGGGACTTGATGATTGAGCCAGGGCCATGCAAGGGGCCCTTACCATGCTGGCGCACTGGTTGCCCATTCCCTGTGTGGAGAGAAGAGGGGAGGAAAGGAAGGGGAGCAGGCTTAGTGTGGAAAAGGGAGAGGAGTACTAAGGGTCATAACCGGGAAAGTGGTCTTAGTGGTGAACAGGGCATATGGCAGCGGGGGGAATAGGGTTCTCCTTTTGATGACGTAAATGAGGAGTCCTGGCAATGTTTTGGGGGTCTCGGGAACAAGTATGTGGTGGGAGGAAGTCAGGGTGGATCCTAGGCCACATTTGGGGTCTCTGATCTGGGTTCAGGGAAGGTCTCTGGGCCAGGCTTAGGGAGTCTCAGGCCTGGGTGTAGTGGGGTGGTCCCAGGGTTGGGTTGGCTGGTACCTGGTCTCCAGGGCTCCAGAAGCACAGGCATGCTCCAGGGCCCGTCACCGGCATTGGTGTAGGCTGCCACCCGCAGGGTTAGGTTGGGCAGCACCCCTTCCCCCCGAAGCTCCAGAGTCACTTCCCGCCTCAGCCCTGCATCCATCAGCACCTGAGTGATGGTGAGGGTAGGGAGGGGAGTGAGAGTGGAGGCTCAGCAGCCTCTCCCCATCCTGCCCCCTCCTGCCTAGCTGAGGCCATGCCCACCTCAAGCGCATCTTCTTCCCGGTATGCCAGCTTGTATCCTTGCAGCGTCCCCTGCAGCGGAGCCCGAGGTGGCTGCCAGCGCACCAGAGCCTGGCTGCCATTTCGGATGGCACTCACATTCTCTGGGGGTCCCATTGGCACTGGGCAAAGAGGGATAGAAAGGCAGGCTGAAACCCCCATTCTTTCCCATCCCATGTGAGTCAGAGTACCTCCTGGAGACACCCTATGATATGAGCACACAAGTGAGCGGGAGAAGGGAGAACTGTTTGAGCATTTCCCTAGAGTGGAAGGGGGTTGGATGGTAGGCCAGGAGATAGAAAGGGTAGGGACCCAAGCCCCAGCCTACCTCCCTCAGGCGTCTCCACCAGCACCCAGTGTGTCCAAGGGGAGGGGCCCTGGGAGCTGGCACAGGCCACACGGATGTGGTAGGCACTGTGGGGCTGCAGGTTTGTCATGTTCAGGCTGTGGGGTGGTACAGCTATTTGAAATGCCAGGGGCTCCTCTGGTGGCTCCAGGGCTCCGGGTCTAGCCCCAATCTCGTCATCTGATAGCACAGCCTAGGTTTAGAGGGAGAGAGGGAGGGAGGAGGAGGGAACAGGGCTCAGGGCCCATCTATGGACCTAAGGTTTTATGATTCTTTTGATCTAAGATTCTACATTCTATGAATCTTTTCTGTCTGTGCTCCATTATTGTATGATTCTTTTGTCCTGAGGTTCCACTGTCTAAGAATATTTTGTTCTAAGGTACCATGTTCTATTACTCCCTCTAATTCTAAAGTTCTAAATTCAATGGTTCTGAGGCTCCATATTCTGTGGTTCTAAGGTTCTGTATTTTGGGAATCTTATAGGTCTAAAGTTCTACATTCTGCAATTTCCATCTGATTCTAAGGTTCTTAATGCTATGGTTCTGAGGTTCTATATTATGTGGCTTTAAGGTTCTATGGCTTCTGGGATTCTTATGTTCTAAGGTTCCGTGTTCTGTTGTTCCTTCTAATTCTAAGGTTCTTCATGCTGTGGTTCTGAGGTTCTACATTCTAGGGCTCTAAAGTTCTGTATTCTGTGAATCTTAGGTTCTAAGTTTCCGTGTTGTGCCATTCCCTCCAATTCTAAGGTTCTTACTGCTATGGTTTTGAGGTTCTATATTCTATGGCTCCAAAGTTCTGTATTCTGTGAATCTTAGGTTCTGTTTCCATGTCCTGCCATTCCAGTTCTAAGGTTGTTAATGTTATGATTCTGAGGTTCCATATTCTATGGCTTTAAGGTTCTATGGCTTCTGGGATTCTTATGTTCTAAGGTTCTATGTTCTGCCATTCCCTCTAATTCTAAGGCTCTTAATGCTATGGTTCTGAGGCTCTATATTCTTTGATTCCGTATTTTGTGAATCTTATGTTCTAAGGTTCTATGCTCCATGCTTCCCTCTGGTTCCTAAGGTTCTAAATGTTGTGTTCTGGGATTCCATATTCTATGGTTCTATGGTTCTGTATTCCACGATTCTTTTGTTCAGTGTTTTGTGGCTTTCTCTGGTTCTCAGGCCTATGAGCCTATGGTTCCCAGATTCTGTACTCTTTGGTTCTTATATTTTAAGGTTCTCTCTTCTGTGGTTCTATAACTCTGGTTCTAAGGTTCTTTGATTTTCTGGGCCCTGAGAGGTGCAGGGAACTGTAAAGATACTGGAGAGAAGGGGATTCTTAAGAGGTCCCTCCCCCTTCCCCCTAATCATCTCCAACATACGCTGAGCAAGAAGAAAGCGGTGAATGGGTGGGAGCAGGCACCTGTCTTGCCCTCTGTCCTTCAGCCATGGAGGGGAAGGGGAAGTGGGATTTGCTGAGGACAGAGGGACAGACGGATGTCCCCAGCCTGACTCCCACTTCTCCTTTCCCTGGTAAAGTAGTGACCCCCCACCCCCACCCTTGACATTGGCCCTGGATTCAGCCCCAGTGGGAAGTGGGCCTCGGGCCTCGGAGGGAGACACTTCCTCTTTTGGGGTGGGGACAGGGAGATGCCACTAGGAGGACCTCTCACCTGCAGGGCACAGTTGGTGATGGGGTAAATACCACTGTCCCCTGGCGTCCAGACCACTTCAAGCTCCGTGGGACTGCTGGACGTGGTCCGGAGATGCTGAGGACGTTGTGGAAGCACTAGGGGGTCACAGACAAGGGATGGTGTGAAGCCTTCCCCTTTCCCTCCCCTCCAGAGCCCCCAAATCCTAGACCCCACCTTCTAGGTTACCCACAGCCCCGCCTTGCTTCCAGAGTCCTGTCCCCCCACCCCTCCTTCTCCTTCCAGCCTCAGCCCTTTCCTCCAAGGATTCAGCCCATCCTTTCCCCCAGGGTCACCTGTGACTGTGGCCGTCCGGGATGTGGTGACCCCTTTAGCATTGTGGGCCTCACAGGAGAAGGACGATGTCTTATTCAGGCCTGGGGTGGGGTAGCCATTGGTAGAGAGGGAAGTTATTAGAATGGTGGTAGCTCTGAGGTTCACAGAACTTTGAGAATTTCAATTTAAGAATGTTTCTGTAGTTCTACTCAGGGTCATCCCCGTTTCACAGGTAAAGAAACTGATCCCCAGGGACCCACAAAAAGGACCTCTTAGTAAAGTGAGTGGTCACATCTTTGGTCAAGACTAGAACCTACACAAGGAGGGATCCAGGCACAGCTTGGGGCCACAGGGATGGTGGGATGTGTGTGGGTGTGTGTGCGTGTATACATGCATGTGCACAAACCGCTGGAATCCCCTGGGGTGTGGGGGAAGTGGGGAGAGGTCGGGGAAGCAAGCACGTCTGAGGGACTGACAGACACAAAGCCCAAGAATTATAGAGATGAACAGGCATAATGAACATAACACACGCACCCTGATTAAGAGACACAGTCCCTCACACAGATGTCCACGACAACCGTCGCATGCACGGCTAGAGCAGACACCGTCACATACACACACACACACACGCATACTCCTAGTCACCCATCCAGGCCATGGCCAGAGTAGCAACCAAGGTGTGCACGTGTACACAAAGGTAGACCACCTTTTCTTTGACACATACATGGTGCAGTCACAGACACTCACATAGAATCGCAAACACATCTGTGCTCACATCAACAAAGAAAACCATGAGCACACGCGTAGCTAGAATCAGAGACAATCTCTCTCTCTCTCTCTCTCTCTCTCTCTCTCTCTCTCTCTCTCTCTCTCTCTCTCTCTTTCTCTCTCTCTCTCATACACACACACACACACACACACACACACGGAGTCCCCCACAAAATCCCAGATGCCTACATGGTGTCCTGGGTTCTTACAACTATCCAGACTCCAATGGCCACACACTCTTAGGAACTGCCCCCTCAGTACTGGAGGAGGTCCAGAGTCAGACAGTTGGGCAGTCGGACCCCTGGGGTGTGTGTATGCCTGTACCTGTGGGTCTGCCCTGCCTCCATCCCATCCCACACCACTTAGTCTTCCTCCTCCAGGTCCTCTCTGACTCCCTCGGCACAGACAAGGTTTCTCATCGTCAGCAGGAGCGAGGGGGAAGGGTTGAGGAAGAGGAGGGGGACCCATGAGGCCGGAAACATACCCTCCTCCCCTGCTCTGCCAAGGTCAGATGCCCAGGCGGCTGCCATCAGCAGGCATGGTGCCAAGTGGGGGAAAGGGGCAGTTTGTGCCTAGTGATGGCCTTTCCCAAGGGACAGAGAGGGAGAAGGGGATGCCCTGGGCCTTGATCCTGGCTGGGAGCTGGAAGGAGAGAAGAGAATGGGGGTCAGAGAGAGGACAGTGATAGAACACAGAACTATAGGGGGGACAGAAAGGAGACAGAAGAGAGGGCAGTGGGGAGAAAGAGAAAATATAGTGGAGGAAGGAAGATGGGGCATTAGGGACACAGAGAGCAGTCAGCAAGGAGACAGAACAGTGGGGGGCAGAGGACAGTGGGGGCAGGGAGATAGGAGGCAGTAAGGGGGGGAGAGAGAGGACAGTGTGGAAAGGAAAGAAAATCATGAGATCAGAGAGAAAACACTGAGGAGAGGACATTGGGAGAGTGAGATGGGATGGAAAGTGGATGAGGGAGACAGAAAGCAGACATTAGGGGGCAGAGAGGAGGCAGTAAGGGGACAATTGGAGGCACTGAAGCCTCAGAGGAGAGGCCCCATGGGGTCTCTAAAGCAGGGGGCTGGAGGCTGTTGCCCAGGCACTGACCACAACATTCCTGATCCCCCACCCCCAGCCCCGCCTGGTCCTGTGAGTCACCTCAAGGGCGGGTGAGCTGCTTCTGGCTGAGGGGTCCTGTTGGGGTGCTAGGGGATCTCAGAACCCAGGGGCCCCCTCTAGATCCTAGTCAGGTCTATGAGTTGTGGGGAGCACCCAGGCTCTTGCCCTCACTCAGAACCTTGGAAAAAGTCCCTTGGCCTATGCCTGGACTGGTGCTGGACACTGTCCAGATGTGCTTCCCAGATGCGAGCCCGGCCTTAGCTCTTGGCTAGGGCTCTCCGCCCCCAGCTTTTCCAGGGACTGGGAGGAGGAGTTGTGGAAAGAAAGTCTGGGCCCAACACTCTGGGGTACACCCTGTTAGACACACACACACACACACACACACACACACGCAAAGATAACATTCTTCGAGACATCGTCCCACATTCAGACATATAGACACAAACAGATACACAGACACGGAAATGTCTTCACACATGACACAGTCCAGTCCACAAACATTTATTAATGTTTGTCTGCTTCTGCCAGGCACTGGCCTAGTTGCTGGGGATACACAGACAAAATCATGTTTGAAAAGAAAGAGTGCTTGCCCTCAGGGGGCTTCCAGTCTTACGAGGAGGGCATCGAGGCAGCAAGCCAGCCCTGAGATCTGAGCTATGTGCCCATGAGCACGCAATAATACACGAGGGCACTTTATGGGGGCAAAGACAGCATCATTGAGGACACTGAGAAAGCGAAGACACACACACGGTGATAGACAGACACCCTGTGTCCTCTCCTTCCCAAGGTGTCCGTTTTGAGTCCTACCCCCACCCCACCAGCCTGACTCAGCCATGCTCACTGCCCCTGACTCGCCCCTGACTCATTCTGGGAGGGGAAGGGGGGCCTGCGGGAATGTGGGGAATGTAGACCCCGCCTGAATGATACCCCCACTGTCCTGGGGATATGGCATTCCCCAGCTCAGGCCCCCGTCTCCTCTCTCTGATGTGGTTACTTCATTTCCCTCCTGCACAGCCTCCCAGATGTTCCCTTTTCTGTCCCCCCCCAAGAAAAAAACACAGAACCCAACTTGTAGACTTCAAAGGGGATTGTAGCTGGGGCAGCCTCTTTTCCCAATCCCCAGAGAGTCATGAGAGGGCAGGGTTCAAGGCTGCCAGCCTCTCTCTATCTCTCAGCTGGCGAGGGGGGAAGGATCCCAGAGATCTGGACTGAGAGTGTGGAGGCCTAGGGCTCTGGCTCTTCCTGATGTCATGGATGATCTATGACAACTCTCTTCCCTTTTCTGGGCCTCGCTTTCCCCCTATGTACAATAAAGGCGTTCAGCGCTATCGCCCTCAAGGTCAGTCTTTCTCTCCCTTTGACTTTGTCTCCCTCTGCTTTTCTCCTCATGTTTCTGTCAGTTTTCTCTTCACGGTTCTTCATCAGTCTCTGTCTCCCAGCTTCTCAATCTGTGTTTTTCTGTATACTATCTGTCTCTCTCTCTCTCTCTCTCTCTCTCTCTCTTTCTCTGTCTCTTTCTCTTCCCTTCCCTCCTTCTTGCTCTTCTGCTTTCTTCCCCTCTCTTTCTCCCCCTCTGTCTCTCTCTTTCCCCCACCTCTGTCTCTCTGTCTTTGTCATCTCTCTCTCTCCCTTTCTCTCCCCCCTCTCTCTCTCTCTCCCCCACTTTTCTCTCCTTTCCTCCCTCTTCCTCCTGTCTCTTCTCCCTCTTCCTTTCTCTTTCTTCCTCGTCTCTTCCACCTCTATTTCTCTCTCCCTCCACTTCTGTCTCTCTGTCTTTGTCATCTCTCTCTCTCCCTCCCCCTTCTCTCCATGTCTCTTCCTGTCTGTTGGCTTTCTTATTTGGGAAAGAAAATGGGAGAGCTTCTGCTAACCTAAGGTGGCAGAGTCCAGCCCATGACATGGAGTGGGGAGAGGGGCACCAAAGTTTCTAGTAGCCAAGGTCAAGGGCAGGAGATGAGGCATTTGGGACTGTGCTTCCCCTCCTTCTCTCCTCCCCTCCATGCCCACAGCTTTCCCCTCAGGGTCCAAGACCACGAACTTGGACCACATACAGCCTTCAGATATGAACCCCAAACAAAGGAGGCCATTGAGAGTGGGCTGGGTGGAGGGTAGGGGAGAGACAAAGACATAGAGATTGAGAGAGAGAGAGAGAGAGAGAGAGAGAGAGAGAGAGAGAGAGAGAGAGAGAGAGAGAGAGAGAGAGAGAGAGAGAGAGCGCACTAGGTATTAGACAAAAGTTTCAAAAGAAAGAGATAAAAAGTAGGAAATGGAGACAGAGGTACAGAGAGAAAGCCAGAAAGATACACAAGAGACAGAAGTAGAAAGGGGAAGATACAAGAGACAGAGAGGCAGAAAGGAAGGATAGAGACAAAAGGGCTGAGACTTTGACAGAGACAGATTTAGGACAGAAAGAAACATACAGGAGACAGAAACAAGCAGAGGGAGACAGGGATGTGAGGATGGCCATAGCTGGAGGGGATTCCAGCCCCCCCCCCCCCAGCATCCCAGGTCCTGGAGAGACTCACCTGGCAGGTGGAGTAGGCCCTGGGTAGGACTGTGTGGGGCCAGGGGGGCACCATCATGGAGCCAGAGCAGATTAACAGGTTCAGGAGGCCCCTGGGCTTGACAGCTGAGGTTGAATGGGGTGTCAGCAGCCACAGTCATATCTTCTGGTTCCTCCAGGAAATAGGGGAGGCCTAGATGGTGGAGGTGGGGGTGCCTAGATCAAGGAACCTATAGGGTCATAGCTTCTTTTCCATCCTGCTGCCCCACCATATTCCTCCAGACCTTTATTGCAGACTGTCTGACCTCCCCCACACTAGACCTTCTAATACCCCTGCAGAATCTTCATCCCAGACCACCTGCTCTCCTACAACCTGGTATTTTTTTCCATCCAGACCCCCTGACCTCCCTAGATCTATAGTTTCCTCCATGTAGGACTCCTGATGAATGCCCCCCCCCATCCAGGGTCCCCTAACCCTTCACGGTCCCTGACTCATACCTTAGATTACCTGGAATCCCACATTTCTGTCCTAGACCTTCCACCCAGAACCCTCTGCACTCAGAGATCTTTAGACCCTCCCCCCATCTCAGTTTCTCTGATCCCACAGTCCTAGAGATTCCTCACCTCAGAACTTTGGACCCCATATAACCCCTAAATTCCCTATCCTGGGCTCTATAACCCTCCATAACCACCAGTATCATCCATCTCACATATTCTAACCTACAATTCCTTATCTCTCTATCCCAGGCTCTCTAACCCCCTCTCCATTGGAAGGGTCCCTCCAGACCTCTATCCTAGACCATTTGAACATCCCTGAAAACCCATTCTTCTATTCTAGATCTTCTCAAACCATCCACAAACTCCCTGGACTCCCTGATCCCCTATCAACCTTCCCACGTCTCCAAAATCCTCTAGCCCCAATCCCTCAGAGGGACCATCTGCCCACTATAATCCCAGACCCCACATCCAGGACCCCCACAACTTTCCTAGACTCCCCATGCCAGGCTCTCTGACTCCTCACTCACATCCCACCCTCAGAACCCTGCACTGAGGTTTACCTTCTAGACCTACGTAGGCTGGTAGGGACAGGAACGTCTCCCCCTCTACAGCCACAGAGCACTGGTACTTCCCGGCATCTGAGAGCTGCAGGGCTGAAATCCTGGGGAGACAGTGCAGGTGCCCAGACAGGGGAAGGGGTACAGGAGGTAGGTCAAGGGGCTAGGGATGAGAGCTGCGTCATAGGGTCAAGGTGAGGGGACAGGACAGGGTGCAGAAGGGAGGCAGGAGCCAGAGTCAGGCTTGGACAGGGGCCCTGGGCAAGGAAACCCCTTAAACCCTTCACAGAGCTGGGATGTAGGTGCTAGACCCAAGTGAACCAGGGGCTAAGGGTAGGAAGGCTGGGGCTAAGCTTTTGTTCAGTCGTGTCTGACTCTTCATGACCCCATTTGGGGTTTTCTTGGCAAAGACACTGGAGCAGTTTGCCATTTCCTTCTCCAGCTCATTTTACAGATGAGGAAACTGAGGCAAATAGAGTAAAGTGACTTGCCCAGGGTCACACAGCCAGTAAGTGTCTGAGGATGGATTTGAACTCAGGAAGATCTAGGGACTGTTAGCAAAGTAGAAACTAAATCAGGGCAGAAAGTCCAGGGCATTCTAATTCCTTAAACGTTTCATTAAACACCCCCTATGTGCCAGGCACGAAGTAAAAAAAAGACAGTTCCTGAACTCAAGGAGCTTCCATTCTCCTTCAGGTGGTGGGGGGAAGGGTCAGGGTTAAAGGCAGGGTAGAGGTCAGGATTTGAGGAGAGGGCCAGGGTCTGTGCTGGAGGGCAGGATTCCCAGCTGTACCTGAGCTGACTGACCACCTTCCAGTCATCTTGGTCCTCCTCCCCCAGGGGCACCTGGGTCTGGGTGCTGTCAGCAAGTTCTAAGACCTGCCCATCCCGAAGCCAGCTGACCTCTGGAGCCTCCCCGGCCACTCGGACCTCACAACGAAGCACGGCCACTCGCCCCCGTGCCCCTGTCACATTCCCAGGTCCAGTCACAAATGGGTCCCACACACCTGGACAGGGACACACCAGAAGAGATCCACGTGGTGTGCACCAGGGGAGGCAGAGAGAGGGAGACACAATGGGAGAAGCTGGGGGTGGGGAGAGATGAGGGAGAAGAGAGAGAAGCAGCGGGAGGCAAGAGAGAAACAGGGGGAGATGGAGGGAGGAACCCCCGGGGGCAGTGTGGGGAGACAAGAGGAGGGAAGACAGCTGGAGAAGACGGGGGTGGACAGAGGGGAGGCAAGGATCAGCAGAGAAGGACATGGGAACGGGGCAGGGGAATGGGAGTTGACAGATGTCAGGGCTAGGTAGCTGACCCTGAACCCTGCCCGGGAGCCTCATCAGTGCCCTCCCTTCCTAGGGATGCCCTTCTGGGCAGAGGTCCCCACAGCCTAAGGTGAGGATGGAGGGGAAGGGATGGGCAGCACCCTTCAGGCAGCCCTAGTAGTGAGGGGCCCATGGGCCTACCAGCAGCTTGAGCTCAGCAGTCAGGGGAGGGTGGCAAAGGGGGAGGAAGAAGAGACCTTTATGGGAGAATAGGCAGTCCCAGGGGGCCCCAGAGTCCAGAAAACCAATGGGAACAAGTCCCAGGCCCTCGGGTAGCCTCCCACACCCTGGACCAGGCCATTCTACCATCATGAGGGCCCAAGTATGGATCAACATACCCAGAGTTAGGCTGGAGGATGAAAGCCAGGGAGAGACCCCTAGAGACAGACAGGGACAGGGATGGAGAAACAGGAGGAGTAAAGAGAGAGGGAAAGAACAGAGCAAGACAGAGAGATACACACAGGGATGGGGAGAGAAAGAGAGGGAGAGGAAAACGGAGGTGGAGACAAGGATTCGGAGATAGAGGCAAAAATGGAGAGACACGGAGAGAAGAGAGGGGGAAAGGGATGGGGAGGACAGTGATGGAATCGGAGAGATGCAACAGGTTCCCCCCTCCCCAAGTTCACCTTCCCAGAACCCTTTGCCCCCTGCCCACCCCCCTGTTATTTCCTAAGGGGGAATCCCCTTGGTATAGCTCCTTCTTCCTCCTGGACTGGATCCAGAGCAGACAGGGATCAGAAGAGGGGGGAGTGTTGATCCCTGCCTGATGCCAACTGAGTCACAGGCCCTAACGGTAAACGGAAACCAGCATCTTCGTAAGCACAGAAAATTCCCCCCTTCGTGTCCAACACTCATGGCCCAAGACTACCAGCCTCCCCCTCCCCGCCAAAGCCCCTCCCTGTCCCTGCTCCTAATTTCTCCCTAACTTGTCTCCAGCTATCTCTTACCCGCTGGTTTCCTCCCTTGCCCCCTCCCCTCTCCTCTTCCATCTCTGGCTCTCCCCATCTCTGTCTCCCCCTCTGCCCTTCCTGCCCTTCTCAGTCTCCCTCAGTATTCCTAGGCTCTTGTCTCTAGTCTCTCTCCATCTCTTGATCACGCCAGCCAGTGTCTGTTTCTTATTTTTGTGTCTTCTATCTCCTCCCTCTGTTTCTCATCCCAGTCTCTGTCTCCTGTACCTTTTCCTCTTTCCGCATCTCTCTCTGGTACTAGTCTTCCCTATTTCTTCCCCCCTATGCCCCTTCCCCTATTTCTGGATCCCAGGCCTTTTCCAGGTGCGTGGTACTGCCCCCAGGAGCCCAGCTCCCAACTTTTACAACACTAACTTTCCCTCTGTGGGTGGTCTGAGTCACAGACCCCAGGGTAGGCACAGAGTGGCATGGGGGAGGTAGGGAAGCCCAGCACCCACATCCGGGGTCTGGGCACCTGTGCCAGCCCAGCTAGGGGCACACCTCTAGGCCTCAGACCCAGGGATATAGTATCCATCCTCCCCTCATGCCCTGGACCCACTCACCTTCCTGGGCCCAACTTCCCCAGCACCAGAGTGCCAGGCACCATGCCAGCCCCGATCTGCCCATCCTGGTGGACCCAGGCATCCAGGCCAAAACTTTCCCTTGGCTCCGGCCTCAGTCTGGCCGGGGAAGGGGGAAGGGGGGCAGGGCCTGGGTTCTCCCCCTCCCCCCGGCTATGGCCTGGTCTCGATGTCTCGGCCCTACAGACGTGCCCACCACTCGCTGCCCACCACCCACTCGCTGCCGCCTGCCTTCTGTCTCTGGCTCTCAGCCCTCAACTGGACTGGCCAGCCCAAAACTCCTCCCGGACAAACTTTCTCTCCTCCCTCTCCCTCACTCTCAGCACCCCGGCTGTCTCCGCCCCTGGGCCCCCTCCGCCTGCCTGGGCCTCCTCCTCCTTCCCCCCTTTCCGCCTCCTACCCCGCCCTCCTCCCTCTCCTTGGAGAGGGGGAAGAGCCCTGGACCCCAAAGGGTTAAGGAGAGGGGAGGGGGCTGCCTGGCCCCCTTCTTAAAGGAACAGGAACATTCACAGCTACAGCACCATAGAATATCAAAGCAACATACTAACTATATAAATCCTCAAGTTCTTCTGTGTCCTACAGAAGAAGAAACTGAGCCCTAGGCAGGGACAGGAGCTGGCCCAAGGTCACATGGCTAGTAAGAGATAGGGAAGCTTCAGGGAGGGGAGAGAGGAAAGATGAGGTGGGGTCTCCCACTTCTGTTGCTTCTGGGTGGGGAGGGGCTTCAGGGGGGAGGGAGGGATGTTGGACCTCTCCCCGTCCTTCACTCTGTCTCTGTCCTTCTCTGTCTCCAAGCCTGCCTGGGGAGGTATCTGGAGATCTGCAGCCTGGTAACTTGGGAAGGATGTGGTGCTGTTCACTGGGAAGAGCCATCCCCGGAATTAGGGGGCCCCAAGTTCAATCCTAGCTGGGTATGGCCTTGAGCAAGTCACTTGACCTCTGGGCGTAGAGTCTCCTTATCTGTAAGATCCCTGGACTAGCTGACTTCTGTTCCTGTTCCATAAGCCTTCTCCTCACAGCTCTTCTTCACTTGTGCCTCCACAGAAGTGCCTGGCCCACTCCTTAAGTCCAGATTTATCTTTTCCCCACTCCCAGTGTTCAGGTCCCCTGTCTGTCTCTCCCTGTCTGTATCCGTCTTCCCATAAAAACTATCCTGCCCCTCGCCCCCTGTGAGCCTTAGACACAGGCACACACAAAGGCTACTTTGGCCCTTCACATACTGCGCAGGGATCAGGCCCTGGCCCCCAACCCCCAAGGCCCCTTGGAGCCCCTCCCTCTCCCCTTCCTTGGGAAATTCAAAGGAGATGGCCCAATCATCGGAAGGGGGAAGTGTGTATCTATATTTGTCTATCTGTGGGTGGCTGTATATGTCTGAGTTGTGTTTGTGTGAGGGTGTGTGTGTTTTCACATGCCCGTCTGTGTGTCCTCATGTGTCTGTGATTGTCTGGAATTGGTCATAGGATCAGAGACTTAGAGACAGAAAAGATATTAGGGTCCTTTAGTCCAGCCCCTTCCTTTTATAGGGGAGGAGGATCTCAGAGAAGTTGGGTAAGTTGGGCAAAGGCGAGCAGGTAGGGCGGCAGAGGAGGGTTTGACCTCAGTTCCTCTGGCCCCCCCCCCCTTCCCACTGCCCTGCCTGCTCTTGGTCAATCTGTCTGTGGGACTGTGTGGCTGTGGTTTGTAAGGAGTAGTTCTGTGACTCTGAGGGTGGGTGTCTTGGAGAGTGTGTCCTGAAGTGCCTGGGAATCGAGCATTGGTGTCAATGTGAGGGTGTGTCTGTGTTGTAAGTGAGGGTGTGTGTTGGTGTGTGCCTCTGTTGTTTTTCTGTCTCGGGATGGGATGGGGAAAGAGAGAGAAGAGAGGAGTCCTTCCCAACCCCCTTCACATTCCGACTTCAGGCCTGCTGGGGAATTGGGGACAGCAGAGAAACCCAGGCATTTGGTGATCCCTGCTTGGTCTGTAGCTGGGCTGGGCCTCCAAACAGGCTCTGCACATCTGGCGCTGATGTCAACAGCTTGGGCCAGGGGCGGTGTCAATGTTTCTGAGGCTCAGGGGCTGCTCCCCACCCGGTCTCTGGAGGGAGGGGGTAGGTAGAGTTGGGTGGGGGATACACATCACACCCCCTTCCCCAAAAGCCACTCACACAGACTCCCAGATAAATGAAAGAATTTCAAACTCTCAGATGAACCCAGAGAGATACACAAAGACCCAGAGAAAAATACAAACAAAACAGACACACACACAGAGAAACGTAAGGAATTAAAATACTCAGAGGCAGAAAAACATACATGCAAGGAAACAGACATCGAGAGATGCACAGACACCGTGGAAAAAAAAAAAGGTGAAATCACAGAATCTCCGAGATGAGGGAGGGACCTCAGTGGCTATCTCCACTAACCCACATTTTTACAGCAATCTGCATGTGCGTGCGCACACACACACACACACACACACATATACACACACACGGAATCTGGGGCCCAAACCTCTGGACAAATAATCAATGTCAACAAGCATTTATTAAGTACCCACTGTGTACCGGGGACTTCCGGGGATACAAAGACCAAGTAAAATGATCCCTGCCCTCAAGGAGCTTACATTCTACTGGGGGAAATGTTTGTTGATGATGGTCACAGGCAGGCAGGGTAGAGGACACTGTAGGGAAAGGCGGTGTTCTTTCCTTACTCTCTCTAAGCTGGACTTTCGAGGCAGCACCAGGGGGTGGAGAGAGCCTTGGGCTGGGAGCCAGGACAGCTGGGTTAGAGCAGAGGCCGTGAGGTGCAGTGGAAAGAACATTGGTTCTGGTGTTAGACGACCTAGTTTCCAATGCCAATTCTGCTACTTAGTTCCTATATGGCTTTGGGTAAATCACTTCTCTGGCCTCAGTTTCCTTTTCTGTAAAATAGATGTACCAGATGGTTTCCAAGTGTCTTCCCTGCTCTTATAACAATGTTAAGGTTCTGTCTCTGGGTCTGCCCTGATGGTGGAAGGTTTGGCAGCCCCTGGGGGGCAGGGACAGGAGGTCTTGGCCCCTACCAGGGCCTCTCTACCTTTTAGGTCTCCATTTGACTCAGGAGGTGGGAGTGAATTCCTTGAAGGCAAGCATCCTTTAATTCTTTCTTTCTTTCTTTCTTTCTTCTTTCTTTCTTTCTTTCTTTCTTTCTTTCTTTCTTTCTTTCTTTCTTTTCCTTCCTTTCCTTTCCCTTCCTTCCTTCCTTCCTTCCTTCCTTCCTTCCTTCCTTCCTTCCTTCCTCTTCCTTCCTTCCTTCCTTCCTTCCTTCCTTCCTTCCTTTCCTTTCCCTTCCTTCCTTTCCTTTTCCTTCCTTCCTTCCTTCCTTCCTTCCTTCCTTCCTTCTTCCTTCCTTCCTTCCTTCCTTCCTTCCTTCCTTCCTTCCTTCCTTCCTTCCTTCCTTCCTTCCTTCCTTCCTTGTCTTTGCACCCCCAGCATCTAATACAATGCATGGCACATAGCTATTGCTTAATAAATTCATTGAATTGAACTTTTCTCAGGCATCAGGATCCTTTAATGAAGTGGAGCCAAATCCAGGAAAGCCTGGCTACAGCCCTGACTTTCTGAGTGTGTACTGGATGGGTGGGAGGGAATAGGTGAGAAAAAACAGGGCCCCCAACTCTCTCTTCCTCTCTAAATCTCTCATTCCCTTGTGCCTAATTCCCAGGGGACGCTAGAATTCTTGAGTGAAAGACGGTCAATTAGAAGGGTCTTGAGAGACCATTGAGGCCAACTTCTCATACAGATGGGGAAACTGAGAGCTAAGTAGGGTTTGGCAACCTGCCTAGGATCTAGTTAGGCTTAGGATCAGGACTCAAAGGATCATAGATCCTGGGATGAAAGCGATGTCAGAGGCTAACCGTCCAACCCCCCACCCCAGGCTCAAAGGCCAATCCACTTGTCTGAGGTTATTATACATGTAGTAAGCATTCATAGACAGGTTTTGAACCCAGATCCTCTGACTCTGGAGGCAGCGTGGTCTTTCCACCATACCACTCTAACCCAATCATTCTGGCTCCCTGCTGGGTCCTTAAGCTGTGTCTGAAGGGTTAGGAGGTGGGAAAGTGTTTCAGAGACCCTGTAATCCAGGAAATTTGAGAGTGTAGGAAACAGTAGGGTGCCCACCTCCAACCCCCCCCCATTTTATCTTTGCAGCTTCTGTACCTGCTCAGTACACAGTAAGCACTTAATAAATGCTTTTTGAATCGAATGGAAAACGGCTCTGCATTTAGAGTATGTGTGGGTTGATTCACATATCTTTAGCTCACTACTACCAGCAGTGTGACTTTGAAAAGTCACTGGACCTCAGTTTCCTCATCTTGTAAAAGAAGGGGTCCAGATTTGAAGACCCGTTAGGTCCGTCCCACCATCCTAGGATGAAGAGGAGTTTCGAGGGCAGCAGGGTTGCCTAGCCTCCTCTTCTCCCCTCACCCCGTGAAACGGGGACTACGGGGTCAGTACAGCGTGGCTGCCCAGGAAACGCTCGTGGACTGACCGCCGCCGCCTCCCCCCCCCCAAGTCTCCTCCTCCACGTCCATCCTCCGCGGCAGCCAATGGGTCGGGCCTTCCACGGGCGTTAGCGCAACCACAACGTGGCATCCCAGCTCCCTCTGGCGGCCACCCTGTCTATCCGTGGAAGGCCAGGGGCCGGCCCCGCCTTCCGGGCGCTTTCTCCCTTGGGACGCTCCATGGAAGCCCGCGTCAGAATTTCCACTGTGTGGCCGCGTTCCACTTTGGAACGTCGGCGGCTGCGGCGTTCGGAGCGCTCAGTCCCTCCCACCCGCTATTCGCATCAACTCAGGGCAGGTGGGGGAAAGGTCGGTCCACGCAAAGGCGAGCCTACCCTTCCATTTCCTGCGCGTCCGTCTGTCCGTCTGCGGGCTGGAGGGCGTTCTGCCTAATCCCATCGTCCTTCCAAGGGGGAGATTGAGGCCCAGAGAGAGACAAGAGGGCCTTAGCCCTAGATGGCAGAGATCATTATGGGGCAGAGCCTGGTATCTTGAGTTCCTCATGACCCTGCGCAGAGGCCCTCCCCCAATCTGTCCTATTTTTCAATCCACCAAAAGGAGATAAGAGGAATGACTAGTGGCATTCCAGCCCTCATAGGGGAGTTTTGGGGAAGCACCATGGAAATGTGAGCAATTACCCTTTTTACTGCAATCCTTTTCTACCAACCCCCCCCTTCCCTCCTCATCCTCTTCTGTCCCAGACCATCCATTTTATCCCATCCAGGTCACTTACATCATTCTCTGCTCTTCCAGAAGTAGGTCCAAAGTGTTTATTGGGGGTGGTGGTGGGGGTAGAAAGGGCATGAGGGGAGGGAGAAGGAGACAGCCTCTTTTTCAGGTCCCCAACACTTTGGGAAGGGGTGTTTGCAGGGGTCCAAACTGCAGATCAAGCCCCTACAGAGCAACTGAATAGAGGCCAAGATGGGTCTTCCTTTCCCTGGGTGGAGTGCACCTTCAGGGTAGTGGTGGAATCATGGGTACTTGGAGTGTTAGTGCCCGTGGGTAAGACTAGACAGAGAGACCGACAAGAGAAAGTGTGTGACCTTTCTAACCATCAGAGGTGTAGAATGGGCTTCCTGGGGACAGAGTGGGTTTCCCCTTCCTGGAGGTCAGGGCAATCAGACACTGGATAAATCCGTCAAATATATACATGGTAGTCAGAACTCTGGCTCAAGTAAGGGTGGGTTGGGCTAGGTAGCTCCTGCTGTCTCTTCCTACTTACTCTGAGGTCCCAATAGATAGTTAGGGTATGTCTACAGTGTGTCCTAAGGGTGTGTGAGGGAGAAGCACTGGCTTGTGGGTTGCTATGGATTGTGGGCTTAGAGTGAGAAGATACCACCCAGAAAGAGATAATGCCTGGCCCATGATCACAGAACAGGATTCGAATGCGGATCCTCAATTCCACATTGGCCCTTTCTACGGCAAGAATGCCTTACATGTAGGAGATGGCTAACAAAGGGTATGTTGAATTGAATAAATACAAGATGTTGGTCTGTGTGCATTCGTGAGCGTGTTGAGAGTGAGTCTCTGAAATTTATGAATCTACTCCTAGGTCTTTGTTCTCTGAGAGCCTTAGGAGCCTGTCTGTGAACCCTTTGGGCCGCTTTCCAAGTGGGGCACCAGTTCATCAGCCCTGGGGGTTGTGGTCTCCTGCTGCCCTCTCCCCCAGCCAGTCAGTGAGGCCTGAAGCGAAGCTGGAAAGTTGGAGGAATGTTGGCAAAGCCACTGATGGCTGGTTGGAGGCTCAGAGCTCCGGGTGGGGATGGACTCTCTAGGGAGAAATTCTGGAGGATGGTGGTGAAGAAGAGGAAGAGTTCGGTTCGGGCCAGGCCTTCCCCAAGGCAGATTCGCTTCCCTGGGGAGAAAAAGAGGAGATTCGGCCTCAGACCTAACACTTGACACTTACTAGCTGTGTGACCTTGGGCAAGTCACTTAACCCCAATTGCCTTAAAAAAAGCCAAAAAAAAAAGAAAAAAGAAAATGAGGAGATTCTGACCTCAGGACTGAGACATCATAGCATCTAAACCTTTGAGGTCATCTAGCAGCTAGATTCTAGCCTAAACCCCTTCCTTTTACAGATGAGGAAACTGAGTCCCAGAGAGGCAAGGAGCTGGCTCAAGGCTACAGAGAATAAACACCTGGACCAAGATTTGGACCTGGGGCTGTTGACTCTAAGGTGGGTGATCTCTGCCCTACTCCACAAAGTCATTGTATTTATCTGTGTGCTTGGCTTATCTCCAATACACAGTAATATAGGAGGGCCTGACTATGCCTCCATTTATTTTTGTGCATCTCCCCTACCCCCAAACTCAGCACAGAGACCAATAGAGATCCAATAAAGACTTATGGAATGAGGGAGGGAGTTCATGGCTCCCTTTCCCATCCCTTTGCCTCTCCCGATTCATACTTTTGGCCCCCCCTCCCCCCGAGATATATCTTGGCTTCTTTCTCCAGCTTCACCTCCCCCTTATCTCCTTCCCACATTTGCCCTACCTAAGCCCTTCCCTGGTTGTCACCCCCTCCTCCCAATCAAACTCACACTTCCTCCAGCCACCAAGTGGGCAGTAGAAGCCTGAACTGCTCTGAGCCAAGCTCAAGAGCCTGTGCCTAGGGAGAGAACCTCCTTGCCCCCTGCTTCCCTTGGAAAGTTCCTTCCTTCTTTTCCTCTACCCACCTTCAGTGGCCCAGGTAGCAAGGCTAGGCACCAGGGGTCAGGCCAATGTTTGTTGGTGGTGACTGCCTGGTCATAAAGGTATAGGGAGGCTTGGCTGTCCATCCCCACTGCTCCCCATCGTGGGGCTCTAAGGACAGGGGGGAGTAGAAGGCTACTGCCTTATTTGCCTCTGAGAAGTGGGTACATTATAGAGGGCCTCAGTTGAAAGGGGGTCTAGAGGCTGGCTACTCCAACACCCACCTGATCAAGCCAGGCAAAAGGGCCTCCAGCCTTGGCTTGAACCTTCAGATGCTTACTAGCTTTGTGACCCTGGGCTTCACTTCACTATGTTTCCATAATTGTAAAATGGGGATAACAATAACACCTATCTCCCAGAGTTGTTGTGAGCATGAAATGAGATTTGTACAGTGCTTAGCACAGTGCCTGGCACTCTATAAATGCTAGCTAGTATTATTATTACTACTATCATTATTATTACTTTACCCCTTTATACAATAGAGCAGTTAGACTCAACAATCTCTCCTTACTGATAGCATATGGACCAATGAATCTGTGATTCTGGAGGAGTATTCAGGGGTGGCATAACTGTCTTGGGCATGCGGAAAGCAGTCCTGTTCCCCTAACTCTTTCCCAGGCTTAGAGTTTGGTAGATACCTAAGGAGAAAGGCAAGAAGGCCTCGTTTTTCTTGAATTGGCCATCGGCATCCAGGAAACGGCTTGGGTCAAATTCCTCTGGCCGCTCAAAGAATTCTGGGTCATGCAGAACGGAGCCCAGGAGTGGGAAGACTTCAATGCCCTAGGAGATGGGGGAGAGAGTCATGATTCCCTAGAACCTCCCCTCCCCTGGAGTCATGCTCCCAGCCTCACTAGCACTGTTCCTGAGTGCTGTGCTCAGCTCTTCCCTGTGTTGGCATTTGGTGATGGGGATGGCAAAGGAGAACCAGGGGGGAGGTTTCTTTCCCCACTTTCCCATCTGACTCCTTCTGGGGTTTTAACCATGCCTAGAACTGGGTCTCAGGGCCCCCAGTGGGGTCTGGATAAGGTAGCTCTGGCCAGGGGGATGGGGAAAGAAAATCTGAGCTATTGGGGGGGGCAGAGAATCGTGAAAGGGAAGGACAAGTGCGCACGTCTGAATGCATGTGTGTCCGAGCCAGGGCAGGTAGAGAATAGAAGCCCATGTCTGCTAAAGTCTGCCTTTGTATGGGCTGCATGCCAGCTTGCCTTTTCTAACTGGCCTTCCCTGCTCCCTCCTGCCTTAGAGGGGGCTTCTTCTATTCCCCCTGACCAGGCCTGATGAGGGTGGTCTCTCCTCCTCCTCTTCCTCCACACCTCCCCCTGACATTTACCTGGGGCAGGTCATAGCCCCGGAAGGAGGTGGGCTTTGTGAGGGCACGGGGCACCCCCATAGGGAGGAGAGCCAGGAACCTCTGAACCTCATGCAGGAAGGCATCAGTGTAGGGGAGACGCCCACGGTCCACCAGGCTGGGGGCCCGCTCCCACCCCAGTTCTTGGCCCAGCTCCTCCTGGATTCGATCTGCAGGGGAGAAGGGAGGTGAGGAGAAAGGCATGTCTGAGCCAGAATACCAAGGACCAAGGACCCAGCTCCCTTCATCTCTCCCTATCAACTCCCCAGGGCCAGCTTCCATATTGAGAAGGGGCATTTAGAGCCAGAAGGGCACCTTAAGTCAGGCCTTCATTTTACAAAGCGGGAAAATGAGGCTTAGAGATGTAAAGGGACTCACACCAAGTCTAAATTCCAGACCAAGCCCTTTCTACTCGAACCCACTGCCTCCCCATGGCCAGCTCTCTGTGTCTCTCCTCAGCCCCAGGTAGCATCTTTGTACAGACACAGTCTTGTGTCTTTCTGTCTTTTGATATTCCAGGTTCTGCATCTTTTGTTAAAACAGTAATGCCCCTGGGGGTGAGGGGTATGATATCTTGAGCCCTAAAGCCTTTTATTTTTTTTTTATATTATGGGGAACATTTGCTTACTCTATCTATCTATCTATCTATCTATCTATCTATCTATCTATCTATCTATCTATCTATCTATCTATCTATCTATCTATCTATCTGTCTTTGTTGGCAGCTAAGTGGCACAGTGCATAGAGAGCCAGGCCTGGAGTCAGAAGACTCATCTTTGTGAGTTCAAACCTGGCCTCAGACACTTACTAGCTGTGTGACCTTGGGCAAGTTGCTTGACCTTGTGTTCCTCAGTTTCCCCATCTGTCAAAAGATCCGGAGAAGGAAATGGCAAACCACTCCAGCGTCTTTGCCAAAAGAACCCCAAACAGGGTCACGATTGAATAACAACAATAATAAAAATAAAGAAATTTGTGGCCTCTATCCCTTACACTCCCTCTTAGAATCCTCATCTTCCTTCAAAGCAGGACCCAGTTTCCTGCCTTGTACAGGAGGCCTTTCCTCATCCCCTCTGCTGCCGCAGTTATTACCATTTCCTTTCCCTTAAAATGACTTTGTGTGGATTTCTCTGCGTACATGTCATATTGTCCCAGTAGAATGTAAGCTTCTTGCAGGCCGAGGCTGTTCTGTTTCTGTGTTTGTACCTCTAGTGCTGTCCATGCAGTGAGGGCTTAATCAATGTTTGTTGATTCGGACTGAATTGGGCCCCTGTCAGCTCACTCTGTTGAACCACAGAACTGCAGCGTCAGCCCCGCTCGCCAGCTTTTTACAGCTGCAGAGACTGAGGGGTCCTCGCTTTAGGGTTGAGCAATCATCTGGTCCAACTCTCTCAGTAAGTGACTTGCCCAAGGCCACACAGCTAGCAAGCAGCTGAGCCAGGGCCTCTGTGCTCCGTCTATAATAACTGTGCTAGGCCTGGTGTATCTGGAGCCTCAAGGCACTTTATGAGTTATATTATTTGGTTCTGGTCCACAACTCTGGGACGTGGGTGCTATTATCACTCCCATTTTACAGTTGAGGAGACTGAGGCAAAGGTGAAGTGACTCCCTCAGGGCCACACAGCTAGTAAGTGTCTGAGGTAGGATCTGAACTCAGATCTTTCTGACTCGAGGCTTGGCACACTGTCTGCTGTGACGGCCATATAGCACATCTAGGGTTCTTGCCACCCAAGCCTGAGGCTGTGGGTCGCCTGTACTGAGCTGTACCTTGGACCTCTGGGTATTTAAGCAGGAGCAGGAAAGCATATTTGAGTGTGGCACCGACTGTTGCCGTCCCCCCAAAAAGCAGGTTCACAGCGGTCAGCAGGAAATCTGTGTGGTCAGACCCTGAGGCTTTTTCTTCCTGGAGGAGACATTAGGAAAGAGGATTTCAGAGAACCCTTGGCAGGGGTTGGGGAGGCAAGGCTGACCAGGTTCTACCAAGGGCAATTCCCCAGGGTGAGTGTCTGAGCCTCGCTTAGAAAGCAGGCTTGGGCCCAAAGCTACCTCTGTTGGCTGTGGAGAGGGTACAGGAAAGAGACAGAGAGACAGACACCCAGAAAGACACTGAGAGGATCAGACTGAGGCTTAGAAGAGACCGATGTTCCTTTTTCCCTGTTTTGGGGCTGGACCAAAATTGTGGTTTCTTCCTTCCTTCCTTCCTTCCTTCCTTCCTTCCTTCCTTCCTTGGCAATTGGGGTTAAGTGACTTGCCCAGGGTCATACAGCTAGTAAGAGTCAAGTATCTGGTCTGAGACAGGATTTGAACCCAGGTCCTCCTGACGCCAGGCTGGTGCTCTATCCACTGTACCATCTAGCTGCCCCCCAAAATTGCGGTTTCACTGGTGTGAGGAACTCTCAGTGTGGAGATTACCTCCACCAATGTGGTCTGCCCCTGAAGTCCCAGAGAGTTGCCTGGGTCACTGAGAAGGTGAGTAACTTGTATAGGGGTCAAAAAGTTAGTATGTGTCAGGACTTGAATTCAGCTCCCCAATTATGAGGCCAGTGCTCTATTGTACCGTGATGCCTTTCCCCAACCCACTTGTGTTAGAGATGAACAAAGGCAAGGCCAGAGAGTCACATATGTCATACAGCAGAATGGGGATTTGAAGCCAGATTTTCTGACTCCAGGACCAGTCCTACTGGTGAAAGGGAGGAAAGGAAAAGGAGAGGGAGAGGAAGAAAGAGAGGAAGGGGAAAGGGAAAAGGGATGGGGAGAGGAAGAAGGAGAATCAAGGGAGTTGGAAGGGGCCTCAGAGGCCATTGTGTTCAGTTTTATATAGGAGAAACTGAGGCTCAAAGTGGTCACATAGTTTGTCCAAGGTCACTGTCAAGGACAGCTAAGCTGAATTTGAACTCAGGTTTTCTTATTCTAGATTTGGCCTAGTATTTAAAGGAGAGGACCTACCTGTTGTACATACACCCAGCCATAGACAGGCCCTTCTCTCTTTGCCTTTCTTCCTGTTCTGTGCCCCCTCCCTAGCCCCAGCCCCAGCCATACCTGGCCCATTTTGACCAGGAAGTCGTCCACAAAGTCTCTGACAGGAGCTTGAGGTTCCAGCTTCTCCTGGTGCTGCTGGATCTGGCCTGAGACAAAGGTTGCTAGGGTGCTTAGGTGGTCTGTGAGCCGGCTATGGGGAGCTGAGAGATGTTGAAGGATGTCTGACAGGTAGTAGAGGGGACCCAAGAACATCTCACAGAGCTGAGGAAGGGAGGGTAAGGACAGAGTCAGCATTGTGGGAACCCCTTGTCCGAGTGGGGCAAAACACATAGCTTCCCCAGGCTGGGCTGGCCCTGGGATGCAGAGACAGGGGAAAAGAGCAGCTCAAGTGAACTTTCTGGAGGAGGGCAGAATGAGGCAGCAGCTTGGGGAAGGGGGTGGGAGAAGAGTCATCCAACTGGAAAACACTCCTGAGTGTATTGTTTTAGCCCAACCTCTGCCCACCCCCCAATTCCAAGCCATCACCTGTCCCCACGAGGTGCTAATCTCCTTTAGGGTGCCAGCAGCGGCAAGGACCACAGCTCGGAACTTTTCATCTTCATAGTCAAAGCGACTTCCAAACAGGAGAATGCAGGTGACATTGGAGACAGCTTGAGACAGCAGCAGGGAAGGGTCCAGCAGGGACCCTGAAGGGACGAATCAAGAAACAGCCGGTCACAGACAGATAGGCAAGGCCCAAGAGGCCAAGGAGGGGCCTGGGACTGGGATGGGGATTCCCCTGGGCTCGGCTTTCCCTGGTATGGGGTGTGGGTGACTCCAGGTGTCAGACAAAGGGAGTGAGGCAACCCAGCACAGGAGGAGATGTGAGGTAGAGCTAGGCGTCCCTGGGGGTGGAGTGAGGGAGAACTGTGGTCGGAGCCAGGGCAGGCAAGACACGGCCCACCAGAGGGCCAGGCCTACAGGGCCGCAGGGGGATAGCTGTCATGACCCTCCCCTGACCTTGGGTATTCTGTAACGCTTCCACCAGGTAGCGGGCCTCCTCTTGAATTTGCTCTTCTCCTTCCTTCTTGCCCATTCCCAGATTTCTTAGAGAGAGGGTGGTGAACTTCCGAAGATATTTCCATTGCTCCCCATTGGCAAAGAAAACACCTGGAGAAGAAGCAGAGTGAGAGGGCCCGGAAGCAGCCCCTCCCTTCCCCCACCCCCCAGGGCACTGCAGGGAAGGGCAGACAGTCAGGCCTGTTCTGGCCAGGATGAGGTTGTGGATGGCACAGTGCCTGGGACCCCGGCATCCCTGCCTCTCCCCTTCCTGAGCAGCACACAAGTCGAGACTTAGGTGCAAGGCTCCATTATCTTCTTCCAGGATTTGCCAGGTCTGGACTTGTTCTCCTGCTGCTAGATGCTTCCTTGTGATACAGGGAGGCCCCTGGGCTCTCTAGGGCTAGGAAAGGTCTGCCGAAGTCTGAAAGGCCTGGACTAACACCCCAGTGGCTTGAAGCTCAGGCTCTTTGCCAGACTAAATCTGGGGTCCGAGGACTAGCTTAGCTAGGAGAGGCTGTGGTGGTGGGAAGGGGAGGGGATGACTGAAAATTGTTCAGCCACAGCAATTCTCAAAGATCATCTAACTAAACCATAGAGGGGTGGTGATCTGTACAAAGAAGGCCTGTCCCTCTAAGGAAATCACAATTCTTTAACGTAGCCAAGTAAGAAGATTTGCTTTCCAAGGGGTAGGGGTAGGTCAAAAAGGGAAAAGGGTCCTTAGAATACCCGTTCTCCCTTTCTTAGCAGGTCTTGGGTTGAAAGGGTAAAACCCAGTTAAGAATGTATTGGTTCTAGGGTTTTTTTTTCTTTAATTCTCTATTCTTGGGTGGGATTACACAAGGTTTCAAATTATGCATGTTAAAAATAGCCAGGCTTAAAAAAAATTTCTTATCCAAGGTTTTAAAATTACCTATGTTTCTCGAGAACCCAGTTTTAAAAAATTACAGTTACAAAATTATGGTCTAATATGCTCACACGATATTGAAAGGATAAGGTTGGGCTACACTATGTTCCTCTAGGATAATGGAAAGAGACAGGAGTCTAAGTCCTTTTGAGTCCTTTGTGTGACCTGAGGCAAGTCCTCTTCAATCCCTGGGCCTCAGTTTCCCCATCTGTTAAATAAGACTGAGATGGTCTTTAAGGTTCCTCTGTGCTCTGACAATTTAGGATTCTAACAATCTATGCTTCCAAGAATACCCACCCAGCTGCCACAGTGATTTTCCTGAAGCACTGGTCTCTTCCTATGGTACCCTATCACCTCCAGGTTCAAATGGGAAGCCCTCTGTGTAGAATATATAGCTGGCCCCTTCCTACCTTTCCAGTCTTCTTGCACTTTTCTCTCCTTTCACACACTATACAATCCAGATACACTGGCCACTTTCTTGTTATCCAGACATAATACTCCATCTCCTGACTGCTTTTTCTCTGGCTGTCTCTCATGCCTGGAATTTTCTGCCCCCTCACCTCAAACTCCTAGCATTCCTGGCTTCCTTCAAGACTCAGCCCAAATCTATCTGCAGGACTTTTCTGGTCCAGAGCCAAAGCACCCTCCCCCCCTTATCAAAAATCTTCCCCTCTGGGATTAGATTCCACCTACTCTTTATATCTCTCCTATATATATAAAACTATTTACATGTTATCTCTTCCATTAGACTGAGTTCCTTGAGGGCAAGAATCTTTCTTGGCATCTTAAGTCCTTAGCATGATGTCTGGAATATATTAATCTCTTACAAAATGCTTGTTGGCCAACAAATTGATCAGAAGGTTAAGATTTTTTTTGGGGGGGCTAGGCAATGGGGTTAAGTGACTTGCCCAGGGTCACACAGCTAGTAAGTGTTATGTGTCTGAGGTCAGATTTGAACTCAGGTCCTCCTGAATCCAGGGCTGGTGATGTTCTAGGAGCCCAATGTTCATAGCAGTTCACGTGATTCTGAACTGGAAGCAACACCCCTTCTGTCACAGCTGAGGGCTGAAGTGATTTGTCTGAAGTCATTTGTCGGAAGTCACACAGAAGCCTCCAGAACAGAGCCAGGATTCAAAGCAAGGTCCTGACTCCTGAACTGGGGCTCATTCCCTCTCCCATGACTCCAATGTCCTAATAATAGGAGACTTTGCCAATGGCACATTTTGCTTGAGGACTCTCAATTTCTAAGCCCTCTGCAGCCCATACCATGCTGATTGAAGGTCTTCTCCAACGTGGCTACTTTCCCTCGCCCGGAGAATGCCTCTGCCTGATCCACCAATGCCTCTTTGACGGCCTCGTAACCACTGAGGATGACTATAGGCCGGGAGCCCAGGTAAACGGTGAACACAGGGCCATACCGAGCACTGAGCTGCAGGGAGAATCAGAGTCACTGGAGAGTGAAAAGCCCAGCTTTCTCTCGTCTCCAAGCCTGTCCTCCTAACGTTTCCCTGCTCCTCCCTCCTAGATGCCTCCTAAGTGCCCAGTTATCCCCATTCCCAGGTCTTAGTAATATTCTCCCTTCTTTCCACTGTT